TTGATTGGCGGCCCGAAGATGATGAAGGAGTTAGGTGGTGGTAGATTAAAATTGAGTAAAATTAATGTTTACTATAAGTTTTAAAAAGTGAATTAAAATGTTCTATGAATATTATTTAATTTAATATTGAGATTTATATTTAAGAGGTGTTTCAAAAAAATTTTAGGTTTGAGGTTGGACAAACATACACAACTCTTTCGTTTGAAACGATTGTCAAGAATGGGATGACTTTGCTATAACATTTCATACAAATGTACTTACTACAAGGGGTAAAATAAAATGGACTTTCCACGCCAGATTGGGTGATAAGGCTTGATTCATTGTCGCCTAATGGGGAGGTTGATGATCACTTTGATCGTGTCAATAGACATACAGATTATGTTTAAAAAATACTCCCTCCGTCCTAAAATTATTGTCCAGTTTGGAATTTCTCTTTTAATACAATTTGAACTAAAAATGAAAATCCAAACTGGACAATAATTTTGGGACGGAAGGAGTAATACAGAACAAAACAAATAAAACCTATTTAAAGTGATTCTAAATTGTAAATTCAATACAAAATCCTATGAAACGACTTCGAAAGAGCCCCTTTCTCCCGCTTCTAAATTGTAAATTCAATACAAAATCCTATGAAAAAGAAATACGGATTTAAAAAACGAAGCTGATAGGGACGTTGGTGTTCGTGGCCATGTGCCCAAGGTGCGGCGGTTAATTGAAAATTTGTTGAATTCTTTGTCCAAAAACCCCTCAAAATCTTTAGCGTCACACTTAACGGCCCTGTTAACGGTCGAGATTCCGTTAACAAGAGGCACCTAACGCCCCGTTTTGTTCCGTTCCTTGTATTTTCAGGCTAGCTGGGAAATTGGATTACAGCATTACACACAACAGCACATGGGGGGAATATGAATCATTTTTTCTTTTCTTTCTAAATTTCTTTCTTTAGGCATACGCCCCAATTAGAGCTTGACTTTTTCCACATTTTGGGAGGCAGGCGTAATGTTTTGTTGTCCAAATTGGCAAATTCGTTGAGTTTGGTTCAAAGGAGAAAAAAAAGAAACGAACATAAATAAAAAAGAAGATGTCGAGAATAGGGAGCGGTGTCATTTTCAATTACTAATTTGTTTGTCAATTATGGACTAATGGAATCAAATTAACGTCTAAACTCTTCTTTCTTCACTGTAATGTATCTAGTTTAATTTTTGCAAAATAGTTGAACAAAGAAATCCTTGTAAGCTTACAGTATTGAGTTGATGTACCACAAATGGACATAGTTGATGAAAATTCTTAATAATGAAAAATGAATGCTAAAATGAAAATTCCGAATCATGTTTGATAAAAAAAAAACATTAAACTGATTATATATATTGCCTTGTAAGTTAATAATCTCTCAATCAAATATTCTGAAGCATTAAAATGTAGTTATCAAACAAATTCACATTCTTTTGATGACTCATCGCAATATAAAAGGAAGTGTAATGCAATTTTAACTCTAAACCATTTCTTTTTTAAAATGCTGCATGTTATTAATATTAAGTACCTATACCATTATAGCAGGTCATATTATATGCCAAATTATGAAGATCATGAACATCATTACGGCTAACTTAAATTATTTCACAATATTCTAACGCCGAAATTAAGGAATTTAACAACATCACCACTTCTTGGGCTTTCAGAGACACTGGTGTTTGATGCAAGTCAGTTGTTAGTAACTGACAACCTGTGTGTACATGGATACGAGTGAGACCAAGTTGTATCGCTTCTCTGAGAGCCATGAGGCACATCATAGTTTCGACCTGAAAGGAAGACAGTATTTGAAGTGGTGTGGGTTTTAGTTGTATTATTATACTCTGTGGCGATGTTATCTTCCATGCACCGGCTGCCACCAAAGTTTTGGGATGAAATGATCCATCAAAGTGGATTAAAGCATCAGTTGATGGTTGGTGGTTTTGATTGCTTAGTTGTGTGATTCTTGAAATGGAAAAGGAATAAGACTGTGTAATTGTATGGTCCCTTTTTGTCAGTCTCTGGTTATGTTGTTGAAGATCAGTCTGAATAAGTCTCCAAGAAAATGTCGAATTTTGGACATGATTTTGCCAGACTTTATTATTCCTATCTAACTAGATTATCCAAAATATGATAAGGAACAGATCAATATCTTTTGTAGTTGGTCCAGATTGAATCCAGTTTATATACCATTCTTGAAGAGTTGTTGTGGTGGTTTGTATAATGACTGGAAGAGTGGATATGCAAAACTCCAGGTTGCTTGAGAGAATGGACAAGTTAAAAAAGATGAAAGTTATCTTCTTCCTGAGTACCACAATGGTGACATATAGTATTAACATCTACTTCTCTTCTGCTTAGACCTATTTTGGTGGGTAACACATTCAAAACAACTCTCCATAAGAGTAATTTAAACTTTGGTTGGACCTTATCATTCCACAGCTTCTTCCATGCATTAATTTCTGATACCAGGATCGAGTTGTTCTGATCACCAGAAGATGGTACTAGATTTATGGCTGCATAATAACCAGACTGTCCAATATATTGTCTATTATTAGTGGGAGTTCAGTATAGCTTATCATTCTGTAGGTGTCTTTCTAGATCAATAAAATTTCCAGTGATATGAGGGATGATGTAATTCGGAAAAATTGTCCTCAAGAATTGGAGTGAGGTGCAAGAAAAGAATCTCGGTTGATTAGATTAGGATGGTTAGGATTCCAAATTATCCGCTATATGAATGTCTTTCCCTGAGATCACTTTCCACTTAATATTGTGATTGAGGAGTTCAGCCCCCCATAAGATATCTTTGAATCCCCAGGAGAGATTGGTATGATTCTATTGTGAAGGGAAAGTTCCACCTCCACAATATTTAGCTCCAAACAGGTTAGATATTAGGGATTGTGGATTTGACATAATCTTCCAAGCATGTTTAGCCAATAACGTCTGATTGAATTCCTTTGAGGATTTAAGCCCTAAACCTCTATGCAATTGTGACTTTGCTCTCTCTTTTCCATGATCTCCAGTGAATACTCCTTTCTAAGTTGTCACCCTTCCAAATGAATTGAGCAATAATTCTGACTGGTTCCTTAATAGTTGATTCTGGTAATTTAAAAATTCCCATTGAGTAAACAAACATTGCAGAAAGAGTTGACTTAGCCAATGTAATCCAACCAGGCAGAGATAACAATTTAGATTTCCAATCTGTAAATTTGTCTCTCAACCTAAAAGTGAAAGTCCTGAAAATCTTTTTTTTTTTTTTTGTTTTTATTAAAATCCTATGACAAATCTAAATACTTACTTTGATATTGCCCTTGAGGAAATTTCAAGGTTATATATGTAAAGGATATCATTTTGTGTGTAGTATTAAAGCTCAATAAGATAGAAGATTTTAGGAGATTAACTTTCTGACATGAGAAAGCAGCATACTGATCGATCAATCTAATTAAGGCTTGAATTGCTGTTTCTTCAAGAATCAAAACTAGGGATCAAAACTATTCAACTTTTTTTTTTTAAGGAAAACATTACTTCATTGCTAGAAGTCATCCAGCTATGCTTAATACAAAAAAACTATTCAACTTATTAAATTATTTTTTGAAGGTTGTGCAAATCAATTAAAATTCACGAGTAACTAGGTTAAATCATAGATACAACATAATGTCCTAAGAGTTGCATATGTGTGAATTTAGACCTTAGCCTCTCTTATTGCAAAAATAAAAAATGAATTCATCAGTATATCTTAGAAGAAACTTACCAGTGTTTTATTGATAACATATTACATATCCGAGCCAAAAGAATAAAAAACTTGACGAAAGAACGAGGTCCTCCAGAGACATTGTTCATGTCGTGTCAACTCCGTCAATTAACTCCGTTACTCTGTTCACTGAAGACGCGTCAAAATAAAATGAAGGGGCCCCAGAGATCCATTATCCCAGCAAAGCAACAAATACTAACATGCTAACATCCCAATCTTTGAATTTATGAGTTTTGTAACATGCTAATTTGCTTTTTAATTATACTCCATGCAAATTACCATTATTTTCATTTCTAACAATTTCATGCACATTATAAAATCCAAAAAATCCCTCAATTATAGAAAGCCATCAGTTTGCATTTGTGACCAAAACAAAATGCAGAAAAATTAAATAAAAAAAGAAGCATATTCAGCTGGCAGGCGCAGAACTTTCATAGCTTTTTCTTCTTTTCAGTTTTCTGCTAGCTCAAGCTGATAGGGGGGGCATCTGACTGAAGCAAGCAAAGCTACAAGAGGTTGCAGAAACCTCTGTTCATAAACCATAACAGCCTGTTATTGTAGTTTGTGGGTGGGGATTGAAGGTTTTTATTTTTCTTTTTTCTTTTGGGGGGAGGTGGGTCCACTCTTTTTGCTCTTTCCTCTGTGTAAAAATGACAGCCTAATCAACAGCCTGGAAAGAGCTGTTGCAGTTTTGCCACTTCAAAAAAAAAAAAAAAAACTTCCATTGATGGGATTTTATGCTACCGTCGAGGTTAATGCTCAATGGGTCTTCGAATTCTTCTTTTTGTCTGAAGTCCACCCCACACTTCAGTCTTCAAAAGCATTTCAAGGTTTCCTGGTCCTTTGAACCCAGTTCAGGTTAGTGAAAAAAGCCTTCAACTTTAACTTCTCCCTTTCCAGAATTATAAGCTTCGCAAGAAAGATAACATCTTTCCTACATTATGCCTTGTTTCGACTAGCTTTTGCTTTCTGTTCTTCTTTTCCCCCCTCCTCACCCATTAGGCCTATTTGAGGTAGGATATTTTTGTTTAGAGATAGATCTGAATGTATTGCGGAATTCTTTGTTTCATTGTGATTGGCCTACTGGGAAACTCTTGGAACTGAATTGTACTTGCTAGCATTCCATCCATCCTGCCTATTGAAGAGTAATTTTCAGTTCAGTTCTGGGTTTATTTACTGGAATATTGATTGTGGGGGTTTGGGAGTTCGGTTTAGGTTGTGTGTGGATAGGAATTTAAGCACCAAGATGGAAAATAAAGGGTGGCTGCCTGTATTGGTTCAAGTTGTTGTTCTGGTTGGTCTAATGAGTCACGGATCACCTGCCTCATTTACTCCTCCTGATAATTACTTGCTTGCTTGCGGGTCTCAGCAAAATGTCACCTTTATGGGTCAAACTTATGTCCCTGATTCAGTTCAATCTTCAATTGCTTTGGAGAGTGACGGACATTCTGTTGTTGTCACTACTAATTCTACTGCCCCACTCCCTATTTGCAAGTCTGCTCGAATTTTCTCCGGTAGAGCTTCGTTCGAGTTTGATATCAAGCAAAAAGGAAGGCATTGGATCCGCCTTTACTTTTACCCTATTCCAGGCTATGATTTGACCTCTGCCTCATTCACAGTTGTTACCGAAGAGTTTGTGCTTTTGAAGAACTTAAGTTTCGGGAACTCTACTGGTTCTTATATGTTTAGGGAGTACTGTGTAAATGTCACTTCGGGTGCTTTGAAGCTCAACTTCATTCCTTCAAACAATTCAGTTGCTTTTGTCAATGCAATTGAAGTTGTATCATTGCCAGAAAAAATGCTTTTTGACCAGGCTCAGTCTGTGTCTCCCGTTGGCCCTTTCAACGGCCTTTCTCAACATGCATTGGAAACTGTTTATCGTTTGAACATGGGTGGTCCCCTGATTACTCCTCAAAATGATACTCTGGGGAGAACTTGGGAGAATGATGTCAAGTATATACATATTAACAGCTCTGCGGCAAATGTTTCTGTAAGCCCCGGAAGTGTCATGTACCGAGGAGGCGTCACCCCTGAAATAGCCCCGAATTTTGTTTATGCTACAGCTGAAAGCATGGTTGATGCCAATGTGCCTGATGATAACTTCAACATCACTTGGGTTTTCAAAGTTGATCCAGATTACCTGTACTTCATCCGGTTCCATTTCTGTGATATACTCAGCAAGGCTATGAACACTCTCGTGTTCAATGTTTACATAAATATGGATCTCGCAGCTGGGAGCTTGGATTTGTCTAGCCAAGCTGGGGACTTGGATGTTCCATATTACAGGGATTTTGTATCCAACTCTTCGGATGATTCAGACACATTGACAGTGAGTATTGGTCCAGACCCCAGTTCTGATTCTTCGAATGCAATCATCAATGGTTTGGAAATCATGAAGATTAGCAATGCAGTAGGTAGCTTGGATGGGGAATCACCAGTTCACACGCTCCTTGTTTTGCCTAAAAAAAAGAGCAAAACAGGAATAGTTGTTGGAACTGTTGTTGGAGCGGTTGCTGCATTGGTAATCATAGGATTTTGCTATTGTTGCTTGTTAGCCCGCAGGTCAAAGGCAACTCACCAGGCTCATCCCTGGCTTCCTCTACCTCTTTATGGAAACTCTTTGACTGTAACAAAAATGTCTACCACCTCTCAAAAAAGTGGAACAGCAAGCTGCATTTCCCTTGCTTCTTCCAATGGTCGGTTCTTCAGTTTCCAAGAGATAATGGATGCAACAAATAAATTTGATGAAAGCTCACTTCTTGGTGTAGGTGGATTTGGAAGAGTCTACAAGGGAACACTGGATGATGGAACTAAAGTGGCTGTCAAAAGAGGAAATCCAAGATCTGAGCAAGGTCTTGCGGAATTTAGGACTGAGATTGAGATGTTATCCAAGCTTCGCCACCGCCATCTTGTGTCTCTCATCGGCTATTGTGATGAAAGGTCTGAAATGATACTGGTATATGAATTCATGGCAAATGGCCCCCTTAGAAGCCATCTTTATGGAGCAGATCTCCCGCCTCTATCATGGAAGCAACGTCTTGAGATTTGTATCGGAGCTGCTAGGGGACTTCACTATCTGCACACTGGTGCAGCTCAAAGCATTATCCACCGTGATGTGAAAACGACCAACATACTCTTGGATGAGAGCTATGTAGCAAAAGTTGCCGATTTTGGTCTATCTAAAACAGGGCCTGCTCTTGATCAGACACATGTTAGTACTGCTGTAAAAGGTAGCTTTGGATATCTTGATCCTGAATATTTTAGGAGGCAGCAGCTTACAGAGAAGTCAGATGTCTATTCATTTGGTGTCGTTCTTATGGAAGTGCTCTGCACCAGGCCAGCTCTGAATCCTGTTCTTCCAAGGGATCAAGTGAACATTGCAGAATGGGCAATGACTTGGCAAAAGAAAGGCATGTTAGACCAAATTATGGACAAAAATCTTGTTGGAAAGGTTAATCCAGCTTCTCTAAAGAAATATGGGGAGACAGCCGAAAAATGCCTGGCTGAGTATGGGGTTGATAGGCCATCAATGGGCGATGTACTGTGGAATCTGGAATATGCTCTCCAGCTTGAGGAGACCTCTTCAGCTCTCTTAGAGCCTGAAGATAATAGCACAAACCATATTACTGACATTCCTTTGACGTCGCTTGAGCAATTTGACAATAGTACGAGTATGATTGGAGGCGGAACAGATGATGATGCGGATGATGCCGCCACAAGTGCTGTTTTCTCTCAGCTAGTGAACCCACGAGGAAGGTGAGAATGAATCTTTAAGAAGCTTGGCCTTGCCATTTTCCAACCCGATTTTGTGCTCTTCTTATACTCTAATGGATTTACCACCATTGGTTACATTGTTGATTAGTAATTCTTTTTTACCTACAATCTTTTCTTATAGTGAAATTATAGTGCATGTATTATAGACGATAAAAATGGGGAAAAGGCATCCTCCAAAATTAGAGTCCATTTACCCCAGAATGTGTATCATTCTGTTCGCTTCAACAAATAGAATACTAAGCTGTACTTACAACACACAGGAGGAAATATTGATATGACTGTTCTTACCTTTGTAAATCATACATGAATTATCAATGAACTTTGGCCAACAGTTTTCATTTTTTTGTCCTTTTCTCTCTTTAACTGATTATTTTTCCCTTTTTTTTTTATGGTTAGAGAGGGAACCTGTTCTTGTTTTACACTCTTTGCCTTTTTCTCTTGAACTTCATCGAAGCATTATGTGAAATGCGACTTATGGTTGGTAATTTCTAGGCTAGATGCATGTATTTCAGGAGACTAGCAGTAAATTAAAATGTAGCACAAGGTTGAAGCCTATGATTCTGTCTTTCTTTAGTTCTACTTCAGCTGCTAACATTTTCCTTTGGAGTGCATGTCTCTGAGCAGTTAATTAGCCAATAGAGAACAATCAATGTGATTCTCTTATCCATGTTGTTGTAAATGGAAAATGGCGGATGCTAAATATCAAAAAAACAAAAAATAGAAATACATCTTGTAAACTGTAGACACACCACTAATAAAGTGCATGACATTAGACTCAAAACTCTTGGCAAAATGTGGAACTATTTGATCCTTTTACTCACTTGCGGCAAACTATTCCATTGCCACCGCTTGTACAATCTAAGGTGCCATATGCTGTGCTTGGTGAATCCTCTTCAACCAAGGTTTTAAGTGGAGAGAACACACAGTACTTGCAATCTGGAGACAAAAGCGAAGCAGTCCTGTACTTGTCTTCGCCTCCAACAACTGGCATTGCAACGCCCGGCTTTGCAGGGTTCACGAAATCCGGCCTGTAAGTTTTGCCGAGGACACCTTCCACCTTTGGATTTAGGCCAAAGAATCTGAACTGTGCCTCCAAATGAGCAAAGCAGTCATCAGAAGGTATCCCATAGTTGTGGATCCTGTCATCTTCCTTTGTCACAGGAATGACATTCACAGAAATCTCTGCAAATTCAGGGATGGTGATAGTGGCACTAGCCTTTGAAGCTCTGTGAATCCTGATCAACGACCCTGCGGATACCCACTCATACGGGAAATCCTCTGCGACCTCTAGCTCCATTCCATCATAGGAGAACTTGAGGTGCTCTTCCTCATCATTCCATGTTGCTGATTTGATAGCCTCAACAGAGAAAGAGTGGGAGTCGAAAAGAACCCCCAGCGCTTGGATCCAGGTATAGTCTCTTGGTCTGCCAGCCGGCCTTAAACCAATGAAGCGGGCGTTAATCTGGAGATTAGGGTCCGAAACCAAGGTGAAGTGGCCATTTCTTTCGCCATGGAAGTAGAAAACTCTCCCATCTCCACCAATGAAGCGGGGATCCTGGCATGCTGCTCCCTTGCCATTACAATTTGGTATCTGTGCTGTTAAGTATCAAAACATGCAATGTTTAGTAATTAGAAAACCAAGCAAATGACCTGAAATGAAACAGGCAAACAAGAAATGAAAAGCAAATGCAGGGAAAATGAGTGCAAAGTCTTTACTTTTGCATTCGGCCGAGCACAGTGGTGAATCACAGTTGATAGAACAAATTTTGCCATTGGTAGGAGATGTTCTTGATGGGCATTCTTGTGGACAGGCGGCGTACTGGAGGAAACACGGGCTCCCGTGATTGAAGCAAGTTACCGTATCCTTCTTGTTGTTGGCTGCCTCTGCTATGATAGCAGCAGAAAGCAGCAAAACAAGAAACACCAAATGGCTTCTTGGAATCTGAATCATTATATCTTTCTCTTCTATATCTTGATCTGGAAGCTAGGTTCGATGTCGGTTGAATGCCATTGGTATACCATACTATCCACCTTTATAATAGCTATAATCAGGAAAGCTGCATAGTTGACTTTTTTTAAACCTTTTTTTTTTTTTACTAAATCCTAAGTCCACAAGTGTTTTTGGGCGTTTTGGATTTGTCAGATCACGATTTTCCCGGCAGATGTTAATGTTATAAGAGTGCATGGGTTACTGCAGACTAGGAAACTCCTGAACATGGAGACAATCACATGACAATTTAATCTTTCGAGCATGCTGTTAATTACACCATTAAAGAAGCTAGTTAAAATCGTTTCAAGAATCGAGATAACTACGTGTCTCGATGATTTTCAAGGAGTTCAAGTTTTTGCGTTTTAACCGTGGTATATGAACACAGTTAAGGCGGTGGAGATATGCCTTCAGCATTTCAATTAATAGTTAAGGCGGTGAACTTTGTTCTTAACTACAGTCAGTTTGAATGTGGTAAAAATGGGGAATGAGGATGATGAAACAGAGGATCTGTTTTCATGGGGGATGCATGTGAAGAAGATGATCAAAAATTGGGGGGCACCGAACCTCATCAATCATCAAAGAAAACCCTGGATTCTCTCGCCTATGTCTTCTCAACCGACAGTGGCAATGAAGCTGGAATTTTAAATTCCATGCTTCATGAACCTTCTCAAACATCTACATACTTTTTCGTTTTAGATCAATTCTAACCTTGAAACAGAAAACATTAAACCTAGGGTAAGATTCTAGTTTGTGGACATGTTAATGGGCTAAGTTCAGTTTTTCAGCTCTGCAATAAAACGGCCCAAGTCTCGCGACAAACTTGCTTCCATAATCCATACTCTGCACTTACAATCCCCCACCATTAAAATACTCTGCACTATTCATGTCCCTTTGGACGCCAAATCTTGCCAACACCTCCCTCCAAAACTAGAAAAATCTTAGAATTGGATAGATTAGCCACACCCCTAACTTGGGGATGTTTTGTATTTCAGCCTCAGGTTCACCCCTATTATATATATATACAAAAATACTCTGCACTATTAAACAGTCAACTATTTTTAATTTTTTAAAAAAGATAGTGATATATACAGAGAAAAATTATAAGGAAAATTTATGAGAAATGATTAGTCAATCGTCTAAATTATGTCATAACCTTAAATTGTAAAACTCCAAATGGAGAGTCTTAGAAATGAATAGGTATGATAATTTCTAGTCATTTTTCCTTGTCATTTTTTCATATCATTATTCTTTTCAAAAATCTTTCGCTGGCAGCAGCCCTTTTTGCACTCCCGGTTCTGCCCTTCCAATATTGATTATTGTTTGAAAAGTTTTGCCTTCCATAAAAAAATTTATTCGCTTTATGTTCATTTATGATTATCTCATTATGAAAAATACATGAGTAATGATTATCTCTAATATGTGTTCATTTATAATTGTCAATCCCGTGTAACGCACTCGTCTAATAAACATGTAGTAATGAAATATAATGGAATGTCCGTAATAGGTTATCCTGAATCTTCCTTCATACTTGGTGGGCATATTAGTGATAAAAACAAGATAATTATCAATTAATACACTCTTTACTATTACCGAGAGTATAATATGAAATGGCGTAAGAATTTTTCATAGTGTAATATTTGATTTTTGTAAGTCGCAATGTATTATAATGGAAGTAAACCTATTTTATTTTATTACACTTTCATAGTGTAATATATATATACTAGTGATGTCTGGTCGCGCTGTGCGCGACCCTGACCCAGTCTATCTGTAGATCTTAGAAATATTTATATTTGAAAAAATAAAATTTTGTATTTGAAGCGATATATTTTAGAAATGTTTGAAGGATTTAGAAATGTTTTATAAGTGTGATCATAAAAATATTTGTATTTCAAAAAAAAAGAAATTGTATCTCGCCATGTATGTTTTAGAAATGTTTTATAAGTGTTACTTATTAAATATAAATAGACTTAATCGAATATATGTGTTGAAATAAATGTTAGACAAAATGTAAAAGTACCCTAATAAGTTTAAATATTAGTAAGATGATTTATTGATGTTCTCCATTGGTCGTGCCAAATCAATATTTAGTTTTGGAAATTTTTAATAGCTTTGTAATAAGTTTCATTCGAAGGGTATACGCTTAAAATAAAATTGACACTTTGTAACAAAAACCTAATTGATCAATTCAATTTAGACTCCATAATTAAGAAAAGAAAACCACTCTAATTGAATGAAACATAAAGAAAAAATTAAAAAAAAAAAACGTGTCACGTAAAGTGCAAAGAGGATTTAGTAATTTAGTTAGGGTTAGACAAAAGGGCAATTTAGTACTTTATTCATGTCACGTGGCAATCATAGGAGGTGTTTGAAAGGGAGTTTTTATTTCTAATATAGTAGGATATATATATATATATATATTAAAGTAGAGTTTTCAATCGAACACATGGCGTAAAATTAGATAGACTAATCCACGTGGTAAAAATTTAGATAATCGAATCCACATGTCGCAACCACATCATCTCATCATTTAATGATAATTTTTTATTGTAAAATTATAAATATGTAAATAACAAAAATGATATATTTCATCACAAAATAAACCATCATAATCAAGATGAGAAAAAAAAAATCCCCCACCACATCCAAATTGTTATCTATTATATATAGAGATGGTTCATAACTAATTAAACATTATAACTTATTTCATAGAAGAATCCATGTATTAAAAGATATTTTTTAATCGGACACACAACGTAATAGATATTTAATTTTTAATGTAAAATTTACCAATTTGTAGATAAAACTCATATACATTAAAATATATGTATTAATAATGGTAATAGATTTCTCATTGGACATATTTATTTTCCCTTTAAAAGTATATATTAAAAATGGTAAGAATTCTCATTGGACGTATTTTACCATTACATCAAATGGGTACAAACCATAAAATTATATGTGAATTTTTAATTGGCACATATCCATACATACATGTGGATTCTTAAATAGATGATATAAAGGCACATATTACCCTTAAAATTAAATATGTTGATTTCTAGCGGGCACATATTTATTACATATATGAATCATGTGCCCGGCCGTAATGGCAAAAAAATAATGAGCAAAAATTAATATTAATAGAGTATTATTTATATTAAGTGCCGTTATAGAATGGGTAATTTAACGGGAATTATAAATATATTTAATAAATCTAATGGGTAATATATTTTTTGCCCATTAACATGCAATACTAATAAATTATTTTTTTGATTACTTTGTATAAAAATTATAAAAGAAAAGTACTTAGATTAAGAATAATTATATATCCGTTTAATTATAAAGAATTACAGCTTCCCGAGGCCTAATAATATTAAACTATACACATGATTATTTAAAAACTTACGCAACATAATAAATGAAACTATTCGTCAACGTAATTATACTATAAAAATATATAGTTTAATAAATAATTTCAAATTATTTCATCATTAATTAATACTCAATATTGGTGCTACATAATTTTTTTAAATCTTTTTCTTTGCATATGTATCTTGAAATTGAAGTGTGGTATGAAATTTTCATCGATAAATCTTCTAACCTTGATAAAGATTGGTAATTTACAACAAAATATGAAAATCAATTAGCTGTTTATTTTATTTTTTTCATATGATATAATGGTATAAAAGGTTCACTTTATGATGATAAAACAAAATGTAAAAGTCAGTAGGGAGATAGTTTTTCAAAATGAGAAAAAGAATAAAGGTATTTGTGAAAGGAAAATAGTAGAAGAAAAGCATATTTCGGAATTTATAATATTATATGGAGGAAAAAATCATGTAAAGAATAAAAAAAATATGAAAAAAAGAAAACTGAGATAATAGTGGAAAAAATGAAATAATCGTTACAAATTTTCAAGAAATGAAAATTTAAAAAGAGGTCATCTAATTTAGAAAAGAAAAAAGACGAAGGCTATGGAACCAAGAAAAAAAATGAAGTTAACACTACATTACATTATAGGAAAGACATACAAATAAACTTCTAAAAAAGAGGTTGCAAATGGATATAGAGAGATGAAAAATAAAGATAAGTTTACGAAAAAAAAAATAATGAGAAAGTTTTCTGTTAGAGAGATCATTATAAAAAATTAAAAGAATACTTTTAAAATATATAAGACCATAAATCAATGAAATCCTAAAATAATTATCATAGTTAAAATAGACAATAAGTTACATTTGATAATTTTGAATATTGAAAATAATTCTAAATGTACTTAAAATAACAAAAATATTGGCACTAAAAATTATATAATAGCAACTTATATTTTTATCGTTGATATTATCTTTTTACACATATCATTCAGATATAAATATCATAGAATCATTAAATTATTAAGTTCATATATATCTTGAACAACCCACACAACGTGCAGGGTAAATACTAGTATAAATAAAAGTAGATAGACCGTAATAATGTAATTGAAATGATGACGTGACAATTACATTACTCCTTCCATTCTAAAATACGTGTCGTTTTAACAAAATGTAGAAATTCCAAAATAAGTGTCGTTCTCACATTTCAATGCACTTTTTGTCGAAAGTTTCCAAAATTACCCTTAAAAGAGTTGATGCTATTGGTGGACAATTTTATAATGGGGTTGGTTGAGGATATTTAAGTAATTTTATTACCCTATTTAAGAGTTTCTTAAACTATGTGTAAAGTGTAGGATGACACTTATTTTGGAACGAAGGGAGTGCATCTCTAATAGTGTAAATAATTGGATAGTTTCTCTATCTCAAAAATCACACGGGCACAGCTCACGGGTGTTAAATTGAGTAATTATGAATTCGTGAAGAGGAGGAGTGATCAATGGTTTTTTTTTTTTTTTCCCTAATTCTTTTCACTCTCATTATCGAGTAAATTTTATGATCACGTTCTTCAAGACCAATTTTCGCTTCTAAAAAAGTAATTCAATTTGTTGAGTTAAAAAAATTTTCAACCTGAAAAGAGTATGTGATCTCTTAACTTAAAGTGAAAGAAAAATTCCTAGGTGAGAAAAGTGGCATATGATATCGTATTGCATTAGAAAAATGTGGCACCTTATTTAATTCAATGTGGCACCTTATTTAATTCATTTATAAGTCTCTTGGGAATCGAACAATGGCCGCTGGTTAAGGTTTTCCTGGGAAACAACCCAGGTTTGAATTTCATTGGGAGAAAGGATTTAGGATGGGATAGTGGGAGGGCAAGAGTTGAAATAGGGTATACCTATCTAAAATTGAATCAAGTTTAGTAAAATAATGCAGAAGAATGAATAGTGCAAGTAATACTCCTCCGTTTAAAAAAAATAATTCACATTGAGTTTTGTACTATTTTAGGATATAAATTTTCTTGCTTATATCCTCCTATGTCTCTAGCTCTTCACGTTGGTAACCCAATGATATTGTTGAATTGATGTATGGTTTGATTTTAGTAGTATGGCTAAAACTTCAACAACCCACTTGGGTTCTGGGCAATTTGGCCAATTTAGATCACGAATTTAACGCAAATTTTCGAAATCTGTTGGTGTTAGGAAAGTCCTGCACTTGCACGGTAACACTGAAGAAATGATTGGTTAATTCGATAATCCGATTTGATATAATGAGTATCTAAGATGTGATTAATGTGTTTCAATGGTTTAATTTTCGTGTTTTGTTAGTTTAATGAGCAGAGCTTAATTGCTTCCTTATTCGAACTTTATTAATTAGACGAGCGCCAGAGATTGAACTTGTTCATAACATATGGCCATTATTAGCATGCAGAATTGCAGATGGTAATGAAATAGTTAAATGAAACAGCTGATTTTTAAGTACAATTTGCCAAATTAAGAAATCTCAATTTCATCATGGATGCATGTGAAGAATTTAAATAACTCGCAGAGAGATTATAGTACACCCTCCGTCCCAAAAATTGTCCAGTTTCATATTTTATTTTTAACGCAAATCGAACTAAAAATAAACATTCAAATTGAATAATAATTTCAAGACGGAGGGAGGGAGTATCTAATAAAATAAATTCACATGAGGCCGGCTCTTAGTGATGATGACCAAAACGTCGATCGGGACAAATTGACGACTTTTATAATCACCATTTTACTGTGATTTTTTTTTTCTTTTTTTCTTCTTAACTTTCTAAGGCCGAGATGCGGACTATATGATTTGTATAATCAATTGGAGGCTGAGGAGGGAAGAAATGTACTCCAAAAAGACTGCTGAAGTGAAAAAATTATTCAGTGTAGCTGCTGTACCACATAAGATTGTGCAGCCAGATACAATAATAGGGATAAAGTAGTAATTTTGGAGAGAGAAAAGTAATTTCTACGAGAATTATAACACCAAAATAAGAGTCGCAGCAACATCCAAAGGGGATATCTCGCATGAGATGACCTACTCCTTCGATCAGAATAACAGGAAACAAAGATGAGAGAACATTACGTCGGCTCGTTAAGGAAACTTGTTATTTTGGGCCTAATGATGAAACTAATTCTCCCTGTTGGCTTAGAAGTTTGGCGAGTGGTTATCTTCAAATCCTCCTCCTCCCTCTCTCTCTCTTTTTTAATAACAGATGCGACGAAGTCTACAACACCAAACCATTATTGCGTGGTAAAACATCAATAACGTTGTGTTCTAATCATGATTACACTCCATCAGTAAGATCATACCAGTCTTAGAAATTCCCCAAAACTATATGTGTCTCGTTAAAGAAATTAAACCTGCCCCACGTCTGGAAATAAAACTAGTGCTTGAAGGAAAAAATGGGATAAATTCACCGGATGAGCAAAGAAAAACGACTGTTATATTTCACCAAATTTAGGATCCAAACTCGGATGGGAGAATTAATAGAAATGCTGTAGAGAAAAGGGTTAAGGAAGCATGCATCTTGGATTCTTCGTTGCCTAGTTGGTTTTTCTACCTTATAATAAGATGCCTAATGTATTGATTGCCTAATTTATTGTCATTTTATCTTGTGTAGATCATAATCTATATGTGGAATAAAACTGGAGATCCATTTTGTAATAAATATAAGCACATACACAAATGTTTGATCATGAACTTCATGCATGTGTTAAGCCATGTAATTAAGAGGGATATATACGTCAAGACTAATTCATCCTGCACTGTTCCAGTGACTTATTTATCAGTAACTACTTCAAGAAATTGTTAAAAGTTAATTACAGGACATCTCTTTTTCTGAGAAAAGGGAGTAGTATTCATTGAGTTCAGCATCAACATAACCAATATGGTCCCAACCAATTAAATTCAGAAATTCACACCTCCAGATGTCCACATTACACAGTGATTTTTCGTTAAACAAACTATTGGAGATGTTACGTAGAATGTCATAAACGGGAATCCATTGCCAACTTGCCAACAAACGCTTAGGCTTGTTTGGCCAACATTTTGTTTTAGTTTTTGATTTGATTTTGAGATGTGATTTAAAATGTATTTTGAGATAAAATTTAAAAAATTGTTTAGGTAATATTTTTAGAAAATCATCGGACCACCTCCACCACCGGCGGCGAACTGGCCGGAATTTAGCCGGAATCTGGCGGTGGGCGGTTTGGCGGCGGCCGGTGGCGGCAGAGGTGGTCCGGTAATTGTGAATGAAAATTGTGTAAAAATAATTTTTGGAATATTTTTTAAAAGGTAAATTAAAAAGTTGCTTAGATAGTATTAGAATTTGTGTTTGAGAGGTATTTTAAGAGGTAAAATAAGTCAAAAATGCAAAAAGTGACTTGTTCAAACAAGACCTTAATTTCCTGGATTAACTTAATGAATATTCCAGTGCTTCTTTCCATCAGTGAAATTGCTGGAAATAAATATACTTAGATGACTCGTGCACATTGGGTCGCAATAGAAACAGTCTCTTTGATTATAACATGATGATCTAGGGCTATGACATGAATTGATATAATTACCAAGCTCCCATTCATCTTCTTTATTACTTATGCTGTTTAGGATGATCATCAACATTTTGATGTCACATAAATATTATTGCTGTATGGTAATATTTCGAGTACATTATTTGTTACACAGAACAGTAACTTATTGAAGTACTACTACATTTGGAAAAACTTCCATTTACAGATAATTGTAAAGAAGGGAAGCATTTTTATTCATCAAGACTATTCCAGTGTAGGCCGATCATTTCTTGCAGACGATTCCAACGCCGCGGGACAATCCACTGCTGCATTTCAGGGTTCCATACTCAACCAGAAATGGGCTGTTCTTGCTGTTGCCATCATTGCTGTTTGGTTTGAACAAGCAGTCTTTGCAATCTGCAGAGAGAAGAGAAGTTGTTCTGTACTTATCTTCACCTCCAAATACAGGCATGGCATCACCTAATTTAGCCGGAGTTTCATAATCAGGCTGATAAGTACGTCCAATGACCCCATCAACTTTCGCGGATAGGCCGAAGAATCTGAATTGAACTTCCAAATGAGCAAAGCAGTCATCAGAAGGTATCTGGTAGTTGTGAACTCTGTCTTCTTCCTTTGTTATGGGAACCACATTGACTGCAATTTCCACAACTCGGGGGATGGAGAGGATCACTGAGTTCTTGTCAGCGACCCTTTCCAGCTTAACATTTCCGTCTGGTGAGTTCCATACAGCCAGAGCTCCTTCGGAGAGGGAAATTTCTTCGCCATCGTAAGAGAACTTAAGATGGTCGATTTCATCTTCCCATTTGGCTGCCTTGGTGGCCTCAAGAGAGATAGAATGGGAGCCAGAAAGAATACCAAGGGCCTGAATCCATGTGTAGTCCCTTGTTCGGCCAGCAGGTCGGTGGCCAATGAATCTGGCATTGATTTGTAGGTTAGTATCAGAGACTAAGCTGAAATGTTCGTTGCTCTTACCATGGAAGTAGAAAACCACGCCGTCTCTACCAATGAACCGGGGATCCTGACATGCAGCCCCGCGTCCATTGCAATTTGGTTTCGCCCTGTCTACACAAGTAACCACATAATCATCAGTAAATAGTTAAAAGAGAAACAAGATATATGATCAAGTTGATGAATGGTTATTAGGTCTTACTAATGCACGTCGCCGCGCATATTGGAGAGGAACAATCGACAATGCAAGCTTTCTTATTTTGGCCATTTGGTGTTGTGGTTGGGCATTGTGCTGGGCACGGCATGCTTATACCGCTACACGGGCCAGAGGAACAGGTAACACTGTCGGTTAGTGTTTTCTTTGCAAGGACTTGTGACGTCCATGTTATGCAAATCAGCTGCAAGAGGATCAAAATGTTAAGGGAACCTGGTATCTTCATTGCTCAACGAAAAAAATGGAGGAAATGAGGTTTTTGGCTTAAGATAGGTTGCATTGGTTGAAAGTTGAAACTGTAAAGTCAATTTATAGAAGCTGGAGGTTGGAGGATTATATGTTCTAGTTCCCTTCATCGAGGGATTCCCACATGATAAAATTCATTTACTTTTTGATGTTGCTAAATTGTTGGAGTAGTTTCTCTTGGGCCGGCTCCAGGTGGAAATTAAGAAGCTTCTCTCTTTCATGTCTGCAACAGAAACCCTTTGCGTCTAGTTAAAAAGCGTTACTTGATGATTACCTTGCTTGTAGAAGGGTTTTAAGGGTTGACTTTCATTGTGTGAAGAAAGAAAGATGGTATAGATAGTTTTATTTTTACTTGCTTTTCTGTTTTTCCATCTGCTAACAACATATCCACCCTTTTCTTTTTTTAAATTTGCCTATATATAGCTTCAAAAAGGAAAATCCTATGTGTTACTCCAAAATTCGGGGCTTAAAAGATTTCCAAACATGCACGCGAGAAAGGTAATATGAAAAATGACACATTTTTCTATTAAGAATCAGACATTCTTTCTGCAGAGTACTACTGTATACAGATACAGAAACTAACTTTTAATGTGTATACAGACAAAGGGCCTCTGCATTTTGCAGGGACTAAGAGAAACATAACATGAAGAGAAACTCTACACTAAAATCTATGAAAATGGAGCTACCCTAGAAGTCACCATGGATCAGAGCAGGCCAAAATGTCCAGCCAACATACTCACAACACAAAACTCTATCCATCTAAGGCCGCCACTGACTGGGCTAAAACTACCCAAAAAGAGGGGAAAAATCTACTTTTGATTTCAGTATATCAATTGTCAACCCTATTAGCTACAATCTACAAAAGGGTCATATGTCAAGCAAAATGATCTCATCCTTTTTTATGTGTATTCCACTTAACTATCTGTTGTCGCATGACTACATCATATAACAGTTTGAGGTCCAGACAAGCGATTCCGGCCTCTGCCTTTACGTACATTTGCAAGGGTAGTGGTCACAGAGCTGCCTAATGCCCCTAAACCACTAGCTCCCATTAACTTCAGATTCATATTCTTGAACAAATATAACAACTTACCCTGAGTTCCTCCACTGACCTGCAGCAATTCTCGTGCCTGTTCTCGAGATAGAACTGTATATAGCTGCACTTGTTGGTCTGGCAAACCATTTTGATTGTAAGCTGCCTTTTCACCAGAATGTTTACCATGGAAATCATCCTCATGCTTTCCTAAACTAACACGCAAAAGCCCCAGCGATTTGGGCTCTTCAGTTAATGGATTAAAGACAAATAAGAGCTTTCCACATTTTATATCAGGCTTCTTAAACAGCTCTACCAAAATGTCATTGCTTGGACCAATACTCTTCTGTACAAACTTCCTAGGATTACTTTGACGAGCTTTTGTCGCTAGTAATATACGTGAAGCTTCTCTTAAGCCACTAAGAAAGGCACCATGCATGGTCGCGGGATGTTGTCGAATTGTGGCCTCGCCCGCAAAAAACAGCCGAGTCCCAACACTTTCTGAAAGTATATCATAATCACTTCCAGATGATTGCACTTGGACATGAGAATATGAACCATAAGAAAAGGGATCACTGCTCCATCTTGTACAAATAGATTGTATGGGGTTAGGCACACTAATGCCCTTTGGGCCATATATAGCTGCATAAATGGCAGAACAAAGATGAGTAGGCAGGGCAGGTGAATCTCATTTAGAGCAGGCAAAATTATTAGCTGTTTGGACAAAACATAACATGAACAGAATAGAGTAGAAATATAAATACCTCGGAGGACATTCAGAACACGATGAATCATAATGGCTGGATCAGTATCTTCAAATGATTGTGCAGCTTCTCCAGCCACCAGAGCAACTAATACTGCTCCACCAGAGACAGTATGGTAGCTGTAAAATAAGAAAAACTCTCCTCGTCTATGGCTGAACTCATTGAGACAGCCAAATGTATCTAACTCTTCTCCCCAGAAGTTGTGAGGAAATAACATCGCAACCTTATTTAACAATCCAAAACCTAGTCTTTCTATTGCTTGTAATTTCCTTTGCGGCAATTCTGGCTCAAATCTTACTGTTTTCTTTTTTAGGACCCCAAGAGGAAGAGTACAAAGGACCATATCTGCTTCAAACACTTGGTCTCCGGCAACAACTTCAACACCTTCATCGCCATACCTAATGGTCTGAACAGTCTTTCCATATAAAATAGGGACCCCTTTACACAATGCTCTTATAAGCCCCCAATTTCCACCAGCAAGAAAGCAATGATCACCACCCATTTCATAAGGATCATCCTGATCCCAGTAAGCGGCAGAAAGCTTTGAAAGGCATCCAGCATTAGCATATTCTAAATTCGCAAAATGCCAATCAAGGAGTTGTCTTTCCTCAGGCGTTTTAGCTACACCAAAAAAATCTCTGAATTTCTCTAAAACTGAGCCTAAAGATGTGTGGTTCGCAACTCTGCCCACTACCCCCCTCAATTGACTTACTTGGTCAAGTAGCTTATTGAAGATGAGTTCCACATTGGAATCAGCTTCCTTATCAACTGGTGATCCATCAGGCTTGTACAATGGGCAGTTGTCTCTCACCTTGTGAAGGGGAATTGCCAGTTGTCTAGCTAATACTCCTAATGGATTTGCATGAATACCAGTGATCACGCTTCCTCCAAGATCTACAGCAGCGAATGTGCCGTCGTGACCCATTCTCTGAGTATATACCCTTCCCCCTGGTCGGTTCCTACCTTCAAGGACCATCACCTTAAAACCAAATGACCTCAGCTGCCGAGCTGCGGACAACCCAGCTAGGCCTGCTCCAACAATTATTACAGACCCCTCAGATCCCTCCTCTGAACTTGGAGGAGAAAAGGAAGGTAAAACTCCAAAGTTTATGTACCCATTGTACAAAAGGAAATCATAAGCAATGCTCAACAATTTTTCATACTCACTACTTACGGTCTCTCTTAATTGTCCCTTTGAGAGCCAACTGCGAACATTAGCTCTCCACGTCGCAAGTATATGATTCCTTACAACAATATAATCATTTTGCTCTTTCCCTCCCAACTCAGTGACAACCCGAGCTTCAATCTCTTGCGGAAGCAACTCATCTATGGGAAACCCCAAAGATAGAGCTATCATGGCCTCGATTTCAGTTTCTTTCTCCAAATCCTCCTTAGTTCTCTTTTTTTTCTTTGAAGCACCACCACCTATCTGTGTCTCGATTAGCTCATCCATCAAACTTTCATCATAATTCTTCAGAGCAGATTTGCGCCTTGTCGGCCTCTTTGAAACCGAGCCATCTGAAACTGGGGTGGTCATCATTGCCTTCACAGACATTTACACTAATTAATCAGAGATTCAAATATACCAAGCTTCCCCTCCCCTCTCCCTCCCCCAACATGATTTCTTGGATTCAAAACCCAATACACTGTAATCAAAAAAATTTTCCCTTTGTCAAGTTCATGATACAAGTGACAGACAAATCAACACTAAGAGACAAAACCCGGCGAATCCAATTCAAATTTTAACTACACCAGCCATATCTACCAATTGAAGAAAATTCCTAATGTCAAAGCAAGAAACAACGTATTTTCATCTCCAACTTTACAGTTCAAATTAAAAACCATCAAAACTTTCCAACCAACACTAGAGCTGAGTTTCTGTACGGAATATCAAAGGTTTATGCAACAATTCAATGCAACCAACCAGAATGGATAGAGAAAATAACCAGAATTAAAATTTTGAATCAGAACGCCTTCGAAGGATTGCATGGGAAGTAAGAACTTACAGTTGAATTGCAATTCGACCGGTGAATTGGGGGAAATTTTGGCAATGGCGCTCGAATTAGGGTTTTTCAGGTAAGGTGAAGTGGAGTTAACGGTGATTTGGAAAATTCTTCATTTGGAGGGAATTACAAGTTTTATGGGCTTAACGGCGACAAGCGTAGGCCCAGCAGTACTTCCGTTAGACTTAACAGTTTCAGAACAGAATATTGCAGCTTTGCCCGGCTTTTTATTGATTGTGATTGGAAGTCTGGAATTGTAAAAATCAAAGAGTTTCACAAACTCAAAGGACAATAAAAAATCACCACAATACAGCCGAAATTTATAGTAATCTGTCTATCTAACAAGTTATACTCCCTCCGTTCCATAATTATTGTCCACTTCGACAAAAAAATTTTATTCAAAAATTATTGTCCAGTTTGACTTTTTATGGATTAAGTTACACATTTGACCTTTAATTAAAAACTTCATTTCACTAGATCCAGAGCTTTGAACTGCAAATCGGAAAGCAACCGGAGCTTTGAACCGTTCATCGGAGTCCACAAGAGATCAGCAATTGTCTTGCCGCCTTATGGCCAATCACGGCGGTGATTTTCCGGCCGGCGCCCCTCAGAACCAAATTCAAGAATGTTTCAGGCCATACATGGTATACCAGATTCAGGAACATGGACTTATTCGTAGAGTAATGTTCTATTTGCTCACATAATCATCTCAAAAACACAGGGGATTAGTAAAAAATATTGTGAGGAGATCGAAAATAAGATATGCCGAGGGAAACGGTGGTCCGGGTTTTCTGAACCGCATCAGCATCCGCCGTAATCAGGTGGTTGCCATGGAATCCCACGACCAAGAACTCGAAGACCTCGAGATTTTCCAGAAGTACACTGCCGAACGTTTCGCCGACCTCCTTCCGCCGCCCACTCCGACTCTAGGCTCTGGTCATTCCTCTACCCCGAAAAACAAGGAAAATGGCAACAACAACAACAATAGTGGTTAGACGCCGTCATCAATTTCCGCCGTCGAATCTCCGTTATCGGAGTACAACCCGCCCGCCGATTCCGACACCATTATTGTCAATTGAATGGTTCCGCAAGCGTTTAGACGTCTTCCTCTGCTGCAAAGAAGAGTATAAGGCCGTATTTTCTTCAATTTTCGTTCTTGAATTTCTATTGAATATATGAATTGGGTTTTGAATTTCCGGTGCTAATGTGAGAAAGAAGTGGAGACCTTTACCCGTTAAACAATTTTTTATGCAGAGGTATATCTGGTTATTTAAGACAAAATATAGTGAAGTTTGACAAAAAATAAAATCTTTTATTTTAACCAAATTGGACAATAATTATGAGACGGAGGGAGTAATAATGTATGATCAACCGTACGCTACAAAAGAAAGATTTTGTATATCTACTATTTTTGCCCAATTTCAAACACAATATTTTAGATTACCATAATCTGGAAAAAAGAAAGAGAGAAAAAGAAATGGTAATATCTAAGTAATGTAAAGGGGGAGTTCACCGGGTCAGCACCAGTTTGTGTTCCGTTCCCGGTCGGTAAACCCGGTGAACCCCCTTTCTCCTTCTGGCTTTGTCGTCTCCCTTTCTTCTTCTCTTTGCCGTCTCGTCTTTTCTCTGTCTTACTCCTTTGCATTCAATTCAATAAGCAAATTCGAGCAGAAAAAAACCTCATAAAGGGATTTTAGGGATTCAACCCCCTTCCTTAATCAAACTCATTGGTATTCAAAGGTGAAGACATCCCAATTGAAAGTAGATTCGTGAAACCTAATTGCCGGTCACAAAATTGCTGGTTCTGGAGCCGTCCTCTGCCGGCGATTGGGATGCCCACAAGGCTCACCACCACCACAATAATGTCGAGCAGCAGGACCGGAGGCCTCTCAAGGGATTCTCAAGCTGCTCCTTCTGCGAGTGAGTTGCTGGGCATTCTCGAATTTGATTCTGACATGGCTGGTAAGCAAGGGGCGGCGCCGGTTGGTAAGGTGAACGATAGTAACAACAATATTGAGAAAGATGATGGGTAAAATGTTTATGGGTTTTCAGACTTTTTGGTTTGGGAGACTCCTTCTATGGTTAGTCTTGATGATCCGATCGTGCCTCCTCAGCGGGAGAGGGGGGCGATGATGATTGTTCTAGCGGCGCCGGAGGCGACCATGCTTTTCAGGCCATTGGAGTTCCTCCACTGCCTAAGGTTTATTTCTATTCCCTCTCTGACTCTTCTTCCCTTTTCTTTAAAGCCCAAAATGTATATATGTGATGAAAACAGTACTCTCGTGTTGGTATGTTCTTTTTTTGAGTATATTCATCTACGTAGCACTGATGCAAGAAAGAGTAATGCTTAAATTGAATCTATGGCCGATTTGGATTACCGAAACCTGGATCTGACTGGAATACATTTATTAACTAAATCAATGAGTTGTGGCCTTAAAAGAGTTTGTTTTCATTATGAGCCTGGCTGTGGGATGATTATTGCAATTCCATCACTCAAATTTCCATCTACAAACTGAAAATGGGTCTCTTAAGTGTTAGAAGGAGCTTTCTGTTGCTAAATTTTTGACGTTGCTCTTCTACAGAACCGAAATGCTACGTGTGGACAACACGAGGAGGAAATACTTGTACAAATTCGTGAATTTCAGAGTTGGAACCTAATTTGAATGGTGAAGAAGCAGAGTTTGAATCCTTTGGTGGATTCCAGTTCCTTGAAGCTGATCAGCAAGTCTATCAATCCAAAAAGCAAGATGAATATCTCGACAATGTTGAGCAACCAACATTAGTTTGTTTCGATGAGGTGACTCTTTACATCCTTCATAGTTTTTAGTTTGATATATATGATTATTTAAGCCATTCTTTTTCATTTTGTTAGTTGTCAAGCTGTAATTACTAGGCATATCTTAAGAAAGAAAGTCACTGGCTTTTAGAAAGTTTGTTGGAATGGGTGGTTGAATTGTAGGTTCACATGGAATAATCACACCCGGACATAAATCTAGATATTGCTCATTCAAAGGTAGACTCTTCGGATAAAAATCAAGAGTGGAAAATCATCTCATTATTATTTCTTTCTGTAGACTCCCTCAGTTGAATGGTTCAATGAATCAAACAAATTATAGTGTAAGACCAGGGTGTAATTTCGTTCAGAATTGTAGCTCTTTTGTGTATTTTCTATGATTTTCAATTACACTTGAATTGTGATTAAGGCATGAGTGTTGTAAGGGTAGTAGCAGAACAAGAGAAAGACGTTTGATAGAGCCACCTATGGCTACTCTGAAAATTTTCAGCCGAAACGCCTAGCATCAACCTTAGATGGTTTGGTAGAATTAGCCATTGGTGCTGGTAAAAGATTGAAATCTCTTGGCATTGCTGCATGTGCCAAAATAACCGATGTATCTCTGGAAGCAGTTTCATCGCATTGCCATTATCTTGAAACATTATCATTAGATTCAGAGGGTATACATAACAAAGGCGTCATCTCGGTGGCCAAAGGATGCTCGGCACTGAAAGTATTGAAGCTACGATGCATTAATGTCACCGATGAGGCTCTAGAAGCTGCGGGAGTCTTTTGTAAACAATTGGAGTTAATTGACATTGTACAGTTTTTAGAGATTCACATACAAGTCTGCCTACTTTCCTCTACTGTTAATCTCTCCTACAGTCTTTTTCTTGAAATATTATCATACAGAAAATGTTTTGTGGCTTATATACTTCCCGAGTAATCGGTGTAAATACTGAAAAGAACTTGATTTCGAACTTGAACCCAGCATGACCTCATAAATTCTACTGAACCTAGCTCAAGCTCTGTTTATAACCTTTCACCTCGCAATAAGAAGCCATCTTCCCTGCTTATCTGCAACCTCAGAAGATTATTTACTAACACATTCAATAGCTTGTCTTTTTTGTGAGATCTTTTTTTTGCTGTATTATTTTAACTGTTCTTCATTGTTACAGGAATATTTAACGGTTTCCCCTTGTTACAGGAGTCTTTGTGCTATAGGAAAAGGTTATAAAAAGTTGAAGAACCTTACATTGAGTGATTGCTATTTCCTAAGTTACATGGTTTGCAAGCTGTTGCAGCGGGTTGTTCTAATCTGACACATCTTGAGGTAAATGGCTGCCACAATATTGGAATAGCAGGACTGGAATCTATTGGAAAAGTTTGCATGTACGATTCTTCATGGTTTTAGTTTCTGTTCTCTTTATCATTACAGAGGTCTCAATAATGGTTAACAGTAAATCAATTGCAAAAAAAATTTGAGATCTCTTTTTTTATGTTCAATGTCCAGTTATGATCTGTCCCTTGGTACTTCTCCCTTTGTTCATTGAAAATTTTGCTTTACTTCTGTAGGAGCCTTTCTGAGTTGGCGTTGTTGTACTGTCAGAAGATAGGTGATCTTGCCCTTTCTGAAGTAGGGAAAGGTTGCAGGCTTTTACGAGTTCTTCCCTTAAACCTTTCTTGTTATAACATTCATGTTATCAAATTTAAATTCATGGAAATCATCATCATTGATAGGTCCTGCTTTACGGTTTGGTTTAGGTCCATAGATTGGATTCATACGTATCAACATTGGTATTCATGAAGATGAAGACCTTCGCATTGCTTTTTCATTTACAAAGGTCACGTACTTGTATTGAGGTATATAAAAAGTTTGTCTATTAATTGCCTACTGAATGACATTTTTGGGCAAGATCATATGTTCATTATTCTCATTATAGAATTTGTTTAGTTGTTTTCCATCTGCTATAACTTTGTGTTTCTCATAAAATGCACGACCAAATGCACAACACTACAATCGCTTATTTTTATTCGCTTATTTTTATTTGACCGGTAATAGATTTGCTGAGTATAAATATTAAGAAGGTTTCAAGAACTCAGACTGCCATCCCTTACTGACTAAAATCAGTTTGACAACAGACTCGGGTAATACATCCTAGGTTAACACGTTAAATCATATGACGTGGCACGAACCCACTTGGCTTTGACAACAGACTCGGGTAATACATCCTAGGTTAACACGTTAAATCATATGACGTGGCACGAACCCACTTGGCTTTCCTATCGATTTCAGTACGTCGACTCATTTCCTCCTGCTTACCTTTTGCTTCTATTAAATATAAAAATTACATATTCCACTGTATACAATTAACCAGGCTCCAATCCCTATTCCGTATTGTGCAGCGCCCCTCCCCTAGTATTTAAATAACGTGTCACTTTTTTCTTTTACTTATATTTAGACTCTTACTTTTGAAACGTGTTAAAGTCGTTCTGTATACATCATAGTTTATAATTGAATTGTGATGTTTCAAAAGATAACAAATGACTAACATTAAATGGCTCATTTCATGTATTGCAAAAAGAAAAAATTGTTCATAGCTTTTGTCACATAAGGACATAAGGAGTGAACGAAAGAAATGATTACAGTCTATAGTAATAACATATGTGAACGAAAGAAAAGGATATATATATATATATATATATATATATATATATATAGTTTTAAGACAGACGGATCATTTTATACAGGGTAAGAAAAGTAATGATTGTTTGTAAAAAAATAATCAAGTATTATTTTACAATTCAATGTGTGTATTATAATTTGATGGAATGCATATTACAAGGCTTTTTTTTTTAATTATTATTTTAAGAACGACATTGTTACATCATGAATAGTAATAATACATGCTAGTCCTTCCCGTCCTTATACAATATAAAACATTTTGATTTGTTCTAGTTTTAACCTAATACGTATTTTTAATTGATCAAAAAATTTTTAAAATATTTCATAACAATCAAAAGAATGCAACAAATGTGAAAATATATTTTTAAAATTTTTTCGTCCATTGAAAATGTATGCTAGCTGAAACTTAAAAAAATATCAAAATATCTTATATTAAGGATCGGAGTAAGTACTAACTACGAGTAATATTTTTGCGAGAAAGGGGAAAAAATAAAAAGAAAAAGAAAAAAGAAGTAATTGACACAGTTCCTGGTAGTCCTCCTATTTTCTCCCTCCAAACAGGTTCTTTTGCTGCAGTTTGATAAACAAAGCACTACCCAAGCGGAAGAGACGATGATGGCCTTATCCATTTACTCGGCCCCTTCACTTCGTCCTCAACAGACTCTCCAATTTCTTAAACCAGTCGTTACTCATCATCGTGTGAGCATAACTTGCCGAGTCTCAATTCCAGAGCTTCGTCAATCCGTCACTCCCTTTGTTCCTGAGGTATTGAATGTTTCTTTCCTCAAAAGGGCAATAGTTTTTTCCAGGAATCCTGCCTTGGGTTGCTAGAAATTATTCAAAGTGATCTTGGGTTCTTCCCCTTTTTTGGAATGGTGTTGATTAGGTTGAAAAGGCGGTGGATGCTTTGTACTCCGAGTTTAGAGCTGTGGATAATTTGGTGGCCCGTAATACTGCTCGGGTTCTTAAGGCTTTCCAAAATGCCCGTGTTGGGTCTCATGTAAGCATTTTGAAATTGAAACCCACATTACGTTTTGTTTAGTGCTGTGAAGTTCGTTAATGCTAATTGTTGATTGCTTATTGCTGCTACTAGAGAGAATGTGATCCGATCGACTAAAAATTGTGCCTAGTCTTTACTGTTGAATTTTGATTTTTTGTTATCTTGACCTTAGGCTTTCCAAAACCTGTATGTGCTTTTGCCTAACAGTATGTTCATTCGCCGTGTTCAACGAATTTTGTTACCCATTTAGACTCTTTTCTAATGTCTGCTTCAGCACTTTGGTGGGAGCACAGGCTATGGACATGAAGAAGCTGGCGGACGTGAGGCTCTTGACCAAATTTTTGCAGAAGTTTTTGGTGCTGAATCTGCTATTGTTCGAGCACAGGTTAGCCTGTGATGACTTCTATCCTTCCGATAATCAAATTCATTACTAATTTGGGCTTCCCAAATGCTGAGTTACCTTTTTCAATATCAGTTTTTCTCTGGTACACATGCCATCACTTGTGCTTTGTTCGCTTTTCTAAGGCCTGGGGATGAGGTTAGCAATCTCGTAGTTTCTTTTAAATCTTCAAGTCTCAAGCTAGCATTAAGTTGTTTGTTTACATTTAAGGTTTGTTGTCCATGGTTTTCAAAATGGAGTTTGACTGAATTGATTTTCAGCTTCTAGCGGCCGCTGGTGCTCCTTATGATACATTGGAAGAAGTTATTGGAATCAGGGACTCAAATAGAATGGGATCTCTAAAAGATTTTGGAATAGAATACAGAGAAGTCCCGGTAATGTTGTTACACTTATTATGCTGGTTTGTTTTTGGTAAGTTTTTGGAGATCCATTTTTCTGATTTTTATCCGTTTCTGGACATCTTCAGCTTGCAGCGGATGGAGGCCTAGATTGGGATGCACTTAAGACTGCCCTGAGACCAAAGACTAAATGTGCACTCATTCAGAGGTCTTGTGGCTACTCCTGGCGTCGCAGTTTGAGTGTCAATGAAATAGGGAGGGCTATTGATATTATCAAGGTATTGACTGGATAATCAACTGTGTGAACCATTTTACCAAAATCTAGTTATACAAATGATAAACAATGATGTGAAGGCATTCATTTCTCTTCTGGAAAATCCTTGGAGGCCTTCGAATCTTAATTTGGATTTACACGGGGATGTTAGTTTAACAAGCATGGTATCATACAGATGCAGAATCCAAACTGCCTGGTGATGGTGGATAATTGCTATGGTGAATTTGTGGAGGACATTGAACCCCCTATGGTTGTAAGTGACATATAATTCCCCCCTCCCATTGAATTGTAATCTTGTTTATGAAAGGTTAATAAGATTGAGGACAGGGTGCAGATCTAATTGCTGGAAGTTTGATTAAAAATCCTGGTGGAACTATTGCTCCATGTGGTGGGTATGTTGCTGGGAAGAAGGAATGGGTGGAAGCTGCGGCAGCCCGCCTATCAGCTCCAGGACTTGGAGTGGATTGTGGTTCAACTCCCGGTGACATAATGCGGACATTTTTTCAGGGTTTGTACCTTTCCCCCCAAATGGTTGGAGAAGCAGTGAAGGTACATTACTTTTGTTTATGGGTCTAGATGCCTTATATATTCTTTTTTTATACCTTGAATGATGTGTAAATGTACTCTCCAAGGGAAGCTTTTTAATTGCTGAAGTCATGACAGCTAAAGGATACAAGGTTCAACCTCTTTCTCGGGTTCCCCGTCATGATACAGTGCAGGTTCGTCTATGATTGTCTCGAGAATAATTATATTTTTACTGTTGAAGTAGATGGTGATCTCTTGTACACCTTGAGTTTTCTCTAAGTGCAAACCCATAATTATTTCGTGCCATGCACTCCTGATTTGGTATGCTGGTAGGCTAGAAAATGATAGCTCCTTAGTGATCACATATGTTTTTAGTAACTTATGGGTGTATTTTGGTTTGGGATTTCAACCAAATAATTGATTTCTTACCAAGTTTTTTCCATTTAAGCCCTACACATTTCTTTTTTCAGGCTGTGCAACTTGGAAGCCGTGAGCTTCTGCTTGCCTTCTGTGAAGCTGTACAGAGAAGCTCACCAGTAAGCTCCTTTATTCGTCCAGTTGCCGGTGCAACTGTTGGCTATGCTTCAGAGGTAAGGATATTTGGTTTACTTTTTGATTAAGAGAATTCTTTTCACCACCCAGCTACTTTTTCGGATATTTATTGAGGATGCTCACTGGCAGAATTTATGAGCTGCAAATTTTCTCTCTTTTTTTTTCACGGAGTGGATTAATATTTGTTTGTTTACAAGTAGTGAATGTGCCACAACACCTCAGTAATATGTTGGCATTTTCATCGTGAAGTCTGCTTTTGAGTCTTAAGTTTATTTGGAATGCCAATCATAACATTATTCAAATGATTGCACTTGGTTTAGGTGATTTTTGCTGATGGAACCTTCATTGACGGGAGTACAAGTGAACTCTCGTGTGATGGACCTTTGAGGGAGCCCTTTTGTGTTTTTTGTCAGGTTAGTGTGACATTAGCTTTTCTTCGGAGGGGTTACAATAATTTTTCGTAGAGTTTTAAGACCAAACTGGAGTTACTTCCCTAAGTCTCCAACTTCTTTGTCTGTGGATCTTGTTATATTTTTAGACACTACTGTTGGAAAGGTTGACTGCTGTATTGTGTTTCTAACATGCATCTACTGTGCAGGGTGGCACCCATTGGACACAATGGGGACTAGTCCTAGGAGAGATTCTAAAACTTTTGTGAGGTGGATCTTGTGAAAAGTTGGGTCTGAGGCATGCACATGTCCGTATTGTGGCGATATCATCTTGACATTCGAAGATTGTGCCCACTATTGAATACCATGGGCACCATAAAAAGCAGTTTTGCAATGCTCTATCCATGGATCTCAAGGTGAGATTTTCATTTTGGCTAGACTTGAAACCCAGTTCTATGTTTTGTACTGTGTTTTCTGCATTAGTATGAAACCCAATGTTCATACTTTGCAAGGGAATAAGATTTGAGCATTAATTGCGTTTTCTTTTCTTTCCTGTTTACCCCGTTTCTTAATTTTGGTTTATGTATAGAAACCTTAACTCCCGAGACTGAGGATTGACAGGTCCCTGTGTTGGAAGAAAAGAGTTGCATGTATTTGTAGTTCCACTTAAATTGATGTCTGGCTTCCTGCTGTTTCGCTGTTTTCTTGTCAATACATATTTCTTTAGTATATCTTGTGTGTTGCTTGACCTCTGTCTATATAAAAATGCTGTAGGCTCGGTTGCATCTTGGAGCAACACAAAGGAAGAGAAAGACTCAGACATCCGGTGATTTACTGATGTTGCTGCTATCTCTTCTCGTAAATATTTGTTACTCCTCCCCCCTGGCATATGGATGTGTTGTAATCCACGAACGCGTATCCTGCCAGGAGGCGAATCACAAAATGTTTTTGAACAGATTATGGCATAGAGATGAAGGGTATAGGGTATATTACATCCCTAATTTTTTTTTATTTTTATCTTTTCTGATCATGTATACCCCTAATTTGTTGATGCTTTGGAAAGAGTTTCCTTCTTGTTTTTCATAAGTTTTTTTTTTTGCCCCTTTGAATTACAAAGAAGCAAATCTTTTCATATCATTTCTTACCATCAGTATGATCATGATTGAATGAAATCTGATAGGGAAAGAAGTGTCGTGGATGTGAAGAAGTTTTTACTTGTGGAAGAAAAGGTTCCAACAATGCTTTCTGAGGCAGGACTCAAATCGCATGGGACCTGGCCTTACTATTTGACAATTACACTTTCAACGATTTGTTTCACCCCCAATATCCATAATGTCCAATCAAACTGCCCAACGTTTTGTTTATGCAAGAACTGACATGCTACTTCCAACTGCAAGTACATCTCAAATAGACTTGTGGAACTGAAAACAAATCAGAAACCAACAGATTTCAGTATCCTAATGAATATAGACAAGAGAAGGAAAATGGGAACTCTTCTGTGTCGTTGACATCTATTACGCCTCAGCTCCCCACACGACGGCGGGGGCCCTAGTTTCCTCTTGTGCAAATGTCAATCTTAAACTGGCTATATATGTTTGTTTCGTTTTTCTTAATTAAGAAGTGTAAAAATATACTATATATTGAAAATATGAAAATATAAGTTGGGATTAAAAAATAAATAAAATTATGCTAATAAAATTTAAAAAAACACCATAAAAAAACATTAGAAAGGGCCGAAGAAAGGCATAATATTACTATTCTGTCAAACTCAAATGACTCTTAATACATATATTCTTATTCCTTCCACCCTATAATGATCCAAGTTATCATACGAAAATAGTACTAGTATATGAAAATAAATTCTTCATTTGCGTTTCCGTTTCCCTTTATATTATTGAAGAGCTCCTTGGTTGTCCCAACTTCTAAACACCATGTTCCACGTTGAACTTTTTCTTCAATAGGCATGTTTTTTCTTTTCCAATTTGCTAATAATATTTTTCATCTAAAAAGTTCCCAACTTTTGCTGGAAATATAATATACATTGTGAATTTGGAAATTATGACGATAATAGAATCATTAATAATTTTCTGGAAATATAAAAACCAACTAAATCTGGAGACGAGCCACACAATTACAATTAAAATTTAGTAAAACATATTTGAGACCTGCAGTTCCCACGTGTTTCAGCCATACTCCTAACGTGTGCCTTAGTCAATTAATTGATTTAATTCCGAATCTCAGGTTCTGTCTTCAAGGCGCGTTTCGTATGATTTTCTTTTCTCTCCTTTTTTTTTTTGTGTGTAATTTTAAATTATTTTCCTCCGGAAATTCCCAAGCGTCTGTTCGTATTTAAGAGCTCTGAAGTAGTCATGGAGCTTTGAATTTGGTAGGTCGTTATTAGAGAAGAGAAGTAAATTGAGACGCTGTTGTTCATCCGTATTTCCGTCTTAGTTTCTTCCTTCTGAATTCCATTCCCTGATTTTTCATCATAATCTTACTGATTGATCGCAGCTGAGGAACCCTGTAAGTACACCTTTTCCCTTAAATCTTGCTTCATTCTTCAATCTCAAGTTAAATTGCTATCATCATTAGTTGATTTGGCTTTGTTTTACACCTTCATAGTGATCGTGTTCCATATTTCTGCGTTTTCTGGGTGCTGATTTTATACATTCTACATTTGATTGTTTCTTGTATGTGATATGGCGTAGTATATTTTTCCAAGTGCAACTTTATCTATATGAGTTTATAGTATGTTTTTCTTTGTTTGCAAATTAGACTGATTCATTTGTTTTAAACTTAAATGAGAAAGTAGTTACGGAGCTATGTCCTCTATGTACAGCTTACCAATACAGTAGGGTAACTGCTTTGTTGTTGTTGAAGATTTGCTCAACATCAGTGATTTAGTCATTAAGCTGTAGTATGGTAACCAGATTGTGGGGGTATGCTATGTTGTTCGCTTTGCTCACGCCGGGGAGAGTGTCACATAAGATGGACTCCTTGAGTATCTTTTCCTTCTTAGTTCACGTTAACTGAAGGTTAGGCAACAAGATTGGAAGTGTTAAGAAGATCCTCTTCGAGCTCATGCTAAATGTGAGTCCAATTCATTCTTTAAGGTATGGAAATTAAGTCGAGTACCGATAGTTGTAGTTGTTGGGGAACCTGTCTGTATGAGGTGGGCGGTCTGGATTTCGGCTAGGCCATCCCTTGCTGGGTATTAGTATTGCTCTTCTTTTTACTTACTGCTAAGCCTGCAGAGTTGGAAAATCTTTCATATCGTTCAAGCATAAGTATATTCAGCTCATACTTGCTGTCAGTTTCCCTACCTTATAAACCGTTCTATCTTACAATTTGGCTGGGTAGTAGTCTCAACTTTTGCCTGTGGATTTACAGATTCGCCGAGCATGGATCGGGGACAGCTTACATTTATGGGATCTACTGTTTGTGTTATGCTCACCTTGCATTTCACAATACAACTTCTTACTCAGCACTTTATGTCCTGGAAGAAACCAAAGGAGCAAAAAGCCATAGTTATTATCATATTAATGGCTCCCATATATGCCCTTGACTCCTATGTTGGCTTATTAGATCTTCTTGGAAGCAAACCCTTTTTCACTTTCTTGGAATCTATCAAAGAATGCTATGAAGCCTTGGTAAGTGTTTTGGGGGGGAAAATCAGAATTCATTATGTTTTTATATTACTTGATTCTTGTTTAGAAACTTAACCATTTCTTTTAAGTTTTATGATGCAGGTTATGGCCAAGTTTTTGGGTTTGATGTACACGTACTTGAACATATCCATAAGCAAAAACATCGTGCCAGATGAGGTTAAAGGAAGAGAAATCCACCACTCCTTCCCCATGACCCTTTTCATGGTACGTTTGCTGCTTCTTTTCCCATTGACTTACTTATTATTGGATATCAATTTCTACTGCAGAAAAGTAGTATGACTGTGTAAAAATTCAAAAGTTGTTTCTAAGCAGAAGTATTGAAAACTCCTTATACCTTGTCTTAACAAGTAACTCAGTTTTGCTAACTGCTGCATTCTTGTATATCAAACTGTAAAAGCGGAATCAATTAAAAGCTCTTGTTTCAACAACAACATACCCAGTATATTCCCAACTCGTTTGGGGTCCTGGTGGGTCAAGATGTACGCAGCCTTACCCCTGTATTTCAATACAGAGAGGTTGTTTAAGTAGTACGACCCAAGATGCATTGGTGCATTTATGTACCGATTTCCGGCAACTTCCACCAAATTAAGAAGCGTCGGAATTTAAATGAGTCATTTTGATCTAATCCACTATTAGCACAAAGCTGAAAGAATTGTCAATAATGACTCTTCCAGCTCCATTTGCAATGGATACAATTAAAAGCTCTTGTTTACAAGACATAATAAAACTCCCCATGATTAGAGTGGATGACTGACTATGTTCCATTGTTGAACGTCTTGCCACCTCTTGTGCAACAACTGAAGTATCGTTTGTCTAATTTGCAGCCCCATAGTGTCAAATTGGACCATAAGTCACTGAAGCAGCTGAAGAGTTGGACGTGGCAGTTTGTTTGGATACGCCCTGTTTGCTCCATCTTAATGATTGGCCTTCAGATTCTGGGATTATATCCTGATTGGATCAGCTGGATCTTCACCATCATATTGAATATATCTGTTTCGCTTGCGCTGTACTCCCTTGTGCTTTTCTACCATGTCTTTGCGAAGGAGTTGGCACCACACAATCCACTTTCAAAGTTTTTATGCATCAAGGGAATTGTTTTCTTCTCCTTCTGGCAGGTAAATGACTCATATATGTGACTGTTGTGGTAACTTTATTTAAAAAAGCAGAATGAATGAAATCTAGCTGCAGAGAGATCTTGAGGCTAAGATTACAGTCGTGATGTTATCTTTCCGTAAGTAAACTGATCCTCTGGAATGAGTAGCTTATGAGAAGTTACTGGGGCAGCTCCTAGATTCAGTAACTATTTTGTGTGAGATGTCGATTAATCGAGTTACACTGTCAATTTTGATGTCGTTCTCAAGTGTAAATCACGGGGCAACTTATCATATGAAGTATATTATGTCATTGGAAATTCAGGCTGTTGTAGAATTTGGCTGAGATTTACTGAAGTTTTGACTGTATGTTGATCTGTGAATGTAATATATAGCACAGTCCTTTTGGAAGTTCTCAACTATTCATTAACCAACCGCCTAATAATGTTTACCATTTTGCAGAGTATAGTGCTGAGTGCTCTGGTGTCATTGGGCGTAATCAAGTCTAATTATTTCTGGCTGGATGTGGAGCATCTTCAGGAAGCTCTTCAGAACGTGCTGATCATCATAGAGATGGTTTTCTTCTCCATCTTGCAGCAGCATGCTTATAGTGCCGAACCTTACCGCACTGCTTCACTTTCAGCTCCAGGATCTAGTGAGAAAAAGAATGAGTAGATAAGAACAATTTTGAATTTAATTTTGGACATTGTAGAATGTGTGCTCTGGGGAAAAACTACACCTCTTGTAAGCTTTAGACCTTATTACTTCTTTTCTTTCTTGGAATACGGTCACCATAGGAAATTAATTGGAATAATTACAGGAGATGTATTATTTACTAAATGTTATTGCCGTTATATACATTTTATCCGGGACTATCTCGTGGTAAATAAAGTGCAACAGGATTTCCTTATTGTGGTGAAGAGCAAGAAGCTTTGATCAAGAAAATGGAGTTGATTTTCATGCTTTATTTACTTGCCAATTCACCAGAAGAAGAAAAAGTAGATTTAACAGAATAGGACTTCCATGAGAAGTTTATATACGTTGTTGGTTTGAAGTTTGCCTTGCTGTTTGGTCATGACCTCACGGGTTCCAGGTGAAAGATAAGTGAAAGGAGTGTGAGGTTCCAGGTGGAATGAAAAGTGAAAAGAAACACATTTGATACTCACTCCATAGACGTCTGGTTTTAGTCTTTTACATTTTCAATAGATGTTCTCTCGATACTAAAATGATTATCTTTTACATTATTACAAATCATGTATTTATTATATGACTACATTACGATTCACGATTCTGGGGTTGTCTCAAAGACTAATATGTGCATATAAGTTTTGATTCGAGACATTACCACCTTATCATTTAGAGAGGTGTGTAAGAATTTAAACATTTATTACGTATGAGAGAAATTCTCTTACTCGTTTTTATGATAAATTTTGATGTTCTTCCCATCTGAAATTGTTTTATAATTACGTATTGTGCTCATAGTATTACCTCTTTTTTTTTTAAGTTCTTTATATCCTAATAAAAAGAGAAAAATAAGGGAAAATTATAAGACTTTTCAATGGTGATGAAGAAAACAATGATCCATAAAATTCTTCAGGGCCAAAAAAAAAAAAAAGAGGTTCCGCAACTTTTTCAGCAAAATAATGAACCGTGCTCAGAAGAAGACGAGTCTGCACTGAAATCGCGTTATCAGCCTTAAAAAAAAAAACACCCACACCACCACCACCACCACCTCAGTAGCCGTTGAGATTTTCTCAAAAGCTTCATTCAATTCCCTCCATTTTCTGTTTCTCCTGCAAAATCCCCGCCGAAAATTACACTTTCTAATCGTCTGTTTCGTCTCGTCTTGATGGGTCATTCTCGAAACCCTAGCTTTTGAAACGTTCCTAATCCTCCGTTGAGAGGATGTTCTTTATTTTGGTTCGCAGTTTGCAAAGCCTCGGATGGGTTTTTGAGCGATTGGACTGTTGAGGTAAGAATTTATTCCTTATTGCAATTTTTGAGGCGATCGTTTGGGCCCTCGTTGCATTGGAACTCCGAATTAGTAAGCCTTTCTGCAATCGTATGATGATGTTACTTGCTCTATAATACAACTTGTGTTTAGTACTCCAGCTCGTTCATATTGTTTGTTATTGTCTTTTTTCTTTTATTTTATTTCGCCGATATGAAATTTTGAGAACTGAATGCAGTTCCTGTATTTGATTTTTGAAACCATATTGTCTATGAATTGTTTCTATTGTGATTGAGAAAATGTAGAATGTCAAAAGGATACGAAATGCTTTTTTCGCAAATTTTGGCATCTTATAAATAGTTGGGCTAAAACTACTCTTTCCTGGTTTTGAAGAGTAAAAACTGTCTGGTTTTTATATCTAAGGTTACAAATTTGCCATCTCTCTTTTCAGGTGGAAATCAGCTTAGTTGAATGAATTTTCAGTTGGTTCTATGAATTGTTTGTTATGTTTTGGTGTCTTGTCATGAATATAACTTGATCACATTAGCCAATGATATGATTATAGGTTGCAATGAGAAGAACTATTTTTCAGAGTGTCAATAGGGTCGCACGAGATTAGTCGAAAATGGCCACTGATGATGAGAAAGTTTACACCCATGAAGAAAAGATTGAAAAACTTGAGTACACGGTTGACAACTTAAAGAAAGCTATTGAAGACCTGCAAAGAACTCAGGATGAAAAATTGCAGCAACTTGAAGACCGATTTCAAAAGTTTGAAGCCATGCACAGTGGCTCTGCAACATTGAAACAGTGCAAGGAAACCCGTGGTAAAATGCCTCTTCCGTTTTTCAATCAGTGTTGATGTGTACTTCTATAAAAGGATTCTTTCCTTATTATGAAGGTGAATTTATAAGCACGCTTAACATTTGGGTGTCTAGGTATGACACACAATTACCCAAAGCAATTATAAAAAGAAAGTGCATTTGTATGGTTGCTACCTGCTTTGTGGCTCTATATGTTTGTGCATCTACTTTCATGTTTATTCCGTATGATCCACTGCAGAGGAGAACTAATGGCATTCATCTTGAAAAAGGGTTATATTTCTTAAGATATCCAAGCAGCTTTGTACATGTATATTTGTACATGTATATGTTAAACTCTGAACTTTCTTTATTGCATGGCACTTGTTTTTTACTTTTTTCCAATCTTAATTTGCAATCTTTTAGAAAAAAAATGTGTCTGCACTTCACTCTATTAACCAGCTCATGTGAACTCAACTGGCGATCGCTAAATGTTTTTCCAGGTAATAAAGCAGTGATGGATCATGTTGTTAATCAGGAACTGCATCCTGGACCAATTGATGAGTCTGTATTAAATCTACAGCATGATCATAGGTCCACATCCGTATGGCGGGGGCAAGATTTTGAGCCACTTACATGTAGGAGGTGTGATGGTGCATTTTGGCGTTTAGGTGCATTGGACCCTCGTGTACAAAAATTGATGATAAAAGCTGGATTTTATGGTGTGTATAAGGCTGGGCATATACAATTAGATCACGCGTTAATCACAGCACTTGTTGAGAGATGGCGCCAGGAAACTCACACGTTTCATTTACCTATTGGAGAGGCTACTGTCACTCTGCAGGATGTCTCTGTTATGTGGGGTCTTCCGATAGATGGTGAGCCGGTCACGGGGCATGATATAACTCGCACAACAGAGGAATGGCAAGAAATGTGTGAGGAACTGTTGGGATTTAGACCGCCATTGAGTGCTTTTGATAGCGGACGTCTCAAACTGAAATGTATAGAGGATCATTTTGATCTTGAGCCATTACAACCAGATGCCCCAGATCATGTCGTAGAATTCTTTGCTAGAGCACACATACTCCAGCTTCTTGGTGGTTTATTGCTCCCAGATGCCTCAAATAATAAGGTGAAGTTAATGTTTTTGCCACTGTTGTGGGATTTCGACGCTGCTGGTAAACTCAGTTGGGGAAGTGCAGTCCTTGCTTCACTATACCGTGCATTGTGTCGAGCTACTAAGCCGAATGTTGATGGTGTATGTGGTCCCTTGGTGCTTCTACAGGTACCGCTCATGGTTTTGTTTATGAAGTTCCTCGAATGTTTTTATCATTCTTCATGCGCATGTCTTGTTTATGACTTGTATAACAAAAATTGTGTAGCTATGGGCATGGGAGAGAATCCCTCTCATCCGTCCAGAGAGGCTAACCCCACGAGAACAATCACTTCATGTTCCCAGTGAAGAAGATCACCCTTTGCCTGCTGGTCCTTATGGCTCTAGGTATATTAGACTTCTTTTTTTCGAAAAAAAAAAAAGAAGAAAAAATATCAATATCATTCTCAAGTTACCTGTGTGGCATTGGCTTGTAACTTGAAATGTGTTTGCAGGTGGGATGTGGGCTTTAAGCTTGAAAAGATAGGAATGCATGTATTGGTTGTGTACAGGGACATATTGGACTGCATGAAGGATGACCAGGTCTCAGATATATCCTTAAAACTCTCTGCATGCCTTACTATCAGACAATTAAGCATTCTTTCTAATGGTGAAACTGACTTTTCTGGCCTTTCTCTTTCCATTCTTTTATATGTTGTTGATGAGAAAGTTTCAGGCCTCCGGCACCCTACTTCTTTAAAGCAATACTTTCTTAAGATGCATAAGTTGTGACTGAGCTTTCAAGGCTAACTTTTGGTGGAGGAGATTGGCAGTTTTCCTTCTTTTGTTATCACAATCTTACTTTCTCATGATTGAATTTTCTCTGTTCTTACCTTTTTCCTTATTTTTTCATTTTACATCTATTGATCATGCTTCCTAATTACTTGGGCTTTTATTGCAGTTTGTGTGGCAACCATATGCATATATCATTGGCAGTTTGCCAGACTACTGCTTGTCTGGCCGTGAGATTTGGCAAACAGTGTCCCCTCTTCTATGTTTTGATGTAGTAGAAATGCATTATCCAGATCGAGTTTTACGTCAATTTGGCCAGCACCAGAATATCCCTAGCGATTGTGACACTTTTCGAGAACTCCACTCAGTTGATCGACGCGGAAGACAAAACACTGATTGGGTCCAACACCACAAGCAGTACGTTGACATGTGGTCAAACCGCCGAGCTCGTGTAGTCTGCCAGCCTCTGATTGATGGCCCTATGGGGTACTCTGATCCGTACATGATATGGTATCGTCGGATTACCCGTCTACTGATTGGAAACCCTGCCAATCGTACAGATAATGGATATCAAGGGGTTGGTGGCATCATTGAACTCATGGTAAGAGGTTAAGAGTTTTTAAGGTTTATATGATGTGTGATCATCACTAGACTTTTATTTCAGCATTGGCATTATGTATCTATATGATCCTTCTACATACAGGCTCAAAGCTTGCAACGCATATATCATCGGTGCATTGATGCTATAAATCAGTCAGATGAGGGTGCCAATTCGGACACGCTGAGAGAAATCCAGGACATATGTAAAAATGCTTTAAGGGGAGCACATGAAGATAGACGTCTTGCTTTACGTCCTGAGCTAGCTCAACCATCTATAATGGTTGGTAAAGCCAGCCCATCTCAGGTTAAGCGTCGAAGGCCAAGAAGAGGAGGAAAAATTGGAACATTACTTGGTGAAAGGTCAGCATACAGTTCTGGAGACATTTATTCACCTTCAGCTCATTATACAATGCTTCCATGTACTCCATCATCGCAACCATACCCTTCGCCTTCATATTCACATGAAGCCTTTACACCTGATGTCGAGCCATATGTTACACTGGCTCCTGAAGTAGCTCATGAGGAGATACCTACGGATAACAAGGTTGAGACTGATGCTTCTTTGTCGGAGCACATTGATATTGTGACTGTAGCCCCAATGCAACAGGATAGTTCCACAATGCCGCAACTGATAAACAGTCCGCAGCCTAACATTTCAGAATTGGATAATATGGTTGGAGCTATTGCTGTCTCACCATCTTCAGCTACAGATATGTTTATTCCATCAGAATCTTTATGTTCACAGGAGGATGATATGATTATGTCCGTTTCAGAGAGATCAAAATTGAAGAAGAGGAAGGCAAAGTGTTAATTCCAAATGAACAGAAGAGAAGTTTTGTAGTGCAAGCAGTAGTTTAAATTATTTATGTTTTGTTTGTTCAGGTGTGCTCTGTTGTTTTTTGTTTATCTATACAAATCTTTACTTTCTAGTTTGTAAAGGAGGAAAATAAAAAGTTATGTACATTTACTTTATCCTATTTCAGAAGCCAGCAAAAATATGAAGGTCCAAATTTTCGAGAGAATGAAGAGTTTTTGTGTTAAGATGTTAAATAATAATAGAGGAAAAAAGAAATGATTGGCCTTCGGGTTTTGTTTTTTTAAATAATTGTTTCTGACTTTCTAACTTCATAAATTCTTCTGATTATATAATATCCTTTAAACTAATAGATGTGATTTTTCCACTAAAATGATTTGCCATTAAGTGTATGGAAATAAAAGTAGTAGACTTGATTGTCCAGTCTTTTTATATATTCTTTGCTTTTGTGAGGTAATCCTTGCCTCAATTAAGAGAAAGGGCCACAGAAAAATCTTTGAAAGGGAAAAATGGGGGGATAGAGGCTCCTCTGTTCCCTGTCAACGTCTCAAATAGTAAAATTAGACCTCAGGAAAGATGTATAAATTCACAAGTACAAATATCCATTCTTTCCTTTATCCTTTTAGTTCAACTGTGTTAATAGAACATGAATAACCCACCTCCATTCACAATTAGTTAAATATCTTGATCACATTAGCAGCTGCCATGACAGCATTTCTGCAAGTATCCAATACTTTCTCAGCCTTAAACTTGCCTCTACAGGCAAATGATTTGTTGAGGAAGCATAGCTTCTGGGGATTGAAATTGACTGAACCATTGAAGTGTTATACTGCTCCGCAAGCAAACTATTGGCTGAGAAGTAGAGCTTCTGGAGAGAAAGCTACATTTTTGAAAGTTTGTAAGCATAATAAAGGTGGGATTTTTATAGGAGATGCAGGACGGAAGAGGATTCAAAGGGTGGTGCTGGTAAGGTTCGATAAAGGGTTCGGATTTAACGGTCTTGGTGATGGCGGAGGTGGTAAGGATGATGGTACAAATACAAGGGTTGTGGTTAATCTTATTCTGGCAATTGGCTTAACTTACCTCACCATGACTGGACAACTTGGTTGGGTTATAGATACAATTGTCTCTGTCTGGGTACAGCTCTCTGTTTCTCTGCCTCCTCTTCTTGCTGCATATCTCTTGTTTGTTAATATGCGTAATTTTTATCCTTTTGTTCGAAACATTGTTTCAATTTCATTTGAATTTTTTTGCCTTTAATGCATGCAATCTAATATAGGTATGCAGTCTGTTGTTGCTGCTTGCCCACCAAAATGATATTGTTGCTATTCTTGCATGTGGACTCATTTCATCTTTTACAGTTGTGGTGCTTAATTCACGATTGGATGTTGACTTTTGCTTCATGTTGTGAATCTTTTCGTTCTGAATGATGATTTATTGCATCATTCATGCTATCAGCTGCTTGCGGTGTTGCTACCAATTGTGGGCGTGGGAGCATTCCTCTGGTGGGCTGGAAGGGATATGGTTCAAGGCAGTGTAAGAAAACTCTGTACATAATGTTCTGCTACTGTAGGCTTGTCACTTCGAAGCTCACATAGAACATGCTTTTGGAAAGGGTCATTATGTGCATGGGCAGAAGTTTTAATGGTTAACCACTTGCTCGGAGTTCTTAGTCTCGGCATGAAATGTGCACTATATTATCCATTTTTACTCCCTAAACCAAGAGCACAGTTGCGATGTATTGGTTTCCTGATGGTCGATTGGGTATATAGGTCTTACTCACAAGAAACCTCAAGTGCAATCAATTTCAGATAACAATTTGGTCATTGTTCGGTGATGTCGCAGAAGAAGCTTCTTTTTTGAAGCTTCAATGTCTTCTTGTTACAAGCAAAATGTTTTGCTGATTTCCAAGTTGTGTCCAATTTGTATATCACTCCGAATTCTACCATTTCTTGCCAAAACTACATTTTTGGGTGGTGCTTATTCTATCTTCTGGATAACTGATTTCGCTTTCTAATTTATGCAGTGTCCAAACTGTGGGAACGCTTTTCAAGTTTTCAAGTATGTCCAGTCGGAACCCTTACTACAGTCAATACTTACTAGGAAAGTGATGAATCTCTTGTTCTTACATTTTCTCACATTTCATTTTCCGAAAATGGCAGGTCTACTCTCAATGATGATTTACAGCTTTGTCCATTTTGCAGTCAACCATTTTCAGGTAACAGTTCCGGTTTTCTCCTACATAGTGACCCGTACAAACATCATCATGTGGAGTTGTTGCTTTTTTAATCTATTATTATTGCAGTCAGGTCCCATCCATGAATTTCACTTTGTTTCTTGTAGTAGTGGGAGATGAATTTGTGAGTGATCCGGTGAAATTCTCAAATCAGTCCCCTACTTTGGAAGAAGCATTCAGTGATTTCTTTTCTGGTTCTAAGAGAGGTTTGTTGCTCTTCTACATTTCTCAAGAATTATCTGCATGCTATTTCCTCTATCAAGCCTCATAAAATCCGGAACTTGAAAGATAGAGCTGCTTGTACAGGGAAGGACTCATCGAAAGCTGTTGTTGATGTTGAGGCTGAAGTCAAAGATGCAGAGTGAGAATGCTAGCTGGCGTTCTTATCCTGTCATGGCTATTGGTAAGTAAACCTGATTAAAAGTTCAAACTGATTTAAATTTGAAATATATTTATACTCTTGCCGCCAAGTTTAGTGCTGGTAGATTTATTAAGTTGATGCTCTTTGTCAAAGAATCATATTTACATGAGATGTAGGTAGGAGCTAGTCATGAAAGCCTTTGTGTCTGGCTGAGGCCACAAATGCATCTGCATCTAACTAGTCATAGATGGTTCAATTGCCTTAATCATGCTTTCCGTAACTACTCTTACCTACTTCTGCAGACGAAGGCATGCAAAACTATTTTCCTAAGAACTTAGTTGCTGTGGATGATTTACTGGTATAATTCTATAATGAATTTAGCTAAACAGAAAAATATGCCATCATCATAACAATTGTAGAAAGTCTAGAACAAGAAGTCTGAGTTGCTTTTGATGTGCCAGGGTAGAATGTTTTATCCATTTCCTTGTACTTGCTTGTCCTCAAACTGTTTTTTGACGAGATATCTGCTGGGGTTTGCATTCAGATTCTGTTACGTATCAATTTTGTTAACAGAAGGCTTGGTTATACCATCTGCAGACAATATATTGTAGCTTGAAAGGAGAGAACAAAATGGCGCACAGCAGCCATCCTCCCCACGGTGAATATACTGCCTCAAAGCAATGATTCATCATACAGTTTTGCTGCGGATTGCAGATTTTGGATTTTGGAACCATTGTCCAACAACAATATGGATGTTGCAAAGAGCCATTTGCTTATTGTAGCTTGTGTTATGATAGAATGCTGATGCTGTGTTACAGTCATAAGCTTAGAATAGATGCATTTCTGGTGTTTGTATAGTTCGGAGTGGAATAGGCTACCTTTTCCACTTGAGTGTAAAGCTTTTTTCATTTTATCCTGGCACATTGACTAGCTAATTATTAGATTACATATATCAGTGAATGAATTCTAAACATTTAAGATTATACATCCATTTGACGTAGGTTATATTCGTCGATTGCAAGGTAAGATTGGTTTGAAAATGGAGGGCTATCCGTATTAATCAACAATCAAAGAAATTCGACCATGATTGCCATCACATGATAGACACCCAGATCCCAGTTTCAAAGGCAGCTTCTAAAGTAAAACAAGATTGACAGTAAGCAACAATATGTCCGTTGACTCATTGAACGTCTAAGGAGGACATTTATAAGAGGCATCAACATCAATCCAAACGAAGCTTCCTACCCGCATAGTGTCGGAGCAAACAGTAGGTGATCATAGAAACATATCTGCCCGAGACCATTACTTATTTGGATAGATTTAAACATTGTAAAGGAGTATCAACAGGTTGAAGGAAAGTGAGGACGGATAACCAAGCAAAAACCTGAGTTTTCACACATGTTCTTCGATCAGAAGGTTCATGTACAAAGTTCCAAAAATGTACTGTCTAATAAAAGATCAGAATCATCTCTGTGCAACTGCACCTCCAAGACCATAAAGCTAAGTGAAACCCTTTATTCCAGGCATTACCTAACATGTCCAGCATCAATGCGATTCTGCAACTTTCTGCAGGGAAAAAATAAAAAGGAAAGAGAGTTAAGGGATGAATGTGAAATGTTAATAACAAGTACAGTTCAGTCTAAAAACAATCAATCATTTGTGTTTGAAACACTAGTTCATTGTTGGCCTATCTAGTACTACAAACAACTTTCACCTAAACTTTTATCTTTCAAAAAGGGGGCAATCAGCCCATTATAATGACAAGATAAATATTGGAAAAAGGATCCAAAATCAAGAAAAGTTTTATTCATAAGCCCTTTGAAAAGCAAGTCATCGCATCAGGGTTAGAGCTGGTAATGCCAAAAAGTTTATTCATTTGACTAGAATAATGTAGCTCATACCTCATCCTTTGTATCTTTCTTGCCTCCTGTGAAGAACTTGTATGCACCAGTGATGGCCAAACCCCATCCAGCAAGAGAAACTATCACAAACTGCATGAGATAAATTCTGATGAGTCTCTCAGTACACTCATTAAGGAGATAAGAATCTACATTTCAGCTAATTCATCAAGTGAACTTAACAGATATCTGACAAATGCAATAAAACTGAACATCTGCAACATTTGAACAACTTCAAAAGAAGCAAGAAGAAGCAGCAACTTTCAAAGAAGCGAGTAGAAGCAGCAGACAGAAACAATACCATGTCGAAGAGCCAGTCGGGAGAAAGAATGCCAGAAACAGATTCAAGAAACTCGAACAAAAGGTAAAACACCACCAAATCAAGAAAATAGCTAGTGTTATCACGTCATTCATCTCGCCTAGATTAAAGCTTCTGCACAATTGACACAAAAAATGGATATGCTAGAGCAACATAGTTTGGCAATTCTTTCAAACAAGTTAAAGTTTCTCCCAGAACTTCATAAATTGCAAAAGGCTACGGTCCAACAGTCATACAAATCACTAAATTAGAGCTAGATTCCAGAAGCATTCTTGACTTCTTTCTGCAAGCAGTCACAAGAACATAAAAGAGAGATACATGAACAAGCATATTCAGTAACCCAAGCTTGACTTCTAATCTCACACCACGACCGCAAATAATAACATTTTCCTTTCCATCGTTAGAAGAACGAAAATGTTATCTGGAATTCCTAATTTCCTAGTGGTAATCTAAAACCATGAGAGCCTACAACATAGGTGCCAAAGACATGGATACGGGAAAATAACTTGCCAACACTGTAAAAAGACAGTACAATTACCTTCTACATGACAGTACACAAACTCCCAACAAAAAAAGAGAAGGGGCCAAAAAACAAAATTGTAATCAACCTTTCCTTCCCAACAAGTTTAATCCAACTTTCCAACCTATAATAAACGGGCAAACTAGAAAAGAGATAGCATATGAAAATAGTAATAGAGGAATTGCATTAAGATAGAAATTCCGGAAAGATTGAAAAACTTACGTGCTCCTCTTTCCATTTAGATGGACTCATTGGATCTTCCCAGAAATTGACTTTCGGCGGCCCATGGTGGTCTGCATTGTATTTAACAACCAAACAATCATTATCAATGAAATCAAAACTACTCCTGATTTTGAAGATTAAATCGCTCTATTCCCAGAGAACACAATTATAACACTTCCTGTCAAATCAACGCAGTTGATATAGAAATCGAAACCTCAATCAAGAGCCAAAATCGGGGTTGACATAAATATCACCAAACCACGTGTTTGAAAAAGATGAAATGTAAAGAAGATCTGACACCGTGGAATGTTTAATCAAAACTGGAAAAAAAAAAAAAAAAACACACATACACACACACAACTGAAGATAAGCTTACCACCACCGCCGGCGAGACCGCGGCGCTGCAAGAGAGAGGCAGCTTGCCTAGTGGACGGAGCTGATCCGGAAGCGGAAAGCCGTGTTAGGTTCGCGACTTTACGAGCAGCCACCCACGCTGCCATCTTTGAGCGTACGGAAAGGAAATGGAATTTGTGCTGAAGTTTTCGAGAAATGAAAGGGGCGTCACGGTGTGTGTGTGTGCGTGGCGATTGCTAGAGAAGAAGCTACTGAAACTGTGTACAAGGAAGATCATTCCAGACAAAAGGAGCCCAATTGGAGATGGGTATGGAAAATGGACTTCAATTTTGGGCCATATTTATGCCCCAATTTCGTCCAACTTTAGAAAAATTACTTTGGTGGTCGCTGGTAACTTTTACAAAATAATTGCCCGTTTAACTGAAATTGAACTGAATAATCACTTTTGAGATACCTTTTCAAAAAAAAAAAAAAAACTTAAAAAAAAAACATTTGAGATAGACAGTACTCCCTCCGTTCCGAATTAAGTGTCGTTTTAGCAAAATAGAAAAATTTCAAAATAAATGTCGTTCTCACATTTCAATGCACTTTTTGTCCAAAGTTTCCAAAACTACCCTTGAAAGAATTAATATTATTGGTGGATATTTTTTTAATGGGGTTGGTTGAGGATATTCAAATAATTTTATTACCATATTTAAGAGTTTCTTAAACTATGTGCAAAGTGTAGAATGACACTTATTTTAGAATGGAGGGAGTATCTAACAACTGTTTTGCAGTTTAACCTTTTGAGGAGCTAAAGTGGTAAAGTGCTTTGGTTCCCTTAAGCGAGATCTCGGGTTCGAGTCTCGTAAATGAAAAGAGCAATGTTGGGAGAGCTTCCCTCCAAAAGGAGAACGATCCGGCTCGGTGGAGATTAGTTTGAGTGCAATGCACTTAAACACCGTGCACAGTATGAAAAAAAAAAAACCTTTGGGGGAGGGGGGGGCTAAAGTTGAGGAAATGTGCAAAATTACTGGACCATCCTACCCCAACATTGCAATAATTCTGTCACATTTGTACATAAAAGAAGTGACCAAAGTGAACATTTAAAAAGGTTCATAACTGAATTCCTCAACCCCAAAAAAAAAAAAAAACCTTAGCAACTAATGGTTATCCATGATGATACATCTTGTTTTTTTGGAGCTGCATGATGACAGTTGAAATTTTTACATTCTAAATTTCTAATACAACATCAGCCATTAAGTTTAATTGTAAATAATTATGTTTTGTGCAGATGAACCAGGATAATCAAAAGGAAGCATAAAAGGTTCATAAACAGAACAGATGATCAAAAGAAGAAAGATATAATATATTATATACAACTGCTGTTTAAGGATCTCACACTGATATTGTAAGAACTGAACCAAGCAACAAATAAATTACAACTTTTAAGAGGAACAAAAAAGGGCACAGAGACAGAGGTTATGTAAGTAGTAAGTACACAAGCACGGGAATATAGGCCTTCTGGAGTTTAAAGCCGAGAGCGTATGAACACCTTCTTCTTATTTGTTTTTGGAGAAATTGGACTTTCGGAAGGCTCATCAGGGAACTCTTTCAAAGGTTCCAACCCCAATGAATAATCAGCACAAGTCTCATTTTGCTGCTTTAGTTTGTCCACATCTTCTTGCATTTTCTCCATTTTTGCTTGCATCTCTTCCATTGCAATCATAAGGTCTTGTTTCTTAATCCCATCCGAAGGTTGTGAATAAGGTTGATCCTTTAAGCTCTTTCCAATACTATACACTTTTATGCCACCTGCAGATGATGTTTGGAGGCGAAAAAAGCATCAAACATGAGCTGAATGTTCATGGCAGTTGAGTTGCTGTGCAAAGCAGTCAAAACTCAAGAGGGTGTTTCCAAGAAAGGAGGGAAATCCAATTTGTAGAGCCTACACCAGTCAGGATATGGATCGCGTATACGAAAAAACATAGGGTCCGAAACTCCCATATCAAATACATGGAAAAGTTATCAGTCATATTTGTAGTAATGTTTCCGCCTTTCCGGGAAGAAAAACCTCAAGATTTCCCAAATGACAACAGAATTTGTATACCCATAGTGAACTGACCACAAAACAACTCAAAAATCAAGAGCATAACCACTTAACATACATGTAGAAGAACCATTTCTTAGAACCTTTCGCAGAGGTCATGTTAATCTTAAAGCAGAAAGGATAACATTCATATAGAAGTACAAAGATCCTTAAAGCCATAAAAATTAGTTCACCTAAGAAGAAATGCAATTCTTACTATTTTCCATAGCAACGTCAAAAGACAATCGAAATCTGAATTTAGGCTGAGCAGGAATACCCGGTGATTGGTTACCCATTTTGTTTGCACAGGACTAAACTATAATGTTATCCAACTCGTACCACCATACAGAAATTCATACACTAAGTCCGTACCGGGACACTAATACAAGAGTCTGAGGCAAAAGGAAAATCTCTCTTGTTCAGTTCATCAAGCAACACAATCACTTAAATTCGTCCACCTAGACTTGTATTGTATAACAATAAAAATAGTATCTTTTTGCCTCTAGGAGTGCTTCATGAAGATAAGTTTTGAAATTCGACCACGAAAATAAATGAAAAGACAAAATTTTCAGCTAATTTCTAGCCATGTAATCAAGGAGCTCAATTCAGATGGCCATTCGAAGGAAAATACAAATTAAAAGTTAAAACGTCCAAAAATTCCAAAGAAATACGCTGAATATTGGGGAAGCATAACAGAGAAGATGAAGTAGGGGGGTCCTAACCGGTAACGCTTTTGAGGGACTCGTCGACGGCGGAATCAACGGCGAATTTGCCGAGATTGGTCAGAACACGGCCTATCCTTTCACGGCGATGAGGGTCCGGGAAGTACTCGTCCGATTTCTGGGCTCCGTTAGATCTAACGGCCTCCACGACTTTGCTGCCGGAGGTACCATCACCGGGGGGAGGTTTCCGGGAGGCTTGCCGGTTAAACAGTCTGGAAACACTGGATTGGAGGTCGTCCCATTTGCCCATTGTTTTCGGCCTAAACTCTCAATACTACTTCTTTCTCAGCTTTATCTCGTCCTTTTTTTTTTGGCGTTTTGTACCCTGCCCATTTTTCCTTTTCTTTTTTCCCCCTTTTTCTAGTGTTCCAACATCAAAATTGGCATTTTTTCTTTTACATGAAATAGACTAGCAAACACGAAAAAAATATTGGGTACAATAAGCCATTTTTTCTTTGATTAATGACAAACAAACTACTACTACTTCTATTAATTTGTGAATAGATTGTAACTGTGTTAATCATTAAGGCAAAACAGCCAAACACTAGGTTGGTTTCATTTGGCTAGTCGAACCGAACGTATGGCCAAAGCAACTAAGTGCAATCGTTTCATTACTCTTGAAACATACAATACCGGAAGCTAAAAACCGATTTGCGGGTGGAATTGTAGTACTATCATATCACTAATTTTTTGATAATTTAAAATTAACTCTTTTTGCAAATACTCCCTCCGATTTGCGGGTGGAATTGTAGTACTATCATATCACTAATTTTTTGATAATTTAAAATTAACTCTCTTTGCAAATACTTCCTTCGGTCCTAAATATAATGCATTTTGATTTGTCATAAGTTTCACTTATTACGTATTTTTTACTATTTCCTTCCGTCCCATAATTATTGTCCAGTTTGAATTTTCATTTTAGTTCAAATTGTACTACAAGTGAAGTCTCAAACTGGACAATAATTTTGGGATAGAGAGAGTATTTTTTATTGACAAAATTTTTTTAAAAATATTTCATAACAATCAAGATAATAGGGCGAATGTGAAAATATATTTTTAAAATTTATTTTTCCGATTGATATAAATATTAGGTAAAATTTAGAACAAATCAAAATATTTTATATTAAGAACACGAGCGAATATTATGTTTTTGTTAATTTCTACCCATCATTTGGTAGACAAATCGGATCTTAATAGTGAACATGAACTGACAACTTTATGTAACACGTTTCAATGAAATTCTTTCATCACTTGAATAATGTAAGAGAAAACTAGATACACTATTTGTATCTCGTGTCGGTTTGACTAACGGTGCTGAATATACAGGGTATAATAGTATTCTACAATCTCGATGCTTTCTGTGGGAGCCTACCGCCCTGTCTGGCGATTGAATCGCCTTGTGGCGTCCCAATTCCGCCGCACCGCCGGCCACAAAATCTCCGCAACTAGTTGTAATCTTCCCACCATCACCACCGCCCTTCGGCATCGCGTTTTTGCTTCGGTTCTCCGATTTGACATCCCGCATGGTTTGATCAACAATCTCAGCAACTGCTTTTCCTCCTGTGCAATAAACGAAACCTCAACATTTAAAAATGTCCAGCAAAACAATCAAAATAACCAGATCGATTAAATTAATAATCATAATATGCAGATCGCAGCATTAATTTGACAGGACATCACACCTGGGACCAATTTGTAGCTTTCGCGGAGGGCATAGTTGGCAGAGTTTTGGGCCAACTTGTTGGTGAAAAGGCCGATCTGCCATCGGGTTTCTTCGTCGGGTACGTATTCGGTGACCCTTTGAGAACTGGATCTGAAAGCGTTAACAATCTAGTAATACAGGCAGCCACGTTCAACACAAACAATGATTGCTGGAACAGAATTTTACAGGCATACCGTACGGGGGCAATCGTAATTTCGTATAGACTAATTTGCCAACAATGATTTCTTGCGATTTCAACCTTCCTTAATCATGTTACATGAGCACCATCATGGAGACAATAATTATGACTTTTATGTCCATGGCGAGTGGCGATCAATTAAAGTGCAAAAAGAAAAAAAGAAGAAATCCTAGAGAACACCCATCTAGGAATAAATTAATCCATGTAACTCCAAAGCATTATTGATTCCTGAGTACATCAAAAGATGAAAATGGTGGAAGAAAATTCATCCACTAAATCAAATAGGCTTAAAACAACAGTAACAATGATAGTAGGTTATAAGGAAATACGATATCATAAACCAAGCCCTTGCATACATTCTTTGGTCTTCCATCTTCATTCTCTGTCGGATCTTGAGGGATGGGCTATTGAATACTAATCATGATATGCGGGCAATGCAACCGCCGGGACAAGAAACGGTACAATCCGTATAGTTCTGAACGCATGGCCACAGGCAGTCCGGCTTGGGAGCCGTCAACCCCTTCACAGCACAACCCTCGAAGCAGACGAATCCATTAGCATTACAGGTCTCGCAGCAATCCAGTGATTCAAGTGGACAGCCATTTCCGATGGGAACCAAGCATTTTTCGAAGTTCGCAACACAAGTACTGACACAGGCTGTGGTGGGAGTCCCGAGCCCCTGTGCCACGCAAGACAAAAAGCAAACCACGTTTTGTTGCAGACAGCTTTGGCAACCAAATGTGGTTTGCAGTTGCAGCGTTAGTGCGTGAGCAGCCGGAGGAGGGGATAGGAGGATTCCTCCAAAGAGGAGGAGCATATACATAACTATGGCCATGATTGAAGAAATTGAAAAGGTTGCCAAATGCCAACCAAAACACAACTACACATGATGTATTGGAGTTTCTAACAATGTTTATATATATCCAAAGTCAACTTAATTATTTTATCTATCCAGCTAACGTGCTAGCTAGTTTGTGAGCTAACACGAGTAGTATTATGTAAGATACCATACATTAAATAAAGTTATTAACGCTGTTTCCCTTGTAAAACTATTGATTGTTTATAGATTAGGATCATTTTCAGTCTTTGACCATTCCTTACAGCTCAACAACGAATATAATGACAAGGATGAACATGCTCGTGTTGAGTTTACTCATCACGAATATCGTTGCAGGGCACTGGCTAATACATAACTGATAAACCAAAGATTAGTATACAAAGAAAATATATACAACCAAATGAGGGATTTTGATATTAACCTTATTATTTGCTTTCTAGCCTGTCCGAGGTTTTACATGGGATTCAAAGATGTTGAGAATATTGAATATTGAAAATTGTCAAGTTCTCTTGTCCCATATTGAAAACGGTACACTCTTGAAACCAATATATAACCATATGTGTTACTCCCCTTATCACCAATTGGTTGTAAAGTGGAACTACATGTGGGCCTATATTTGGGTTTTCAAGATGCTATCAGAGCAAATTTTATCCGCAGATCTGTATGACTTGTGGGACAGGCTTTGACTGACCCGACATTTATATTCGGGGTTTGATTTACCTATATCTTTGGATCTTCTACTTTTACTTACCAAAATATGGGTCTTCTATTTCTACTTCTTCTTCTATTTTTACTTACTCAAATTTGGACCTTCTATTTCTACTTTTTCTACTTACCTAGTTATATCATCTAGACCTTCTATTTCTACTTCTTCTTCTTCTACTTCTACTTACTCAAATTGGGTCTTCTATTTCTATTTCTTCTACTTATCCGGTTATATCTGAGGATTTACTGATCCGCCAGTTTATCCATTTTGTCCAACCCTTTTTTTCTTTTACTTCTACTTACCTAAATTTGGGTTTTCTATTTCTACTTATTCTATTTATCCAATTGTATCATCTGGTCCTTCTATTTTTATTTCTTCTTCTTCTACTTCTAATTACTCAAATTTGGACCTTCTATTTCTACTTCTTCTACTTTCTCAGTTATATCTAAACCTTTACTGATCCTCCAATTTATCCGATTTGTCCAACCCCTTCGGTCTTGAGAGGGAATGTTGAGAATATTGAATATTGAGAATTGTCTAAGTTCCCTTATCCCACATTAAAAACGGTAAACTCTTGAAATCAATAAATAATCACATGTATTAGCTGAAATCACACGTAGACCTATATTTGGGCCTTAAAAAAAGACTAGAAGACATTTTGTGCCGAATTCGCTAAGGCATCTGGTGTGTTCAAAACAATATGGTGGGTTCCGTCATATTTTTTTCGCTCATTGTGCACTGAACCATTTCTAGTAATCTTTTAAAGAAACAAAGGAAACTAGAGATGGTCAATGAACAGATTAACCAGATTGATGACTCGATTGATAAGCAAGACAGGCAATTACAGCAGTTTTTTTTTTTCACATAATGCTGAACAAAACACGATCAGACAGAGAAAGCAAACTTGACACATAGCACCAAAGCCACAACACGGAACTAATACCTACAAAGACAAGATGCAACATATGATCACTAGTCACCATCTTGGACTTGCTGCCAGAGTGACTAATTAGTCTTTGAATTTTTCAGTTTGGTTTTTCTTCAAATATTTGATCTGGGGAAGCAACAGTTCATCCGCAAATCGATTGCCCATAAAAAATTCCTTCATCATGAAGATCCTTAACACGTCTTCCGGCGATTGATTCACCTTGTCACTTCCCAACTCCACCGCACCACCACCCTGCTTTTCCACTCCCGCCACCAAATTCGTGGTATTACTTGAAATTTTCCTGCCACCACCAGCAACCACCACCTCCGCCTCGTTTTTGCTCCGGCGGTTCGCTGACTTGACATCGCGCACAGTTTGATCAACAATTTCAGCAAATGCTTTTCCACCTGTACAAAAGAACCAAAATCACAAATGAAATTTGAGCAAAACAATAAAGATGCCTAGATACATCACTAATTAGTTTCACAGACCCGGGATCAGTTTATAGCTTTCGCGGAGAGCATATTTGGCAGAGTTTTGAGCGAACTTGTAAGTGAAAAGCCCGATCTGGGATCGCGTCTCTTGGTCCGGCACGTATTCGGTGACCATTTCGGAACTGGATCTGACACCGCTAACAATCTTGCCGGCGGCGGAAGAGCAGTAGCCATATGACGTTTTGCATGCTTCCGTGATGGAAGGTAGAGGGTTTGGGGCGTTTCTTTTCACCGTTCAGTGGTTGAGCTGATCAAATCCCAGATGCCCATTATGACTAATTTAATCAAACAGCGGTTAGGAAGAGACAATGGAGAATTGGCTGGCGGAAGCCAAGCTTTTGCTCAACAGTTCAAGTGGAAAAAGAGTAAAGTTTACACTTTACACAACGCCTGCTTTGAAGTTTTTTAACATTTGACTTCCCAATTAGAGGAAGACCCTTTTTCATCTAAAATGTCTTTTTAATTAAAATAAAAATTTTAAAAATATATTTTAATAATTAAGAGAACACGATAATTATGAAAATATATTTTTAAATTTTTTTTTTAATTAAAAAAGAATTTCTATTTTCGCTTGATCAACGTATGTCGTACAATCAAATTTAAAACTCTAATTCTGGGTTAAAGGAGGGAAATTTTACAACGGACTATAGAGATGGCACCCAAATCCTATAATATTGTCATTCTGTGGTTATTAATGTATTGTATTCCTTTCAATATCAACTAGATACTTGGCCCAGACAGATGTCCGGGCGCCCTCTCTACTTTAATTTTGTGTTAATAGATAAATGAATTTTTGATTTGGAAAAAATAAAATAACTTCACATTTATTTTTTCTCTTTTTTAGTCAAAAATAAAAATAAAAATAAAAAAATCATCTGCAAGAGGAGAAAAAATATTGAAAAGTACACCGATGCAGAAATCATACAAAAGAATATGGAGTAATAAAAGAGATAAGTTTATGGACAAATTTAAATGGTATCTTAATTTGATTGATAAATGATAAGTGTTAGGAGTTAAAATTGTGTAGCTATTTTTGTAAATTAGATTTTGTTTTTCCGGATAAGAAGTTTTTTTTCTTTTAAAAAAGGATGACACGTGGCTGAATGGTTAAAGCAATATGGTGCTTTAATAGGAAATTACCACATCAACATCATGTATTCTGCTTTAATAGGGTAAAAGGGATTAGAAAAAAAGGAAAAAAAAATAGATAGGAGCCTAATTAAAATGCTTGTTAGGAAAGTTTTATTTTTTGAAAGAGACTTATGAAACTTAAATTTAGATTAATTGGAACAATGATTTTAAACATCTACATTATATACCAAAACAAAAAAAAAAAAAGAAGAAAAGAAACCTCTAATACTATTTTGCCTAGAACTTTAGTAAGTTCACGCACTTTTTTTTCAATCTCAAAATGACTGTATTATTTTCATTAACGAAAATAATTAGTATGCAGCGTGGACAAACGAGTCAAGCACTTGAAACGAGTCAACCACAAGAGATCCAACATGGAAATGGATTGCTCCGTGGAATTCTATGTATGCCTTCACACACCCACTGCCATTTTTATAAACAACTCTCAATTTGCACCATCTTTTATAAAGTTTTAGTAAAACAAACGAATAATCGGAGCATTTTGTTCGATCTATCATTTGAAGAAAAGATGAATTTACGATGAAATTATTCACGATTGATATCTCAATTATTGAGTAGTAGTATGTGTATATATATTGTTTGTTTAATTACATAACTGTACAATAACTTTTACTAAAAATTTATAAAAGTTCTTTGAAGTATAAGTAGATGTTGTTATATAGAAAACTTTTACACTATATTGCAATATATAGTTGTAATTATGTCTACGAGAAACAAATAAAAAAATTCTCATCACATCATAATAGTTACAATGATTTTAGATATGAAAAGTTTGTTTCAAGACTAAAATTAATTCAATTAACACAAATCATTAAACATATTTCACTGATTACATTCACATTTTGTTTTAAAAAAAACTTAGGTATTATCACATTTATCACAGCTTTATATAACATATATAATCATTATTCAGTTGTCTTAAAAGTATTTTGCAAACTAAATCATGACGAATCAATTTACAAAATTTAACATCTTCATTAGTCACACAATCTTGTAACCAATGCCATATTTTATTTTCCTCAAATTTTAAAACTTTAATAATCTCAAATCAATTAACACTATTTTCTCCAAAACATTGTCACACTTGTGCAAGAGATATCAAATTTTAGCCAAGGTCTTCCACACGTATCAGATCAAACAGGAAAAAATAGATTAAAAGGAAAGAAAAAAAGAAAAAGGGGAAAAAAAAAGAAAAAAAAAGAAGAGAGAGAGTCAAGAATATACATACTGGTACGAAATTCTCTTCTTTTTCTCTCCCCCGACGAAAAATCACCATTGGCTTCCGACGCTGTTCATCTAATCCGACGGCCTACAGTTAACGAGGGAGGGGAGGCAGAAAGGATCAACCGTCATCGTTTCTTCTCTTTCTCCTCTCTCTCTATCTATCAGATTGCTGCACAAATCAATCTCTGTGCAGGAAAATATCGGTTCTTGATTTCTTTTTTTTTTTTTGTAAATTTATAAATCTATTACTTCACCATGAACGAGAAGGCCGGCGTTTCCAAGGAGCTGAATGCAAAACATAGAAAGGTTCAAACTTTGTTCTGTCAATTTATAATTTTTTATTTTTGAAAATTCATATTTTTTGGAATTTATGATTTTTCTGATCTTGATTGCTTTCGATCGATGATTTGGTCGGCATGCTTGGATTTGGGCTAGTTATTAATAAACTTCTAATCCTACAAATACTGTGCTCTATAATCACATCATTTTATGATTTTGGTTAGGCGATTTTAATCGGGAAAGAAAGTACTAGTTGATTTGGAGCAAAATGCTCTTAAGCCGATGGCAATCATATAAATTTAAAGAATCACTTGAGCGGTTTTCCCCCAATAATCTCTCATGCTGATTAGAAAAAACAAAAGAAAGTAAAGTGAAGTTTTCTTGTTGAAATTCTTGCAGTCTGGGGAAATATTTTTCCCGGAAGGTCATAGATTTAGCTAAAATTTGTTTTTTCGAGCTGCATTTTTTTAGTTTGAGCTCAGGTTAAGGGACCTATTGTTTTGCTGAGGTATTCAAATGGGTGACAGATTTCTTTATTTTATTTTATTTTTTTCCCTCGTGTTTAGGAAAGTTGCCTTTTCAGTTAATGTGTTTACAGAACTGCAAAACTAAAAGGACCTGTAGATGATGCTGCTATGCAACAAATTGGAATACACTAATAAACGAAATGACAGTGAAAACTTCAAGTGAACTTTGGAGAAATATGCATCATCTTGTTCCATGATCTGTTGTTAGCTGTGCCTTTTTTTCTCAATTGTTGATAATGGGTGATAGATTTATAGGCAAAGCAGCAGCTCCTTTTTAATTTGTCTATAAGATTAGAGAGTGAGCAGCGGAGCAGGAAACAATTGATTAGAGTCCGGTAATGCCACTTGTGTTTAAGATTTGCTTATGTTGATTACAGAAGTGGGGGTTTGGGATATATGTCCGATGTAGTATTAGTATAGGTGTTCTAATTGACCTATGATGGAGTATTATCTTTTTCCTACTGCACTGACTTTTTCTGGCTGCTATTTAAGCTGTCTATGTGCAATTATAAAGCTTGTTCTACTTGTGCGCAGATTTTGGAAGGGCTTCTTAAATTGCCTGAGAACAGGGAATGTGCCGATTGCAAAACCAAGTATGTTATTTGAAAGTTTCTTTGAGTGGGAAAGTGAATTGTTATTTTAATACTCTTATTAAATCATGAAATTAGAAACAGTATGTTAAAAATTTTACGCCCTCTGTTCCAAAACATAGTCCACATGAATTTTGAGATTCCCACTGAAAAATAATACAAATCTCGAACCTCAGTGTGGACAATTTTTTTGGGACAGAGGTAGTATCCTTTAACTTAAGCCATATTTGTGACTTGTTATCTCTTTCTCTCCGTTCTTTTTCCTTTTTCACCCCCTTTTTTCGTTTAATGCAGAGGTCCACGATGGGCTAGTGTGAACTTAGGCATCTTCATTTGTATGCAATGTTCTGGAATCCACAGGAGTCTTGGAGTGCACATTTCAAAGGTTATATAAGTTTCATGGCAATCATAGTATTAAACTTGTCTTATTCTTGAGGTCTCCATTGGAGTCCTACCTTTGCCTATGATTCAAAATGACTTGACAACGGATCTAGATGTAGGGGTTGAGACAACAATTAGGAAATGTTATTTGGTGGAGGATGTCATCTGTCTTTTCTGTCGAACATTTACCTGTTGTTTTGAGGTGATATTAGCATTTTAATATACGTTCAACATTTTCCCTGATCTTGTATAGGTAAGATCCGCTACACTAGACACATGGCTTCCTGAACAAGTGGCATTTATTCAGTGTAAGTTTATATATGCTTTTAGATGACATAAGCTTTCTTTACTTTTGTGCATTGAAAACTTTATAACTGTTGCTTTATTTGTTCTTTTCATAAAAAAAAAAAAAAAAAATTGTTCGTGGTTTAGCAATGGGAAATGAGAAGTCAAATAGTTACTGGGAAGCAGAGCTACCACCCAATTATGATAGAGTTGGCATTGAGAACTTCATTCGAGCTAAGTATGTCTGCTTGAAAATTTAGAGAAATATCAGACTCTAGGACTTCTGATTCTGTAAGTGATTGTCAGCTTTGTTTTTTTTTCCAATTTTTGAAACAGGTACGAGGAGAAGAGATGGGTTGCAAAGGATGGACAACCAAGGTCGCCTGCTAGGGGACTAGAGGAGAAGCCGTCAGTTCAATGGCAAAGACCTGTTGAAACAAATGCACATGGATTCTCTGGCCATTCTAGGAATTCATATGTTGAGAGGAAGAACTTTCATACATCCGCTGCAAAGGAAACCTCTGCTGCTGGGAGAACTGGCATTCCAGCGCCCCCGAGAGGACAAGAACCTGTATGTTGGTTGCTTCCATTGTTAATTATGTTCACGTTTTTGTTCCAGTTTGTTGATTCTTTCACCATTCTGTACACAATTGAGTGGTGACTCTGGGGATTAATGGCTGATTTATTGATAAAGTTCTGTCATTTATCCTTTTGGTGGTGGTGAAGTTCCACCGTAACCAACCGTCATGTGTTTTATGCATATTTCATTTCTATGGAGACACAATGATATGTGAAAACAAAGCAGACCATCTAAACTCCTTACTTGAACCAGTTTCCACCTCTAATCATCGTCCTCGATTTATCCCTTATTTAGCCTGTTCCTTCCATTTTTTTTTCTGAGTTCAAGGATTTTGGTATGCTGGTAAATGGGTTGTTTGCTGAATAATTTTGATGTATGATTCCTTTCTTTTACTTGATGAACAGGTTGTTCCAGCCCCAAGGCCCTCAACACTTCCGCAAGAAGTTCAGAAGACAGAACCTGATGCGTCTGAATCTACTAAACATGTTGCAGAAGCTGCCAAGGTTGATTTTGCTACTGATCTTTTTGACATGCTTTCAGTCGATACTCCTAATGAAAATGGGTCCGGAGCAGCATCTACAGATGATATGTGGGCTGGTTTCCAGTGTAGGTGTAGTAGATAAACTGATATTGATTTTCTATCTGGCGTGCCTGATTCATTTTGGTGGTTGTCCTCCCCTGGATCTGACATTTTGAATCTACAGCTGCTCCTGAAACATCGACAGCCGAACCAAGTGCCCCCACCAAACCAGATGACAATAAGACTCCGTCTGCCACTGGAATTGATGATTTATTTAAGGATTCTCCATCAATCTTACCTACTTCTACAACTGAGAAGCCTCAAAAGGATGTAAAAAATGACATCATGAGCCTTTTTGATAAGGTCCCTTGCTACGCTACTGAACTATAAATTTTAACTTATCTACTACCTGGTTTCTAGTTATTCTGTGTTTAAAGTTGGGTGGTTATCTTTCGATTCTTATGTTTTCAGTTGACTTCTTTGTTGTTTGAAGCAAGTTTTCTCTTTATATTTCGTAAGTATTATCTGAAAATGGTTGCTCTTCTTAAAATAAATTTTCTTCTCTTTGACTACTTCAGTCCAATATGGTGTCACCCTTTGCTTCTCATCAACAACAACTAGCTATGTTGGCACAACAGCAGTTAATGGCAGCAGCTGCTGGTGGAATGCTAAAAGTTCCAGGCAATGCACCACAGGGGCCAAATGGCACCACCTTACCAAATCAAAGTTGGGCAAATGCTTACCAGTATTATGGAATGATGATGCCATCTGCTGGAAAGAGCGAAGTGGAGAAGTATATGCAGGTATGATGCATTAGTGGCAAATATCAATTAGTATTACAGCTTCATTTGACATATATTCTTTGTTTCTGTGCCAGATGGGTAACTTGGGAACATCACAGCCCCTTGGCGTTGCTGCACAATTTCCAGCATCCAGGTAATATGCTTTTTATGTTAGTATCAAATGCTCATGATATTGGCCTTTAGTTTTGGGGTCATGTTTTTTTGAGAATAGCTTGTTAAAAAACTGAATCACTTGTTTTCTGTTCTTCCCGGATTTACAACATGCTAATTACCATTGGAAGATAGGCATTCACTAGATTCAGTCATTTGGATCACTAGCTACATTTTCTTTAATCTTGTGCTTCTTCGAGCCAGTGGTTTCCTGTATAATGGATTTAAGCATTCTTTTACCTTTTATTTATTGATTTGTTTTGTCTTTAACTACTATAGAAGTTCTGGTCGACATTCTATATAGCTTTTACGGTCCCTATGTTGTAATTAAGAAGCTAAAATTGCTCGCCATACATGAAGAAGTGCATATTCCTGATTTATTTTACTTTTATTTTATTTTTGGGGTTATGGTGTTGTAGCTTTTCTGTGGGACAAAATACTTCCAGTAATGGTCACACCGGTTCTGGAGTGAGCAAGCAGACACCATCCTCTGTCTCTACTGCTGCCATGCCAAAGAAAGGCGACGAGTATGATTTCTCCTCTTTGACTCAAGGCTTTTTCTCAAAGCAGTAAGTCTCTTCGTACAGGGAAGTCCAGACTGGCCATTTAGTCATAGATTACCAGATGAGAGAGTTACATGAATAGTAGTTTTTGGACGGTTCCCCTATCAAGGGGATTTGTACACCTGTAGAGCAGTTCTTGCGCTTTTATCATTTGATGGTTTTGCTTCTATTTAAGCTGTACTTGGATAATAAAGGGTCCACATTGATTGTAATCGGAACATCATTTTGCAGCACTTTATAGTTACACTTAATTACTGAGCCGTACAATATCTGTGCATTTGTTCTAAGTCTGTCTATCAGGGATATTTGTACACCTATCATGAATTTACCATACTGCGCTTTTCTTAGCCCATCTGATTAAACCTCTGGAAGGATGTTTCGGTATGGCAAACATCCTGCTACCACTGCTTCCTTATTTGTGCTGTTCGAAGAAGAATATTGAGTTTGAAGCAATATAGTAGAAAGAAATTGGAACTGTGGTACTAGTTGGCGTTTTCTAGCAGTGTTCTTGGCCAACCGACGTATCAATGCATTCTTTCAGTAGGAAATGAAAGACCAGGACGGGTACAGATGCTCAAATGTACCCTTCCCGTCTCATTTTAATAGTAATTGGGAGTGAACGAGTATGAAAGATTCAATGCCGTGATGCTAACCTAATATCTCGTGCCGTACGATTTCATCTATCTTAATTGTGAACCACACTAACCCTGTTAGTAAAATCGTCAACGGTGAGAATGAAAGTTCTGAGAAAACGGGTGCTCCATGATGAATTGGTCTCGCAAAACAGCCTGCTCTTCTTTAGCCGACAAAATATACCGAAAATGCAACCAGCCATGTACATAATTCGTGGTTGCGTGCCTTCAGACATTTTTTCAGTTCCTTTTCTTCGTTTTCATCTCAGATTGAGAAGGAAAAATCTTTTCTTCAAAGGATCACATGAATGTCAATTTCAAGATCACAAAAACTGATAAAAGGAGTTGACGTTATTGGTTAATAAAAAACTACGGCGCCATCATCATCAACATGTGGTGTACAAATTTGGTTCACAGCAAAGCTTTGAAGATATTTGTGGTATCAATTTAATAAGTTATAAGTGAACCTACTGATCCGAGTTTTACGAGCTTTTAATTTATTTATTTTTTAAAGCGTACAGTATTTAATTATTTAGTTTAGCACGGTATTGCTATTTACAGTTATAAAAATTACTCATTTACAGTCGTTAGGATAATTTGCCCCTAACAAGCAACCTTTCTCCTCAAACTATCAAATTCAAATTACTTTCTATTCTTCTTCAACTCCCAAAAAAAAAATCAAAAAAATCAAAATGTCAAATTTAAAAACAACAATTATTAATACTACTCATTTAAATTTAAGTAAATTTTAAAAATATAAACAACAAATATTAATACTAATCATTTAAAAAAAAACTAAGTATTGAAAAAATAATAAATAACTAAAAAAATGAATATAACACAAAAAAATTAAAAATAAAAAAAAATAAATTAAAAAAAATTTCTGGTCCAAGATAGCCGGTCCACCGGCTGGTCCTCCACGGGTAGCCGGTTTTGGGCCGGCTATCTTGGACCAGAAATTTTTTCTTAATTTTTTTTAATATCTTTTGTGTTATATTCATTTTAGTTATTTATTATTTTTCAATACTTAGTTTTTTAAAATGATTAGTATTAATCTTTATTGTTTATATTTTTAAATTTAATTAAATTTACATGAGTAGTATTAATAATTATTATTATGTAAATAAAATTTAATTTAGTGTAAATTTTATTTTTGTGTTATTGTTATATTTATTTTATTTTTAATAAATGAATAGAAGTATTAAGTAATTTTAATAATTGATGTTTATTATATTTTTAAAATTTAATTTAATTTAAGTAAGTAGTATTAATTAGAATTTTACTAATAATTTACTATTAATTAATATTAATTTGTACGTGAATGAAATTTAATTTAGCAATGAAATTTTTTATTGGTTGTTTTTCGCGATTTGCAATTTTTTTAGCTTCTTAATTTTTGTATATCTAAATTTGAAAGATGGGGAGTTTTTTTTTTTTGGTTTGAGGTTGGAGAAGAAGAAAGGAGAAGAATAGGAAAAAAAGGAGGAAGAAAGGAGAAAATAGGAGAAAGAGGGATAAAATTGTCCTAACGACTGTAAGTAAATAATTTTTATAACTGTAAAATGCAATTCAGTTATTTTAATGGCTTTGCGTCCTTGACAGAAAAGAAGGGACAAATGGAAGCATACGAATAGGTAGGTGAGACTGGAGCATTCCTTTTATAATAGGAGAAATTGGTAGATGTGGCAAAATTTGTTTCGATAAAAAGATAGATGATGAACGAGACTAACTAGCTAGCTATAACTAATGATGATTTTGACTAATTTTGATATGAAGTAGTATATATAAGGTTGAAATTCACACGCAATTTGATAGCGCATATATTCATCACCTATACTAAATGAACTAATAACAAAAATCGTATTGCAGATCTTGATAAAGACGTCTAACTTGACTAGCTAATAAGCTGCAGTTGAAGTCCTCCATTTCTTGCAGCCCTAATGTTTAGACCTCACAGATGAATGCCATTTGTACTTGTAGATTAATGGAGTGTAGTCAATCTACCTACGTATAAAAATGTTAAAGAATACGGAAAAATGGAAATTTGTATGCACCGCATGACAGAGATGTTTGAAGAACTCCTTATATTTGGTAATTACAAACTTGATCCCATCTTGATCATCTAACATTGAGCTTTACTATGAAAGAACTGAGTAGTGTATTTCAATAACTTCGTTACATAGATAAGGCTAAAATCAACTAGAAAGATTGGAAACAAACATCTTAACAATCAAAAGTCGTGCTCTTTTTATTCATTTTTTCAAAAAAATAAAAAAAAAATGAAATAAAAGTGGTGCTATATTTTTCATTAACCTCGTAGGCGAAAATCCTCCTCCACCACCGATATACTGAAATGATAATGCCCACATGGAAGGGGTGCAATTAATGGTGAATTTCTCTTCAAAGGAAGCATGGTCGGTTTCCGTTTGGGGAAGATGTAAATTAAACGTCGAGGCTGAGCTGTTTTGCACATGCCGCTAGTGTGAAACCAGGAACACACGTCTAATACTACACACGTAAATCGTAATTACTTCTACCACTCCGCTAGCTGTAATATCCAATAAAAATAAATTATTAGGAAGAGAAGAAAATAAAGATACTAACTAATACTCTCCGATCCTTATTATTGCTTAAATTTTATTTATCATTTTTTCTCAATTGAAAATGAAACGTTAAAAGTGTAGATTTCATTTAACGTTTCATTTTCAATTGAAAGAATGCAATGAGATTTCAGATTAATCAAGATTTTTTTAATTAGGACCGGAGGAAGTATTAAGTATACTTACTAGCTACTCTACTTACGTCTCAGGACAAAAAAATTATTTGGGTAATTGGACAAAAAATTGACTCCAAACGTAAATAGTCAAATAATCGTACTACCTCCGTCCGGAAAAAATAGTTCACATTGAGTTTTCAAATTTGTACTAAAAACAGTAAAAAATTTAAAACTCAACGTGGACTATTTTTGTGGGACATAGGGAGTATATTTTTTAATGAAATGTGACGAAAATGAGCCTTTTGAAATGTATAGGACGAAAATATTTTTTTTGTCCAAATGTATAGGACGTTTTTCGTGATTTAGTCATTCAAATTTTCTAGTTGAATATTATCTTCTTTCTTTCTTTCTTTTTTTTTTTTCTCCCAGTTTTTCTTTGATAGTAAAATTTGTTACTCCGTGAATGAGCTGGTTCAGTAGTAAAACCACCCTTACTTCAAAAAGAGGTCATGAGTTCAATTCCCCGCTCCAACAAAAAGTGAGGGGTTAACTCTCACCTTGCCTATTTGCACTTCTAGGGACTTGTTATGAGCCCCCACTCCAACAAAAAGTGAGGGGTTGACTCTCACCTTGCCTATTGGCGCCTCTAGGGACTTGTTAAGGCTAACCCACTAATGAACCCCCACAATTTCGCACCCGAGCTTGTCACTCCAGACTTGCCAACTCTCGCAATTTCGCACCCGAGCTTGTCACCTCGGGCTTGCCTAGGGTGGATTTTTTTTTTCGGGCTTGCCTAGGACCCACTAATGAACTCTCATAATTTCACACTCGAGTTTGTCACCCTGACCTATTGGTCAACAGGTGAGGCGTCTTATTACTAAATTGCACCTCTTGATAGTGGGTTTTTTTTTAAAAAAAAAAGGGGATTAATAGTGGGTTCCCCACCCACTATTAATACATGACATGATTCAAACCTGTGATCTATTGATCAACATGTGAGGCGTCTTACCACTAAACTACACCTCGTTGTCTGCTATTCCTGTAGGTTATGGAAACAAAAAGATCCAGAAACCTCGGCCGGAAGTAACGGTCACATACTTTGCCGCTCATGAAAAGGCCGTTGACAATGTACCCAAAATGCCAACATTAGTGCTGCTCTGACAAATGATCCAACCCGCCACCCCTTCAGCTGTACCCTAAATCATACTATAAAATGCCCTTAAAACATGGGGAGTAAAGTTAATTTAAGATTCCCGAAATGGATTACCTAGCTACAGTTAATTGGAATCTTTTCAAACTCGCAACTGGATTGCTAAACGTTAAATCGGCCAGGCTCCTCGGCGATCCCAAAATCCCAGGATTGGTGAAAATTTCTGTCTGCCCCTTTTGACTTTTGAACAAACACACAAAAGAAGAAACCTTTTCTTTTTTTTTTTCCTTTTTAATTCCCATTACTGGAAGGGTTTTACTTACAGAAATTATTAAGGTAAGAGATCTATTTGACTGACCATAATAAATTAAACGTACTAGCATTAAGAATGTCAACCCCACATGAAAAGGCCTCTTTACTCGACTAAGGCAAGTAAAGAATCACATTCCCTTTTGCCGCTTTCCTTCTTCATTCAAGTTAACGAGTTTCGTTGGAGTATTTTATTTTATTTTATTTTTTTCGTTGGAGTATTTTAATTATAAATACCGTAACAGTTTTACTTAAAAGAAAAAGAATAATTTGAAAGCATGGAAACTGTGTTCTTCTTTATTTGTGAAAAACGGTGTACGTGTTACAAACCCAAAAATGTACATACTGTATATATTACTCCATTTGAAATGTAAAAATGCTGCATTAGGAACTATTGACGAAAAAGAGTTACTAGCAGTATGGATTGACAAGTTTTGCGGCCATCAACATTCATAATGTAATTAGTAGCTCTCTGCTAGTGTCGGCTTAATTTATTTTGATCAATCATTTGTTTCTCAAGTGCTTGATGTAAGAATCACCATTTTGCATATTGCATGTATTAATGATTCTCAAAACTAATTAAATTTTTCGCCTACTTGGCCAGGAAACAGTCCATTATTATGGCTAAATTCCGCCTCTGTCAATTATTCTGCCCAAATCATCCTCACTTAACATTCAATCCAATGAGCGTGTATCTTTTTGCAACTTGGAGAGATTAATTTGAAATCTGTCAACTTGACTTGACTGTACAGACCATAATACCCGTATGTTGTTTTATTTAAAAAATAAAAAATAAAAAAAATCGATTATTGTGTGAATTGTAATAAACGATATTAGATTATTGAATTTAATTTTCTTTTTTCTCCTGACAATAGAACCTTAAGCGTCTAGAAAACATATTGTGAGGATATATTTTTATTTTTTGTTGGTGAGAATATTGTGAGAAGACTAAAATGTCTAAATGGTCCTTTACATTTGGGTCTACTTGAACTTACGTCCCTTACATTAACATTTCAATATCGTAGTCCCAAACATTATGTTTTCACACTTTTTTGGTCCCATTTCACTATTTCCGGCTGTTGACATTCCGGAATCAGGGGTATTTTTGTCTTTTAATTTAATTTAAATTTTAATAAAAATTTAAATCATTAAAAATATTTTAAAATTTAGATTTCATTATTTAATTGTTAAAATATTATTTATTAATTAAACATATTATTATAAAATTTTAAAATTTACATTATTTTCAAAATTAATTTTTTCGTTTATCATTTATCTTAGGTCAAAATAAATAGTAATTATGTTGCACTTTTAACCTTGGACCCACTGTAACTCAAAAAATTTACCGAGATACAGTAAATAATTCAAAATTCAATTTCTTAAAAAAAAAGAAAAAGTCAAACCATTTTTTTTTACTCTGACCGCTATAGTAAACCCTAAATGGTAATTATGTTGCACTTTAATCTTGGACCCACTATAACTTAAAAAATTTACTGAGTTACAGTAAATAATTCAAAATTTATTTTTATAAAAAAAAAGAAAAAGCAAAATCAAGATTTTTTTTTAACTTTAACTGCTATAGTTGAATTTTGAATTATTTACTGTAACTCGGTAAATTTTTTAAGTTGCAATGGGTATAAGGTTAAAAGTGTAACATAATTACCATTTAGGGTTTACTGTACCGGTCAGAGTAAAAAAAAAAAAATCTTAGTTTTACTTTTTATTTTTCTTCTTTTTTTAAAAAAATAAATTTTGAATTATTTACTGTAACTTGGTTAATTTTTTAAGTTACAGTGGGTCCAAAGTTAAAAGTACAACATAATTACTATTTATTTTGACCTTAAAGTAAATAGTAAATTAAAAAAGTAATTTTGAAAATAATGATAAATTTTAAAATTGTACAATAATATTTTTGATTAATAAATAATATTTTAACAATTAAATAATAAAATTTGAATTTTAAAATATTTTTAATGATTTAAATTTCAACAAAAATTTTAAATTAAATTAAAAGACAAAAATACCCCTGATTCCGGCATGTCAACGGCCGGAAACAGTAAAATGGGATAAAAAAAGTGTGAAAACATAATGTTTGGAACTACGATATTGAAATATTAATGTAAGGGACGTAAATTCAAGTAGGCCCAAATATAAAGCATTTGCACATTTTAGTCTTGTGAGAATATATTTTATGATCTGAAATACACATAACGTTGCCTTTAAAACTTTGGCTATATTTTATTGGAAAGTCAAAAGTGTTCAATTCCAAGATTAGGCCGAACAACCCAGAAATAATTTTAGAAAAAATCAACTACATATAAACAGTGAACTGATAACGCGGGGGGCTCTATAAAAACCTCGTCTTAGTTAGTTAGTCTGTATTTTTCAATTCCGTCTCTCTCCTCCAGAAATCCAGACTGTTCTGCTTTCGGCTTCTCCACCGGAGAAGAAAACCAAACACGCAAAATCCCAAAATCTAAACAAAACACCACCCTAGAAATGATGAATCCTTCCCAATTATCCCTCAAAGTCATATTCATTTCCACAAGCCTTCTCTCGGTGGCGGTGGCTCTGAAGCTCTCGGTGCCAGCCATCACCGATTTCGCCGTCAGCGAAGTCCCGTCCATTTACAACGGCATCTTATCCTGGCTCAAGCCTCCTTATCTCTACCTCGTCATCAACTGCATCATCATCACCATCGTCGCTTCTTCCAAGCTCCAGTCCAAGTTTGACCACCACCACGCGCCGCTCCCACCGGAGTCCCACCACGTGCCTCCCATGCATCATCATCCTCAGCTCGTCGTCCCCCCGCCTGTTCAGGCGGCTGAAGTCCCTCTGATGCAGCCTCGTCATCATCTGATTCCTACAGACAGCGACGTCGACGTGGTATTGAGGGACGAACCGGTTGGCCGCGGTGTTGACGTCAGCGCGCCGCCGCAACCGGAGCCGGCGGTCACTGATTTCGCGTACACTCGCAATAGTTACAGCGAATTGGTGGATAGCTTAGATGCTGGTACTAAGAGTAGTTTGGTGGATTTGGAGTTGGAAAATGAGTTTGTTAGCTCAAGCAACACCGCGGTGGATGATGCGCCGCCGCCGCCTCCTCCCCCGCCGGAGCTGGAAATCAACGGTTATAAGGACGAGTTCGTGATTTCGAAGTCGACTAGTATTAGTCGAAACGACTCGATGGAGTTTGCGTATTCTACGGAGAGACCGCCGATTTCTTCCAGATTCGGCCACCGCCGAGCTGTGAAAGCCAGTCCGGAAGGTAAGTACATATTCTCAGCTCTCTCTCTCTCTCTCTCTCTCTCTTTTTGCTTTTTTAATAACGAATTACTAATAAATCTCATATAATTTAGATTTAGTGTTACTAAAGTATTTTGAAATTTCGGGAGCTCAAGCTTTTTCGTACGGAAAGTGATAAGTAAAATTCCGGCGAAGGAGCTGGAGTGGGCCGGAGAGGAGTCAGCAGTCAAAGTGACCGTTGGACCAATAGGCTGCCCGTTTTTGGGGTGAAAAGAACGAAAAGGAATGATTGGGACAAGTAGACCACTTACGGCTGCTCCTCCCTTTAGAGTGTGGTCCAACTTCTCACCGACTTTTTGAAATTTGAACAGACGAAGTTATCCCATTCCCCGCTTGGAGTTTACGTCATTAGGGCCAGAAGGCGATCCTAATCAATGAGATCACCACCACATCTTTCCAGACCCCCCTCCCCCCCATACCCCCTAAATATAGAAGAATCCACAAAAAAATTAATTCCATCCTAATCCACTCCCAAAATTAGCTCATTCCTTTGCAATCTGCATAACAATTTCATGTTTACGTGGGAGTGTTACATTTGATGGGATTCACCTACTAGTTCCATTTGATAAATATTAGTGGTTATGTATCTAGTTGAAACTGTTTGTAATTACCAACATTTGACAATAAAACAAATGTGGGGGTTAATTTGTTGGTGGTGAATATATTGCAGGTGGGAAAGCGGCGCTAGGAGTGTCAAAACCCAAGAGGCAGGACACGCTGGAGAGCACGTGGAAAACAATAACGGAAGGACGTGCGATTCCGTTGACGCGGCACCTCCGCAAATCCGACACGTGGGAGAGGGAGTCCCACCCTCACCGTGGTGGTCGGTACAACCACGTGCCCCCACCGCCGCAGCATCACAACATGTCCAAGTCCGAGACCTTCAACGACCGCGGTAGCCGGAGCACCATTGGAGTCAACACTAATAATAATAGTAATAATAGCAGAACACTGCAGAGATCATCGGGCGGTTCCGGCGGGAAGCTGAGGAAGGAACCGTCGTTGGGTCAGGACGAGCTGAATCGACGAGTGGAGGCGTTCATTAAAAAGTTCAACGAGGAAATGCGGTTGCAGCGGCAAGAGTCGTTAAATCAGTACATGGAGATGATCAACCGAGGGGCTGCTCACTAAACCATTCCCCTTTTGCTTTTTTTTTTTGGTTTCTTTGATCGTCAAACAAGTGCTGTTTGATAGATAGTTTTGGTTTGTTATTCGTTATTGCACATAGAAAAAAACTCTCTCTTTCTTTACATACCGAAAAAGAAAGGAGAAATGAAACATGTCAGTGAAGATGGAGAGATGTTCATACATCATCATAGGCGATATTCACCCATAGCAATTTCTTGAAATGAAAGAAACAAAAAACACCAATTTAATTAGGTCGCAAGTATATTTCATGGAGCTCAGCAACAACCATGGCTATCTCAGATGCAAGCAGTACAAATTGAATTCCAACTCCATTTACATTGATACTGATTAACCGTCCTTTCACAAAATCATTAAGTTCCTTACGGTCTGGTCCAGAAGGGTACATCGATTGAATTAAAAAAAAAAAAAAACAGGGATAGTTTTTCTTCACTGATTTGAGGTACATAGAGCCCCAGAATACTGAACCGAACCAGAAGGCAACATCTCCTTCATTAATGGAGTTGTGGTGTAGTGCTCTTTAATACTGTATGTCCCAAAGCAACATCATCTATAACTGCTGAACAAGGTTGCCCATGCTTTTTGACTTATCTTCTCAGCTCCCAACTCCCTCTTCAGTTCTCTCTTCACCCTTATCATATGGAGTTATGGGGCTTCTGCGTGCCCTCTACCTGTTATTGGCTTGACCAAGCCGGTATGAAGACCATACCTATTTCATCCCGCCCCTGCTATTCAATGCACCGTTCTTCTTCTTTTTAAATTCGACTATTTTGAGTTCTCCGAGATTTCAGAAATCAGCCATGTAATAGAGTTGAAGGACACATGGATATAACTTACAATGTTTGAAACTTGAATCGCCTACATTGCCATTGTAGTAGTGGGGAAAAGCCTGTCTAACAAGGTGTAGACACCTCCGCCTAATAGTAGAGCACCACTGCACCAGAAAATGAGACAGAGAATCCAGCGATCACAAAGAATGTGATTGTAATGGCAGGAAAAAAAAAAACTTGGTTCATATTAGCCGTGTGAGGATCCACTTAACAATTTTATTGTACTAGGAGTTAAGATACGGTCTTATAGATAGTGACCAATGTGCCCACTGCAGTAACAACTCAAAAACCATTCAATTTATCATGTAAATCCAATATGATGAATATCATAGTATTATCTTATACTAGAAACTTCAAAACACATAATGAGCTCATTATTGGGTAGATTAGGTCGTACACTCGCGTAAGTAAAATGTTATCTCATTATGAAGCAAAGTAGAACTCATTGACAAGGAATTACCTCATCGGGTTAATCCATGCTGAAAACTTGTGGAAGGAGAGAAGGCTCTGTGTAAATACATGCCATGGAGAAAAGTCAAAATTCTGAAATCAATGGGCCAAAAAGGGAAACAAATCGCTGAAATGAAAAGGTAAAATAGTGAAAGACAGGAGGAACCCCCTCCGGATAGGTAATGGACAAAGATTCATCCTTTAACGTATCAAACATGCTACAAGAAAATCACAACACCACCAGTTGGCTCAGGAAGTCTACCTGCAATGCTCCAGCAAAGGAGGCAGCAAGAAGCAGAGGAGTAACGTAGCCCGTGGTGTAACTCAACAGTAAGCTGGCCCCTACCACTGGGTCCTGAAAAACATCAAAACAAGTTCATTAAACCACTTTGAAACAACTGTGCGCATAAAATAGTCAATTTGCAAGTATGCAGCAAAAGTTTCCTTTTTCTGGTATCTGTTTTTCATGAAGTTGAAGTTCTTCATCCAACGATAGAAACCAAGCAAGCTGATATTTTATCCATTATGGAAATCTGATAAGCTCCGCAAAATTATGAACGATTATAGCCACTATGTCTGTGTTCTATAGATTAGATTGATGAGACTATTCAAGAGGGGTGTCATAGAGTAATCTTAGTAATCATCTTTATCTTCTCTAATCTAAGTTTTTCCTGATGGTTCATGCCTGCAGTTCCAAATTTACAACTAGTTCCCCTCAAAATATTGGAAGTCCAGCAAGTACCCTGGAAGCAGCAACATATCCGAGCAAGGTAGCCAAGACCGGAGTACTACAAGGTGATGCTGCTAAAGCAAATGTAAGCCCAGCCAAGTATGCTTGAACACCTGACAAATGGAGGTACACCAATGTCACTAATGACACCAAGAAAATAGCAGGTAGTGGTATAAAAAAGGTACATTACTTGAAGGAAACTTAGCTGCCGCTGTTCGGGGATCAAAATTGTCGAAAAATGAGGGAAGCTGAATCTCAATGATCTGCAACATAGGCCAACAGGACATTGGTCAACCTCAAGAAAAATTAGTTCAAGTTATGAAGAGACATCAAAGGTAAAAATGTCATGCTATCAGACTGCAGTAAGTTCATAAAGCCACACGCTTCATGCCATTTGTGATTTGATTGAAGTCTCTACACTCAAAAAGAACTAGCAATGCATGAGACATAAAGGACCGAAATGCATGACATAAGCACTAAGCAGACAAAACCAGGACTACAAGAGAGCTCATTTTGGTTGAAAATATGACGAATTTCAAATCACACCAATGTAACCTAGCAAACAGTTCCAACATAGTTATGTGCATCATAAAACACTAACTGCAAAATTGCAATTATCACCTCTAAGAGATTAGAACCCATCACAATTGCTAGACAAGAAGCAGCCACCGGCAGGCCCTGACCTATCTGACCATAAGCCTTCCCAGCAAACGAGGCAGCTACTCCAAGCAATGCCAACGTAGTCGCCAATCCTAGTGCAAATGCAAGTGAATCTCCAACCACCTGGAAAATGCAAAACAGAAGCAGGTGAAGTAAGAACTTCAAAACTTACAATTAGCATTGTGATAACTCCAAAACAAGTACTACGCTCACATGGTTTATTCATGTCTAATTTAGTGATTACATCAGTAGCTAGCATTGCGTCAATGAGACATCCCAAAACTAGAATGGCAACTAGAAAATCATACAACTACATTCTGCCTAATAAATGATTCAGCCTAGAACCGAAACTTAAAAAAGTACAAATTCTTTGGTTCTTTTTGTTGTGTCTAAGATAATTTCCAACAACCATTGTGTTCACCAAATATTCCAAATTGTGGCAGTGATTGAAAAGTTTTAGGCTTAACAAAATTCGTTCTAGAAAAAAGAATTGATGATGAATTCAAATAGCATCTGACCTCTGCTCTGCTTCTTCCCGAGCCATATGCCCCTGCAGAAATATCCATGGAGGTAAGCTAGCTGTACAACTGAAAGCCAAAACAAAACAACTATAGATTTAGGGATTCAGTCTTCTAACCAATGTAACCGAGGGTGAGTGGCAAGACACTGAGAGTACATGGCGAGAGGCTAGTTACCAGTCCAGCACCAAAGATAACAGCCAAACTGTTGATGGAAAAGTGATATACATCGAATCACAACAGAATTCAAACGCAATCTACTCAGGTAAACGCCAATTTAGCGATAGAAACCTTGTGAAACTAAGGGCAGACAATTGGTTTAAAACAGCTTCATTCGCCTGCTGGCCAGCTGAATATAAAAGGCTTCCAAACCAATCTCCAATGCCCCCATCAGCTAAAGTATAAAGAGAAGTAAGTTCTTCCTGATCCACAAAAGCGGGAACAAAATTAACAGATCAAACATCAAGAGTCATATTGGCCAATCTCATAACAAGTAAGGACATAATGGACAACATAAGCATCATTTGTTCTAAACAAGGGTGCCCATCCAAAAGTTATCAGGGACAGAAGAACGATTGCGAAAGTTAGGTGTAAAGCAAGTGGTACTGGTACCACAACAATCAAAAAGAAAACTAACTCCAGAGGATAAGCCCGAAAAAAAAACTACAGCAATGAATTTATCTAGGAAATAGTCCTCACACTGATATTTCCATTACTCGAAGCATTTGCTGCTTGCCCAGCAACCAAATTTCCCGCTGCAGCATTGAATAAGTGAATGAGTTTACTTGAATTGAATACACAAAACCAATAAAACCCAAAAAAGTGTGCAAACAATAAGCGAAAAACCCAAAGGAGAGAATGGAAATTTAAGAGAAAAACCTCACGGAACAGATGCATACCTGTTACAGAACTGACAAGTGCAGCAAGCTTAAGATTGTTTCTGGCCCCAATCTCACTGGAAGACTTAATGGGCATCTCTGTATGCTTCTTGTAAGTACCTTTCAAAAGATACAAACTGGGAATTAACTGAATTTTCTTTTTTGGTGGTCAGGATTTCGAGCGACAAAGGAGAAAGAAATTACAGTTGGGAATCACAAACATACCAAGAGCAAGAATTCTTCTGGGTGGATACTTTGAAGAAACGCCAGTGTAATGAAGCCGCAGGCAACTCATATTACTCATCGTTGCCAGGTTCATTTGTGACACTAAAATGAAAGCTTGAACACAAAGAAGAAGACGAGGACGTAATATGAGTTGAGAGGAGGAGGAAAGTACAGCAGTGTTTGGAATATTTAATGGGAGGTATAAAAATCAACGAATCAGCAGCGATGAGCCTTTGATATTTTTATAATCCAATTCGGCGATTCTGGTTAAGTTAATGTTGAAGCCTCAAGAGCTAACAGAGAATAAAGGGACAACAAATCCTTTGGAATGCAGATAATTGATAAACTAACTACCGTACTAATCTTTTTATTCCCGTCGGCCAACTACGATGAGGGACAAAAAGGTCGACGCCACTTAATTGGGGTCTTTTTGTCATGTAAATCCACGAAATTAGTTTTGATTTTTAATTCTCCCACTTTGAGTAGTTTTTTTTTTTTTTTTTTTTTAATGGGAAGCTGTTGGCGTAAGTTGGGTTTTTTTTTTTAAACCGTACCTAATATATTATTGAGTTATAAAAAGATTCATTACATTAAGGATTAGGCTATATTATGCATATTTTGAATCGACCTCTCTTCTATTAACTTTAACAAACTTGCAAGTTTTAAAAGATAAAACTAGAGTAAAAAGTTGAGAGATTGTCTGGTAAGCTTCAACCGGAGCTAAAGATAGATCCAAATTCTTGGTAAGTAATTCACAATCAGTTAGGATCTTTATATTCTGCAGGTCGAGATTGGCCGCTTCTTTGAGGGCATATAAGCACGTCATTTTTCGGTTTGAAAAGCAGAAAGGACATACGTAGGAAGTGCCTTAATCTGAATCACCATAACATGAGAAGACTAAATCTTTCAAACTCCCGCCGCCTTCCTTATTGTCGGATTAAAAGAGCCGTCCATCACAATAGAGGCTGGTGATGTGGTGTGACCATCTATCAAATCATGCATCTATGTTCTCTGCAGGGCGTTTTTCTCTCCTTGTTGAAAAGAAAAAGTTTCAACAAAAATGGTTTAAACTTCAAATAAAATCGCATGTCCTCTTGGATTTTGCATCTTAATCGAGTATAGGGAACAATAGGATGATATTATTGGCTCATATTTTATGCGTCCCTTCTATATTATTGGCTCAATAGGATGATAGTAATTTTACTACTAGTATTTTAGTGAACAATCTATAATATATTATATTTATTTATTATTATATTAAGAGAGAAACTAAAAAAAGAATTCTAGGAAATTCTATGTGGCATTTTTATAAAAATTCTAAAAAAAAAAAGTTTGTGCATTTACATTACAAGTCCTAGGAATTTATGGAATTAATTTTTTTCACACCTATAATTTTATGTTAATTGATGGCTAAATAGGAAATAAGAGTATGAAATAATTATCATTGAGTAATTTTATCCGGATGGAGAGTATTTCTCCGGGGATGAAGGAATAAAATGAGCAATCATTAATGTGATTGATTCCTTTCTTTCTTTTTTTTTTACAAAAAATGTACCTTAATCGGAGTGACAATTTGATGTTATTATAGAAAATATATTGAAATAAATGGAGCAGTGTTCATGGACTATTTATCCGGGTGTGAAGGTCATTAATGTAGATTGATAGCTTTTTTTTAAAAAAAAAAAATACCTTAATCAGAGTAACAATTTCATGTTATTATAGAAAGTATATTGAAATAAAGGGAGTAGTATTCATGGATTATTTATCCGGGGCTGAACGGATTATATCACAATTTTTACTTCGGGAAAAAACACGAATGGAGTAGTATATTGAAGAGATTAAATGAGCAATTACTAATTTTGATTGATTGTTGTTTTCTTTGTAAATTGTTACGTAATTGGGGTTTTAATGGACTCACCAACTACAAATTCACTATATCACGACGATTTTTTTTATTGATGAGTTTTTTTCTCTGTTATATCATCGATCACATGATATAAATACCTCTGAACTCCAGAATCATTGTATCTACGTCACAAAAACCTTCCTCCACCCAAAATTAAAACAATGTCGACATCACGTACCAGCAACCATTTTGATTTCATCAAAGACTTGACACTAATAATCGACAAATCTGATTAAAAGTTAAATGTACGAATACTACACGTCTGGACAACAACTTTTGGGGAAGACATTGGTCGAAACTTTACTTATTGATGAACAGATAAAATAATACAATTTAGTTTGTATTCATGTAGTTAAATGATATGTGTGTTTAAGCCGATTTATGTAAGTATTCTATATTCAGTAAAACTATTATTGCAAGTTGTATTTTTGTGGTTTGTCTCCACTGTCAGGGTCAAACAATACAAGTTTCGGTCGATAAAAAACTCTAGTGAAAATTTCAAAAGCTTCTTGAAAATGGACTTGGAGAGTCTAAGCAAATCATTAACTTTAATTTGACGGGATACACGAGAAATTACAAGTAGAACAAACATAAATAATTGAGTCACATGACCCAGCTTTTTTCCACACAGAATGGTACTTAGAATGCATGCTATCAATCCAATCATTCTACAACAAAAATCTCCAACCAGTAAACTTCACTTTAAGGGAGTCATTGTTGCTATAATTTAAATTCAATTTATCAAAGGAGAGAGTAGTAGAAGGAACCTCAATTAACTGACCGTCCGAAGTCATCGTCGGAAATAGAAAATTGGGAGAATTTTTTGCACAAAATGATTCATTATTCCAACGATTAACTTTCCATAACACATCTTTTTGCATATTTATTTTCAGAAAAGGATAACAACATAAAAAATATTAAATGCCACCTAACTGTTTACTTTCTTTTAATATTTACCCCGTTATGTCATGTAAAATTTCTTACTTTAATTTTTCAAAACTAATATCAAACATGCTAATTACTTTCAACTAACAAGCCCGCTTTCACAGTATATTTTTATTACATTTTCCTGATTATTAATTTACTCTTTACTCTATCATCAATTAGACAAGCAAATTAATGTAATATTACATCTTTTTTTTTTCTATTTACAATTGAATGATGTTTGCATTTCTATTATTTTAAAATACAACAATTGTTAATATTTTCCTTTTAAATTTAATACGTTACTATTCAATAAATACTTATTACCCTTTTGTTTCACAATTTTATTATATTTTAAATATGTAACTCATACAAAATTATGCACAAACCCCGTGCATTGAACGGGTTTAGCAACTAGTTGAGACGATGATGTAATCATGAGACAGATTAATTAACCTCCACACTGTGCCCTATTTTTCTATGAAATGGAAAAAAAAAAAAAAAAAAGGAGGAAATTTCTAGTATAACTGTAATAAACTAGTCCCAGCAAGTAACTTGAAATGACAAAATAACAGTCTGTCGACGTTCACGTCTGCACACATTTGGCCACATATTCTAACTGGCCCCAGAACTCCAAATTCTACATGAACATTTTGGAACACAAACTCGGTCAACGGGTTGATGAATCATCTGCTTGAGTCCAGACAGGAGAGCTCAGCTAAGAACCAAGTGTGCCTTTCAGCTCGGAATTCTGCCAAAATGCAATTCATTCTGCTCAGTTAAATATGTAAAAGGAAAGTTTGCCGATATAAGTGAATCATGTAGAGGCTAAATTCATACTAATTCTTTCCGTTTCAAATGAAAGGACGTGTCCCAGACACGTCTGAATAACATCGACCGTAAAATTTGAGTAAAGGCTTGAGAGAGTAGATATAGAAGAGCACACTATTTTTTTTTATTTTTATTTTTTCGAAATGGAAGAGCACACTTAAACGCACACAACTATTGTATAAATCACCCAACAGATTCTAGCTAACCCCCTAATTTTCTTTTATGGTAAGTGGATCAGCCCTAGTTACAGGGCCTCCTCCATACCATCTAACCCGAACTCTTCCATAGGTATAGCCGACTTTCTGTTGATTTGTGTGTTTGTTTCTCCTAGCACTTAAAGCTCCTACGTCTAATCTCTCCAAATTGACCCGTCAAATTCTAGCTTTACATGCAGAGGTCTTAAGCACATGAAAGCTTGTTTTATACCATTCATATTTAATCTTCAATAGCTTGGGTTTCGTCATTCTTAAATGTCTTACTCTGGGTTTAAAATGTTACCATAGACTATTGAAACTGTGACAACCACAGTTCATAAAAGCAGGCCTAGTGGCAAATGCAGTAAAAGATCATGTTGACAAATTAGCTTATATTTGAAGCTTCATACACCAATATAAAGAATGCTACCAGCTTGTATCAAGATAAAACCCTACAACTAATTAACCATTAGGGGCATACCTCATTTGGTGGCTGATTAACAGAACCCTTCCTCAGTCCAATGACAAAGATTCCCTCAGGGTCCACCCTAAAAAAGGTAACTGCAGGAAGAAATCAGACTAAGATTTTAATGTAGAAAACACTGCTTGCATGCATCACATGTAACTTGCATGAGTAGAAAATTAGATAAACTCTTACAAGCTTTTCCTGCAGAATTTTATGGGAAAAAGAAAATAGACACTATGAATATACTGTGATGAGAATCATAAATGAAAGCAATCAAAGTTACTGAAAACTGAACATGAAGCACCAAGAAAATTGTTCCGTTACATGGGGGACCAGTAGTTTATCAGGTTACGTGAAGTACCAAAGGCAACCTCAGTTTTACAAATAGTCTACCCGCATGGAGGGTCAAAGGCTTAGTGTTTGTATCAGAAGACATAAAACTTGAGGTGACAGAAAAGCATATCAAGTTTCCTGGAGGTGTGCACACACTTTTCTAACCAGTTTACAAATTTTCCTTTTACCCAAAAAAAAAAAAAGGGCTTCTGCCATTTCCACAAAATGGTTGTCTGATGATGCAAAAATATAAAGAGATGAAATAGACAATTTCCCTGAACTTGCACCAGGAAAATTGTTCTGTTGCATGGACGACCAATAGTCATCAAGTCGGATGAAGTACCTGAGGCAAACCTCAGTTCTACATATACTCTACCCACATGGAGGGTCAAAGGCTGGTTGTATCAGAAGACACAAAACTTGAGGTGGAAAAAAGTAAAAAACAAGCATATCAAGTTTCCTGGAGGTGCACCATATGCCTTTCTAACCCGTTTACAAATTCTCCTGTTACCAAAACGAAAGGGCTTCTGGCGGTACCACAAAAGGGTTGTGATGACACTAAGAAAGAAAGAGATTTTCATGGTATGAAGTATAAACTACTGAGGAAGTTTCAGATTGCAGAACTAGGACAATAACTACCAAGAAATAGAACAACTAATCAATTAGCTGACCAGAGAATTTAAGACATTCTGAGAGCATCTGGCCAATGCTTAAAGTGCAAAGTGTTAGTCAGCAATCAAGACTGCGATTCGAATTTCAGGAGATGCCTAGTGCAGTTAGCAAATGAATTGAGTGCATAGTCAAAGATAATTTCATTTCATATCTTTGTCCACTAGGTAAAGTTTTCATAATGGGCAACTGTAAAAGAAATTTCTTGAAAACACTGTACGTTCGGTAAGTGACTAAATAGGACAAAAGGACTTAAATTTCATTGATGAGTATTTCTTCTCCTACTGTACTTTAGACTCTACCATTATCATATGATCACACAAATGTACTTCTACTAAATATCAATTGCAACCCTGATAAGTCAAGCATTAAACAGTTACCTGTATCACCTGCTTCCCATCTCTTCGAAACCATAAATTCTTTGAGTCCTTCGAGAATATACATCTTACTGCCAGCATTTATCCAATAGCGGTAATTAAATTCCCATTCTTTTCCTTCCACATCATGGAATCTGATTGGAAATCCACGTGGATCATTTATATCAGGGAAGAAAGCCTGGTGAAACACGAGATTCTATCAGTAACATGAGGATGTGAGAAGATGACAGATAAAATCCAGAACTAATCTTCATGAAGTAACCAAGAAATAACACCGGTAACATTAGAACAGGAGAAAGAATTTTCAACTTGGGTTGCTATTTGAAACTTGCAAGCTCACCTCTGCACACCTCTTGGGTAATACTAGACGCGAAAGTTTCATGTCAACGTCAGTCTTGGACAACTGTTTTTCAAACAAAGGAGTGACCACAGATTCGGAGCTAGATGGTTGTCATGGATCAGTCCAAAAAAAAGAAACAATTACATCAATACATTTATGGAAAATGAAGCACATGTCAACTTGTCCATGGACTATTTCCTGCAAGACTTACTGGCTTCACAAGTTTGAGGACAATAAACGAAAACATTATCCATTTCAGAATGAAAGATACATAAAAAATTACAGTCAGAATACCCTGCACCACCCCCCAACACCGCCCTCCCAAGTAGTTTATATTAACAATAACAGCTGTCTTCTATGAGGATACTTTCTCGATATCTGTTGCAATTCTGAGTCAGTGCAATGAGGCCTGTATTGAGTTTCTATGCCAGATTGTCCATGGAGGCCTTGCTGTATTTCTAAAGGCAGGGATCTATTGCGTGCCTAAAAAACAGTATCAAATGTCATATCATTAAAGGAGATTATACAGGAGCACTGACTAAACAAGCATCCAACTTTCAGCAAATACCATAATTAGGGGTAAAAAAAAGAAAAAAGAAAAAGGATTTTGCAGGAAGAATGACCATCATCTACTGTATGATTGAATCCAATTCTTTGCTTCTATATTAATCAGCAGCAACGTGTCAATACAGAATGAATATGATAAGCTCTTTTCTCATGACACTTTCTCTGTACAAATAGTAGTCCAAACACTTAAAAAGTTCCATTGTAAACTTTGGCAAAATAAAAATTCATCAAAGAAAAGGAATGGGCCTCTTCTTATAGGTTTAAACGTAAGTCTCAATGTAATCTAAACAGAAGATGACAAGCAACAATTGCCTCACCACTGTGTTGCAAGTTCAATGATTATAAACGTGATGTTCGAATTAAAGTTTACATTAGATGTGAACTGACATGGAGCATTTCAAGATTGAAATAAGTCTTATATAAGAAACTCAAGAAAAACCTTTATTTTATCTTAATACTGTACAACTCTTTTTGTTCCCATCTCCCTTTATTTGTTGTAACAATTTTTTCAAACACCAATACTTCATATAAAAGGTCGTGACAGATTTCAAACAGAAGAAGGTTCATAACACAATGAACACAAAATACTAAGGCGATAAATGCATAGCACAGTAGATAAAGGAAACCAACAAGAGTCATCTTACCTGAGCAAAATTAATTCTTGAGCACCCCATGCAGATTATTCCACCAGAATCCAACAGCATATATGTGTTAAATGACACAATACATCCACAATGAACCAACTGCATAAGAAAGAATAAAAAATTTGAGCGAATCTTAAACATGGTCACCACAGTTGGGTTTCAAATTGAACACTTTTGTGTTATTATTATAATCTGACTTAGATGAAAAGCCAACAACATTGTCATTGATTCTGATATCCATCATCAGACGAAAATCCCCCAAAAAATAGAATAAGCAGTTGATTAGTTTCCCATTAAACGAAAGATGAAGTAACTACATTTCCCAAACTCAATACATGGTCCAATTGAATTACCGATATACCCAATTACATCAGTTAAAATGAAATCTACTCACCCTGCCACAAGATTCACAATCCCTCCAACCCTCGTGGCCTGAATGGAATGTATCACAGAACTTGCCATCTTCATAAATAGAACTGCAAACAAAAATTTCATATTAGGCCAGATCGCTACACCAAAAGAGAGAAAATGGCACAAAACAACATTGAACAAAAACCATCAAAAGATTGCTTCAGGAACAAGGAAGACATGTAACTGCAGAAATGAAACATATAAACATGCAAGATACCACAGAATTGACAACATTAGTCCAATGAATGGCAGATAAATTGCCCCAGTGATAAACTCAACATCAGCAATTTCACCCTTTAAAAGTTGTATACAAGAAAGAGAGAATCAAAAGAACTAAAACCAGCAAAACAAAAAAGATCCCATTTCTTGGCATTTCCAAAAAGAATTAAACATCAATCCCAAAAACAAATGTGAATTGATGCGTGCATGTAAATTTAGGAAATTCAGAAAGCAGAGTAAGCCATACGCGCAACGGGGACAGAGCTGAGCAAAGTCGCCGCTGCGAAGGCGCCAACCATTTCTAAAATGGTCAGAGCTGGAGCTGAAATTCCGACACTGAAGACAAGAAATTCTTGAGATTGAATTAGTGCCCATCATAGGTATGATGAAGAAATCAGGCCCCAAAACAAGGAATAAGCAGAAACCGAAAGGGGAAAAAAGAAAACTTGCAAAGGGACAGCAGACAATACTGCTTCACTCTTCAAGAAAGGGACAGTAGAAGAGAAAAGGGAGTGAACAGAGAAAAAAGTGGGGAGAAAAAAAGAAAAGAAAAGAGAGTCAAAGAGGCTTTGGAAGATTTCTAGGAAAAGTATGATTAAATAGTGGTCCGGTGACATTTATCTGAGATGAATCATCACAATCTAGGATGGTACAAAAGATTTTTCTGACACTGGGTTTTTCATATTTCCAAAATCTGGAAAGTTATTGCTGTTGGGGACTAATTTAGAAGATTATTAGTAATAAATATATTTTGGGTTGAAATATCTGTACTAATTAATGCTTCAAGAGTGATGCTGATTTGCTACAGAATCAGACTCATAAATAGGCCGTTTTCTTTTGACCAAATTTTTGTACAAAAATAACGAGTAGTTTTAGGCTGCGGATTAATGTCTCACAAGTAAAATTGTTCTTGTTGCATTTCTACTGAACCACTTGTTGCCTACTTTTCAAGCATTTTGAATGAACTTTGTAACGCTTGGCCGGATGTAATTTTGCATGAAAGGAAGAAATGGCATCAAGGCTCCAATGTATCACTTAGGTTCGTTACAATCAACCAGGACCCTGTTCATCTTAATCATCCAATTTGATAAAACCACATTGGCATTGGGATCTTTACGCATTGCTTATCAAAATTTGATTTCTCTTACAAATTGTGATTCACAAATAGGTAATGTAAAACAAAAACTCAATCTAATAAAATCACCTCAATTGATACACATACTATGAGCCCACTAAAGAGAAGTCGGTCTTACTCTTACATGCTGAACCTAGACCACCACCCCCACCACCTATGTTAAAGATTGCAGCTCAAGAGAACTGAATCATATTAGCTTTTCAGCAAATTAGATTCTTGGAATCTAGCTTTACATTTTCATCTCTGCTTGCTCCCATTTTTAGAATAAAGATTTGGCCACCGCTCTCGTCTTCCAGCATTCTTCGCTCTTTTCATCTCTACTCCCTTGTTTCTGCAAACAAAATAAAACAAAAACCAAAAGAAAGAAGGAACCGGTGACGGACTAGAAGAGGGGTTCAACTGACACTAAGCCCTTTAACTTGCCCTACTCTTTTCCAGATGGAAAGCTCTAAACTGAAGGAAAAGAACATAACAAGAAATATGAAATGGAACACGATCGCACCAAACAAACACAAGGAATCACTTGTATCTATAACCTTGAAGTCAAAATTGCCATAAACAAACACAAACCTACAAAGAAGCCACTGGGGGTGCATGAAGCAAAATGAGAAGTTATTTGAAACCAAAGTGCTCCATCTCAACACCATATATCTAATCGTCCATAATGAACTTAAAAAAAAACGCATTCTTAAGTCTAAACTAAAGAAAGAGTACTATCAGCAAGAATTTGAGTGATGGAGTGAGGTCCCTAAAACAAAAATAGGACTTTTTTACATTCAGAAAAGCAGAGACTAGTTGTTCCAATATTTCTTTCTCTATTTTGTTTGTGCTGAGTTACAAAATTAGAATTATAAATTCATCCCGTTACAACTCTATTCCAAAGTCCTAACACCAAAATCTTCTCACATTGCTCCCCTCAGAAATTTGAATGCAGAGCAAAAAAATAAAGGGGGAAATCTACCAAAGTCCCAATAAAAGCTCTAAACGATTACATTATCCAACAAACAATATTTTGAGTCTCGCCCCAGCAAGTATTGTGAAGCATACAAACTTGCATCGGCAACCAGAGTACCAGAAAATTTATACTACATTAATTAAAAAAAAAAAAAAACCTCAAAAAATTCAAACCAACTGACCCGTGGAGTCCACGAGATGATTTTCTGTCTGTGGCTGAAAGGTTAATATGAAGGAGAAATTACAATCGTAATTCATATCAGCTCCAGGCCTCCAGCAGGGTCACTGACAATCGGTGTAATCTGATGAAAGGTCCATCGGAACTGAGCCATTTACCGATCTCTCTTCTTGTTCCGGTTCTTCGCCATGTCTGAGGCCAAAAAGAGGTTACATTTTCTATTTTTCTCCTTTTGACGAAAATTGTTCAAGGGAGGAGAATTTATAGAGTTAGTTACAAGAATTTGGGCTTAAGAGAATAAATGTGACAAATTACATCGGGCTTTCCTTTTTTATCTTCGCGCTTCTATACGTAATTGGGCCGTTTTCTAGTTCTGTTTTTTTTTTTTTTGGTGGATTAAGGGTTATTTGATGACAATTAGTATCGAGGTGCCTACGATTGAGAGGAATTAGCCACTGTTGTCCATCGTGGACACTCTGAAAAAAAAAAAAAAATGTTATGTAATTTTTTGTCGGAGTGGGAACTGGGAAGAAGCCGATTGTCGGCAGTTCTGGGTGCCTGGGTGGTAGGTGTATAATCCGGTTGTCTGCAACAATTCTTTTTGGTAGGAGTTATACAAGTCTGAAGAATATGCATCTTTTGACCAAAAAAAAAAAAAAAAGAATATGCATCTTAGCCGAGTAATAATGTGCTAAGTTTGGTTTCCAGTTTGATAAAATGCACTAGCCTTGTAATTGGGTTGTTATGTTACACTCCATGCATCATCACTTATCAAAAACTGATGCGTCTTACAAATTGCGACTCATTTGTCTCTCATCAACTTCTCTTCTCCTAGGTTTGACTGGTGGTACATTCGCAAAATATGAGACAAAAAAAGAAGTCAATCTAGAGCTCTTTTGATATGGATATACTAAACCTAACCGGAAGTTGTTCTTACACACTGAACCTAGCATTGAACTACAAACTTCCTACAGAAAGATTGCAGAGCAAGATAACTCAATCATATAGCTTTTTGGCAGATTTGATTCGTAGCATCTTGTTTTCTATCTTCGACATTTTCTCCTCTTCTTGCTCCATTTTAGATAAAGCTTTGGCCACGGCTTTCATCTTCCGGACATTCTTTGCTCTCTTCATCTGTACTCCTTTCTTCTTTCTGCAAAAGACCAAGAATTGGTGATTCCTAAGAGTTGCGATAACCACACCATGAACCACATTATAAAATGAAGCCCTGACTCTTAGGCAGAAATGTCCAAGCCCAACCATTTGAGGTGCATTTTACAGGAAAGACACAAAAAAAAAAGAACAAGAAGAGGCATTTAACTCCTACTTTTTCAGATCAAAAGCTCTAATATCAAATGGAACACAAAGCACAAATTAACACAAGCAATCACTCGTAAACCCTGCATCTATAATCTTGAACTCAAAATCTGCCATAAACAAAGACAAACCTACAAGAAACAAAGAGCAAAGCCTAACACAAGATGGGATGTTATTTGAACTCAAAGCGCTCCATCTCAACACCATATCTAGTCCTCGTTAATGTACTAGGAAATAACATTCTTAACCAAAAAGAAAACACCAGACTCGCCACAATGATAGTTGTACATAACAAGTCGCACAAGACTGAAGTCTACAGAAGAATGGCAGTATTACTACAAGTTATATCTTGTTCCAGAACATAAAGCACTCAACAAGCAATATATACTGTATCAGCAAATAACATTCTGACCGATGGAACAAAATCATGACTTTTTACATATAGAACAGCAGAATCTCATTAAATCATTCTGACTGTATTTCTTCCTTTCTTTCTTTTGTTGTGAATTACAATATCAGAATAATAATAAATTGATTCCGTACAAATATATGCTGTAACACAAAATCTTCCGACAAAGGCTCAATATTCGATTATGTTGGTATAAATATACGAGGCACACTGTATTTCAGCAACTAAAAATCATAATCATAAATTCAAACCAACTCACCCGTGGAGACCAACAGCTGATTTTCTTACAGCTACTTCCGAAGTGTCCATGGCTGCAAGGTTAATACGGAAAAGATAAAATTAAATTAAATTTTAATTCATCAGCTTAAGCAAAAAAGCAAGTAAACAAAGCATCAAAAGATCATAAAATTAAGTATACCTTCAGGAGCACTGACAACCGTGTAATCCGATGTAAGGTCCATCGCGGCTGAGCCATTTTCAGATTTCCGCTTCTTGTTCCGGTTCTTCGCCATGGCTGAGGCTGTTTCTTTGCAATGACGAAGCCCTATGTTGTTGCTTTTAGGAAAAAAAGATCATCGTTGGGCTGATGTCTCTATTTAATACAGTAATTGGGCTTAAGTGAATGGATTACGTTGGGCTTCCTTCGATGTGGACTCCTATCATGGAGGGAAGATTAAAAAAAATAAAATAAAATAAAAAAAGAAAAGAAAACGAAAGCATCTCTGGATGCTGAGAGTTTGCATCCAATCTGCCTCGCTTTTAGAAACTAAAAATCCATATTACCAATTTTTTATTACCAGTATTATTTAGGAATATATAAAAAAAAAAAAAAACATAAACAAAGTTACAAAAAGAACCAATTAAGTAGCAAGCTACGAGTTTTCCTTTTTCCATGTGAATTTTAAAAAGTTATTTAAGATTTTTTTTTTTAATATTAAAAAATGAATACCAAAAATACTCCTACTAGAAGTGGGGTCAACTCGCAACAAAACGGAAAACATGAGGAAAAAGTGAATTGGAAAAAAAAAAAAAGTTACGAACTGTTATACTTATTTCGTTTTTTTAGTGTGTGTTTTTAGGTTTTTTTTTATATTGAAAATGTAAAAAGGTTTATTGTAAATGTAAAAAAATATGTTGAAATAAGACAGTTATTATTAAAATAATTTTAAAAAACCATCCACAAAACCAAACAAACGGATTAATGTTTGGAACCAAAAATTAAATTCAACCAAATGGACGGACCAATCTTAGAATTTACTCTTTTCCGACATTAGAGGTTTGTTGAACTTACTTACTGACTAGAATTTATTGCAACTGTGTTTGCGATTAGTCATTTTGGCCTTTCACATTTGAGAAGTTGGCCTTCACATTTATCAGTCTCCCACTTTGGTTATTGAAATCAATTCTTCTAATCTTATCCATTCACTCACCTGAAATTAATATTGATCTGCACTATTTACTTCAAATAGGTTTCTCCACTTTTTGGGCACTATTTACTACAAAGAGCCAAAGAAGTCCCAATAGGCAATTTATACGGTGAACAGACATATATGATGCACTGATTTTAGAAATTGTATTATACGCGCATAAAAAGGGAATAAATTTAATTTTTTCCCCCACAAAACTCACGCGCAGACTTTATTCAATTCCATGATTTTATTAAAATTGAATATAGTTTCAAATTATTCATAATTACTATATGCGATTTCCATGACCAAGAAATTCAAAAATTTTAGTATGATATTTATACTATTATTTTGCATTATACATGAAACAAAACACAAATATTCATGACCTCAACATATAATTATAATGTTCATAGCAACATAATTGGAAAACAAAATAATAAAACTTATTGTCCAAAGACTAAAAAATATATTTAAAACTTCCATACACCATAAAATATTTATTAAAATATATTACATTGTTCACTTGATTCAACCAGAACTAACATGAAAATACTAGTTGAACATTATGGAAAACTCTAAATTACATCATGAACATACGAGTACTACCATAAAATATACGTAAGCAACTATTATCTGTTGTCAAAGCACAAAAAAAAAAAAAAAACTAACATATAAAAATTATGAAAGTTAAATACAATTAGTATGAACTTGATTAAAGCAGGTTATGAATCAGAACTCTAATTACATTGCCACCGAGTTAATATAAACATTATAATACAATATACGTGTATGATTGTATGAACTTCTAGTGTATATTGTAAAAACATATAGTGATTCTTCCTAATCACTTTTACCCATCGAAATTCTTTTTTTTTTTCCCTTTAAATATGGTACAATAGATAAGGTAGATTTTGATTATGAATTTTATTATACTAGAAATGGTAATTTTAATTTTGAGATCCTATTGAGAAAATTACGGGTTCGATTGTCTGCTAATATTAATTCCATAATTAATTTAATTTATAATAAATTAATATCCCTAATTTTTTACCGAAAGAGCGCGTGTAAATACAAAATCTGTGTACCAAATATTGTGAACAGGGTGCACGGTATAAGCTCATTATACATGATAAAATTCACATATGTAATACAAATTTATGCTTGAAAAGTTGAATTTTGATCATTAATTTATGAAGCCCTTATTTGACTATAATGTGAAGACATAGAGATGTCAAAAATATTATCAGTCTATGACTCTCTGTAGTTTATAATACATTTAAAGTAAATATTCTTTCAGATCACTTGGTTCGCTCAATAAAGATGGCAACATCAATGGAAATTTTACTGTGAATTCAAGACCACATAACAAAAATTACCAAAGTATGAAAATAGTATTTTCCTACTAAAAGTCAATATGGTGATATAGTAGAATATTAATCTCTATAGTCTAAAATACTTCTTCTTTTTTTTTTACATGTTGCAGATGTCGACAATAGTGACTAATCACTCTTGCTCATAGTAGGCATCTCGATGAGTGAAAGAGCTGGCCAAAAAAATTTAAAATTGGTCCATGTCCATTGCGAAGTTCAAATTTTAGATCTATGATAAAAAATACTTTTCTTTTCCTTGTAAGTTTGTCGCATTGGGAATCTATGAAACTTTTATCATATGCGAGTTTTTAATGGTCTCTCAATAATGTTTGATATATGAATGCAAAAGACATCTATAATGTATAACTTCCAAAGTTCACCAATTCACCTACTGCCATTTTCAATCAGACATTAAGAATTGATAATTAATTAATCAAACTCTTAGAGTCTTCTTTGCCTTGCTATATTTCAGTATTTATTCTTTTTGACGTTCGTTTAATCTTTTACCACGTATTTTACACGGAGTATTCTCTTTCATTTTATTATTTTTATACTTGTTCTCTTTGAAGAACTAAGTATATCGAGTTGATGTACAAATTATACAACCTAGCGAACTGTTCTGTAATCATATTTAGCATTACGCATGGGCAGAAGATAACTAGTTTATCAAACAAGCCTAATTAGTTCAAAATGTTACGTGTTTTGGGTCTTTTCTCGTATGATCCCTAACGATTTTTTTGTGATCAACAAAATGACAGTTTGGGGAACCCAAAATACAAACGGTGATAACATCTTTTTACGTTACTACAATGCTCAATCTCTCTGTGGGAACACTTAGAAGGAGGTAACATGTAGCAGTGTAACTAATAAGGTAATGGGAACTTTGGAATTGAACCTTATCCAACGTTATCTAAATCTAATCTAATTAAATTGAATTGGTAGAAATGGGAAAAAGTAGCTTTAATGATGGTCCAGGGAAATATATCAAATATCTTGGGGGGACAAAATCATGAGGAGAGTTGGTATGAATTGGTGAACTTTGCAGATCCAAATGCACAACTGTGTGGAGCCACCCAAATGCATCTCCATAACGTGTTTGGTTGCTTAATTTATGCCTAAAACATGTTGCGAGTCAATTCTAATACTCCATGTTGTGAAGGAGTTGTAGTAATTGTTTGTATCGATGTCCTCTTGTGATCATATTAATTCCTAATCATGTAAGCTCCCTTCTAGAATATGAACGTGGCTTTCACGATGTTTGCAATGAAAAGCGCAAATATAATCCCCAGATGTATGTAATTAAGTTCATTCTTCGTTAATCAGCGAGTCCATATGCTAATAATGATTTATGGATTAACGGACATTTTTGTACTACTAATAAATTTATAACTATTTTGCATACTATTAATAAATTTATCAAATTCATCTGTCTAAACTAAATGATTAGAATGATCTCATGTGTATATCTATTCAAAACTACATAATAAAAATAGAAAAGAAGACATTTAATATATAAAGAAAAGTTACATTTAATTTGAGACAATTAGCAAAATGCACCTACATTGATATCAATAATTAGAAATGCAATTGAATGCAAAAAAAAAAAAAAAGTAGAAGAAGAAGGATTACAGAAATACAAAAATTGGTTACCCTTTTGTAACATAAGAAAATTAACAAAAAAAGAAGTATAAATAAGAATATGAGGAATATTCATTTTTGGGTGTGCAATTTGGTGTTCATGGTTGGGGTGTAAATTAGCAGTCACCAAAACACCAAATTGGTGTTGCTGTTGGGGATTGCCTAAGAAACTAGTGACATACTATATTTCTCTATAAAAAAAAATGACAGTGACTGCGCGTATTTTGTGTTGTAAAATTATATGGTCGCAGAACAAGGGAGAAAAGAAAAACAAATAAAAGGAGGAAATTCTAGAAACTCGATTGCATCTCATTAAAGTTAGGGATCACACAATTATTATTATTATTTTTTAATTCCAACTTATACCGATTGTATTTTCCTTCTTCTCTTTCCTTTAGTAATGATGTAAATGAATTGATGGATGTGTTTAAATGAAAGAAGAACAATCTCATCATGATAATTATGTTGTGAAAATCAATTAATTCATGTTTATTAGTATTATTTTTAATAGTGAGGAAACTTTAAACTTATGTTACATGCCAACTATAGAGTTGGACTAGGAGTCTCAAAAAGACAGTATTTCTAGTGTTCTGTTTGGGGTTTTACCAAAATATGTAGCTCTATGGATATCGATAAACCTAATTTAGCTCAAGAATCCGCTGCTTTGTTTCCTGGATGTTTAACAAAGAGAAATTCTAGTAGCCATTGGTTTAGAACCAGCTTTATAATTATAAGGAGAACGTTGCTGTAGAGGTAGGTGATTGATTTCTGATCATATAGCAGATTCGTTGCCTCCAAACTTCCATTTATTCGTTTAAAGCCTAGCTGCCAAGCTAGTTTGAAGGCCAAAAAAAAAAAAAACACCCCAGAGTTGTGCTTCCAGTATAGAACAATGTCCTATATTCGCCACGAATCCAAATATCCACAGACCTTCATGATAGTTATGAAACAAACGAATTCTCAAACTCAACCGCGACTGCTAAATGCAATTCTTCCATTTTCCGCACACTGACTAATAAAAATGTTACTACTACTTTCAAGTTTCAAAAAAAGGGGGGAAATGAAAGGGAAAGAGAGCGTGGCATCAAGCTCGGCCATGTGTGGGAAAATAGTCAAACTGGAAAGAGAGAGGTTAATTAGGAATACGAAAGCGTGAAGCAGCTGGTCGGTCCCCTTTCACAAAATGAGAAAAACAACGTCAACGGCTTACAACCAAATAATGGCCGGGGGGAGCGTGAAAGTGGGGCCTCGCTATCCGAAAATCAGAATCCAAACATGGCATTAGTGTCCAATTGATAAGGGAAGAATTAACTTAAATTAACTAATACTGCGATATAGGATTTTGGGACCCAAAGATGGAGACAGGGTTTTGTTGAATTAATTGGTTGCTTTTGTTATTGATTTTTTTTTTTTTTTTTGGACTTCCATTACATTTTGATTTGAATGTTGTTTCCCCTGGATTGGCGGAGACAACCGTTAACCTCTTATGATGTTTTTTTTTTGTTCATTAGTCTGCTGTGTAGTTATTATTCTAGTTCAAACTTCAAAGTTCAAGCCCAACAATTAAGAGTCAAATCATAATTTTCGCTCAAAAGTTTTTGTCAATAGTAGGGGAAAGGGGATCTAGTTAGAAGCTCATCCGCGCAGGTTAATTGTATTCTTGCATGGATCAGCAATACCCTAATTGTATGACTGACCATTAAGATCATCTTCACTCCCAAACTTTGTATCAATTTCAATTTGATGCCTTTAAAATGATGTTTTACTTCATAGATGTAAAACAATATACACATAAAATCCATCAAGCAATGCGTGTTAGGATGTAAGCATATATACATTTGAAATGTGATGACTGATGAATCCATGTGCTACGATACTAGCATTTTTTGGATCTTTGATCACGGATCCATGAATCATAAGACAGTATCAAAAAATGGGCCGAAAACACTGTTAATCCATCCTTTCAAATTAGCTGCATCTCCAAAACACTGTTTCTGTCGAAGCAAATTAACTGATGACCATCAAAACTTGAGGAGTACTCCTTATTTTAACCCTGTCATGTCATAAAAAAACATTAAACAGGTGGGAATGAATAAATGTTCACTGTGGTCTGACCCTGTCAGTCAGTTGGGTTAATTATGCTGCCTGTACTATTTTTAAGTCCACAACTACAAGGTGAATAAAAATAAAAAGAGAAAAAGATTGTGAATCCATCATCATTCTTTCTTCCCACAGTCACATCTGATTTCGATAAGCCCCTACATTGTTTTAAGCTCCAATGATTTTTCAGTGTTATGTTTTTTTTTTTTTTTAAAAATTTCTGGTTCGCAAGAAGGTAAGGACTCTGGATCCAATTAGAACGACGGTGTTTGTCCTAATTTTCAGATATAATTGAAGTTTTCTGAAAATAATGTCTCTGATTGAATTTGCATCTGATTGATGATTTTTATAATGATAATAAATTTTGTTTTTCTTACAAGTTGAACAAATTTTTTTTTAAGATACAACAAAAATACAAAATGCATAACTAACTCAAATGATTATATTACGTGAATATGATGCATCGATCATGTTCTAACCACGATTTATAAGTAAAAGATATTGATACAAGACACAATTTTCTGTCTGGGTTGCTCATATTTTTTTGTTTGGAAGGTAAACTATATAGATGTAGCTAACGAGTCCAAATTATGATCATCTAACACTAAGAGGACAAAGATGAGATCATAAGCCTCTATTTTAGTAAACGCAACTTTATTATACTGATAGTACTTATTATGCTCGTACCATATAAGATACTGTTTTGCCATTTTGTCACGTCTTTTACAATACATCTTTTTTTGGGGGTTAATTAATTGAAGATTCAGGTGCCTTTTTTTATGATTTATTTTTATAAATATACTGGACAGTTATCAGATCTAAACGGCTCCAAAAGAATCCCCAAACCACCCCCATTTACCATTTTCAAACAACAATAACTTATTACAATTCATCAAAAACAAATCAAACCCTTTTTAGTTTTTTTTTTTTTTCAGTAGAAAGAGATCTTTCCGTTTTCTTTTTGTAGTATTTCTTTTCATCATTCTTCGTTTATAGAAAGAAAAACCCAAAAAAGTTAATTAAACACACCATCAAAACCACCTTTTAAGGAGAGAGAAATTAATCTTTCTCCATTAAATTTAACACCTGCGGAAAAAAAGATGCATTCTTGATTGTGTTTTCCCCTTCATCTTCATCATCATCAACCTAATTCGACCTTAAAATTCCCGAATTTTTCATTTACCTGCAAGGAAACTTTTTCCAGAAAACCCTTAAAAAAAAATAAAATTATGAACTGAAACGTTAACACGTTCTCTTTTTTTCTCGATATTATCCATAAAGCAGACATTTTTCAGACAAGGTCACAAGCCCCCTCTCTTTTTTTTTTCTTCTTTGCCATTTGCCATCTTCCCCGAGTCATATTCTTCTAATCATATTCAAAATTTTTAAAAAAGTTTTTTTTTTTTGGGTTTTTTTAAAATCCAATTATTATTAAAGCTGTATAACAGCTCAGAGTTGCATTATTCTTTCAATTTCACTTTCTTCACGCTTTGTTTTCACGTTTGTGTTCTTCCCTGCCAAAAAGCCAACATTTACACAAACGAAAAGAGAGGGTTAACACCTTCTCAGGTTTCTCTAATTTGCTCTACTGAAACGGCGCCGTGATTATCCTGTAACTTCATTTGGGGGACGATGATACAATTTTCTTGAAATTTTTATCTGGGATTAGGGTTTTAGAGAATCATGTCTTGGACAATGTCAGAATTCTTGGCATTGTTCGAGTCCTGCTAATTCCGGAAGAAAAAACTTGGAAAATTAGACAGTTCTTTCTATTTTTGTTCTTTTCCGAAAATTTAGTTTCTCTTTTTGATAGGAAAAGAAATGTTGTCAGTTTCGCCGAATTCAATGGCTAGGAGTTCGTTGGAGGAAATGCTAGATTCCCTCCGGCGAAGGGACGAGGAAGAGAAGCCCAAGGATTTGCCGCCAGCTCTTCCCACCCGGCCGAGGCCGACTTCCAAGACTCGACTTCCGTCTGCCAAGCGACCATTGCCGACTAGTTTTGAATCAGGGGAGACTACAGAAGCAGACAAGTTGAATAATTGTGCGAAAAAGGGAGAAAAGAACTCCAGGGGGCACAGACCGACTAACAACAGTTTTGGCTCTAAGAAAGCAAAGCCAGAGGAGTCCAGTGAGTCTCCGTATATTAGAGTGCCGGAGAAGAACGAATTTGAAGAGAGATTGGAAAAGGACGACGGTGCAAATCTGGCTAATTCCGCCCCCGCTTCACTGCCCAAGTTTAGAGAATCCGAGTGGGATGACAACATTGGTTATTTTATCAAAAAGGTAAAATCAAGATTACTGAAAGGGTTGTATGTTTTGCATTTCTTAACATTTCTCCTTTGTTGTTATTGTGATTAAATTAATATGGGCTTTGTGGGGTTATCTGAAGGGGATAAGGTACCAAATGGTTTTAGTTATAAAAATCACTTTTATCTTTTAGATCAAGAATCGTTTTTGTGAAGATTCATGACTGAATTTGGTTGTTCCGAAAGTTCATTCTCTGTCTCTCCTCGTATTTTGTTCTCGATAGATTTCTGAAATTCTTTTGCACTCCGTTAACTTGATTTTAGTTGTGAAAGAGGTATATCTGGTGATTAACTATATCGTTTTTGGTTTCTTACTATGCTGGCAATGTATGCATATTTCGTCATTCATTTAAAATTGAGAATCTGGTTACTGTGGTGGGTCCTTAGGCCTTGTACTCCTTGCTTGGGTTCCCTCCTTTTGTGTGTTTCAGTTATGAAAGGATGTTATTAGTCTGCAGGAGGTGATTTGATATTAAGTTAGTGTCTGCAGGTTCTAGAGATCTCCATTAGGATGTGATCATGCGCTGTTATTTTTTCATTCTGTATTCAACATTAAATTTAGATGGTTCTATGGTTTCAGAAACTCCGTGTTTGGTGTCGTCCACGAAACCGGCAATGGGAGTTGGGACAAATCCAGTCAACTATAGAAGAGAAAGCTTCTGTTCTACTAGCAGATGGAAGTGTGAGCACAATAGTGTAGATTTTCTTTTCTTTTTTTTTGTTTTTTTTTGGCCCAAGTTTCGTAAACTTTTTTCAAGAAACTTAAAAATTTTTGGGTGTAGGTTTTGTCTGTTCCACTTGCGGAGCTCTTACCTGCAAATCCTGACATTCTTCAAACAGTGGATGATCTTATACAACTTAGCTATTTGAATGAGCCATCAGTTGTTCACAATCTTGAACACAGATTTTCGCAGGACATCATCTATGTAAGTTTACTTCCAAGAAACTTATTTCATTGCTCCTTGTGTGATTTCAAATTGCCTACAATCAAATATTTTTGTCTCTCGTGCCCTGTAGAGTAAAGCTGGCCCTGTTTTAGTTGCAATCAACCCCTTCAAAGATATTCAGCTTTATGGCGAAGATGTAATTGCAGCTTACAGACAAAATCTGTTGGACAGTCCTCATGTTTACATGATTGCGGATACAGCCTACAATGAGATGATGAATGGTGATACTTACTAACTGAGAATATAGATAGTTTTTCTAGCTCTTAAATTGAAAAATATTAATGATGAGTTTTGCTGATGCAGATGGAGTAAATCAGTCCATTATTATCAGGTGTGTGGATATGTTTAGTTTTTGACAAATGTTTTGTTTCTTTGATGTTAATTTTCGTGGTGATCGCCTTTTGATTTATCTTGAGTTTATGCTGTAATTTAATTTATTTTCTCGTAGTGGGGAGAGTGGAGCTGGGAAGACTGAAACAGCAAAAGTTGCAATGCAATATCTAGCTTCCCTTGGAGGAGGCAGCGGTGGGATAGAACACGAAATCCTGCAGACGAGTTCCATTTTGGAGGCCTTTGGGAATGCAAAAACATCTAGGAATGATAACTCCAGCAGATTTGTTAGTTCTCTTCATCAATGTTATATCTATTAACTGTTGAGCATTGAGTTATGTCTGACATCAACATTCCACAGATTCCACTTTGCCTCACATGTTATTTTTTCTGTTGCAGGGGAAGTTGATTGAAATTCATTTCAGTGCAGCAGGAAAAATTTGTGGCGCTAAATTACAGACATGTATGTGTTTTTCCCTTGGAATTTGCAAATCAAATTGCATTACTACGCATAGACTTTTCACTTTGTTGAGTTGACTTGATTCATTTTTGTTATCTTTTGTCCCTTCTGAACGGTGGCTCCTGATTGGACAGTTCTACTAGAGAAGGTATGCATACTTTGTTATTTCTCCTGTCATCCCTTATCTTGTACCTTTTCAGCAGACTAAACTCTTCAAAACAATTCAACCAGTCTAGAGTTGTTCAGCTGGCCTGTGGTGAGAGGTCGTACCACATCTTTTACCAACTTTGTGCTGGAGCCCCTTCAAGTCTCAGAGGTGCTGACCCCCCCTTGTCATGGTTTCTTAAAAGGATCTTTGATTGATTTACTCCCTTCTAAACATGCTTTATTATGTAATGTTTGGTAGTCACTATTAGTATGAGAATTAGGCATATGGGTCCTAAGGCAATCTATTTCTTATCGACATAAAGAATTCATCTTAGAAGATTGTGCTTTTACGGATATAATGGCTTGTTTACTTCTAATGAGCATGTTATGTTTGTTGATTGACTTGAGCTTTCTTGTGTTTTCTTAAAGATTCTACTTAGATGATTCAAAGTGGTTAGTGTGTATCCATGATTTTTAACAGTTTTACCTATGGTTACTCGTCAAACATTTATCTGGGAAGAATCAATTTTTGCTACTATACCAAGTTGGTTGGAGGTTTTGAGTTCTCGCTACTAAAGCTTGGAATCTTCAGAAACTTTCTCAATTTTGAGGGTTATTTTGGGGGCATGTACTTACTTTTCCCTTGTATAGCATTCCTTGTTACTTTTCCCATCGCACATTGCAAGAAGCATATGTCACTTGGTATAACAGGTGTCGTTTTTGTTTCATTTTTCGGTTTTAGCAGACCATTTTGCATCTTTATCAGTTAATTATTCTTTCCAGAGAGACTCAAGTTGAAGGAGGCAAAGGAGTACCACTATCTCAAGCAGAGTGGCTGCTTGGCTATTCATGAAGTCGATGATGCTCAAAAGTTCCATTCGCTTAAGGTAAAATCTCTTTTGATTTTAAATTTTTCAATCGATGCTTATATTAAATTTATTTTATCATTTGTTTTATGTTGTTTATATTTTCTTGTACACTTCTGGTTACCAGGAAGCCTTCGGTACCCTCAGAATTTGCAATGAGTATCAAGAATATGTTTTTGAGATGCTTGCTGCTGTATTATGGCTGGGGGATATAGCTTTTCAAGTGAGTGACAATGAAAACCATGCTGAGGTAGTGGATAGTGAAGGTAAACTACTAAAGTCATTTTCATTTTTTTTTTTTTTTGTTTTTTCTCTGGTAATGTCAACTCTTCCTACTTGTCCGTATTTGATTGTTATGTTTGTTTTGCTTGCGAAAGGAAATAAATATGCTGCTCATGTGGTCTGTCTTGTAACTGTTTTTATGAGTTAGTATTTCTGGTTTGTACTGTATCATATTTGTAATTTTGTGTTCCTTGGTTTTTCTTGTCTTGTACACTATCTTGGAGTATTTGAGTGTGAGTGGATTACTAACCTGTTTGCATTTTATTCTTATGCTGGCAGCCGTTACCAATGCATGCAGCTTGTTAGGTTGCAGTTCCCAGGACCTCATTCTAACTTTAACCACTCGTAAAATACGAGCCGGCAAGGATATGGTAGCGAAGAGATTGACCCTCCAACAGGTTAATAGAATATTTCATTTACTTCCCTGTTTTATCATCTTTCTTTTCTTTCGTAGGATGATCTATCTTAAACAACCTCAATAACCATGCCTTTATTGGACCATTTAGGTTAGCACAGTGTCTTCACATATTTTGTGTATTTCACATAAAGTTCCTTTGCAAGTTCTTTAAGGTCCGGTCCCCTCTTGTCAAGTTTTTAATTCTTTATATCTACTGCACTTATTGGTGATTATTAGTATTTTTGGTCTGTATCTATACTGGTAAACTCAAGAATGCTAACTTCTGGTTCCATTTTCTCAGAGTACTTATATTTTTGGGAAATGGGAAATTTGTTGGGATGAATATTCGTACCACGGTCTCTTATGCACATATTAGACAAATGAGTGTTTTCTCTCGTTTTCTTATCTTCACTTTCTTTCTATTGTATTTATTACTTATGTTTATCTCTTCCAGTGTCTCCATACATCAATTTCAATATTCACATTTCTGCTACCCCACGTTTGTTCAGGTTTAAATTTTGTGTCTTTAAGATGCTGATTTATTAATCACACTTGTCTTATGGCTGTTCTATGAAATTTCCCTTTTCACTTTTGCTTGAAAACAAATTACTAAAATATACACGTCGTCTTATCACATTTGTGCTCATTCAACATGTACTTACAGTTGTTCTTTGTCTGATCTTAGGCCATTGATAATAGAGATGCTTTGGCAAAGTTTATCTATTCGAGCCTGTTTGAGTGGCTCGTAGATGAGATCAATAAGTCACTGTCAACATGCAAACAATTTACTGGGAGATCAATAAGCATTTTAGATATATACGGATTTGAATCATTCAAGGTATCTTTCTTTTGAGTTGGCAATTGGTCTTTATAAGGTTTGAGATCATTCGTTTCTTGAATAAATGGTCTGCTATTTTCAGAAAAACAGTTTCGAACAGCTCTGTATAAACTATGCAAATGAGAGACTCCAGCAGCATTTTAATCGGCATCTGTTTAAACTGGAGCAGGAGGTAAGATTCTATGTCTTTCACAATAGCTGGCAGAGTATGTGATGAGGTTTCTTCACATGAACTTCCTTTCTTTATTTGTTTGGTAAAGTATTGAGCAATAGGAGTGTGAAATAGAACTTTTATTATGCCGGAGTTTATTTTAGGACTTAGATAGTCTACCTTTTTGTTGCTCCTTTAATCTTCTGCAAATGCATGCTGCTATCCTTTTTATGTCCTTTCCATTGAATTCGTGCTTGTGAGGACTTCTTCTGATGATTCATTTGATACAACTTTACCAGTTTCTTTGGTGCTATCTTAGAAGTTTCAATTCGACATTCTGTGATGTGTTGTTGTGTATAACACGTCTGGAGTTCATTGTACTGATCATGACAGTGTTTTGATGAACAACTGAGATTACAAAGGTTTCATGGTACAGGATTATGATGTGGATGGAATTGATTGGACGAAGGTAGAATTTGAAGACAATCAAGACTGTCTGAACCTGTTTGAAAATGTATGGTGTCCCTACCTCTACCTTTCTCTTTGATGAATATGTGATACATGATCTGGATATTCAAGATTTCAGCTTCCACAAAGAATTGCTTTTGTGTTAATAGTTACAAGAACGGGCCTTCTTCTTTCTTAATGATATTTTCATAATGTTGCAGAAACCTATTGGGCTGATATCTCTGTTGGATGAGGAGTCAAATTTTCCTAGGTCCTCAGATTTGAGTCTAGCAGATAAACTTAAGAAGCACTTGGGTGCCAATTCTTGTTTCAAAGGAGAAAGAGGTGGTGCCTTCAGCATTCACCACTATGCAGGGGAGGTTAGTGTTCATATACGTAGACCTCAAGATTTGAGTAAAGTTATCATAGAAACCAAAGCCAAAGCTGTGCATATTAAATCGTTTGTTAATCATGCAATTTTTCAATGAGTCGTTTGGCTTGCAGGCCAGTTAGTTGTTCTTTGTTGCTTTATGGTTATTGCAACAGGCAGAAAATCCCTTTTTTATTGCATGCTTGTGTGTGGTAAACCATTTAAATGATGATAATTTCTTTTGTCATTTCAATAACTAGGTTCTTTATGACACAAGTGGCTTTCTGGAGAAAAATAGAGATCTGATCCACTTTGATACCATCCAGCTACTATCTTCTTCCAGCAGTTATCTTCCTAAATTGTTTGCCTCTTTAGTGACTAAAATGTCCTCAAATGTTGCAAGTCCACCTTTGCAATCAGGAGTATTGGTTTCACAGAAGCAAAGTGTTGGAACCAAGTTTAAGGTAATAAAGTCTTCCTTGGACCTGGTGAAAAAGGGGCAAAGGGAGTTTCTATATCTTGTACTGTCAATGGGTTATTTATTAGTGAGTGAGCATCGATGCAAAAGGCAAACAGAGGAGGGGCAGTTTTTTAACTTAGTTATGTAATTGGGAATGGGTGTGAATGCTTGCCTCTTTTGCAGAGGTGAAATTAACACGTTTGCATGGCTTCTATTTCATCCAAAAGAGCGGAATATTATTATTTATTTATTCTTTTTGGAGTTGGCCTGTTGCATTTATCCCCTTTCTTTTAGCGCGGGGAGGGTATATTGAGTTTCACTCCCAGATCCTTGCTTCAATGTGATGTAACTAGTTTCTTAAAGTAGTTCTAATCTTCTGTCTTGTGCTATTCATTTATGCTTGCAGGGTCAGTTGTTTAAATTGATGCAGCACTTGGAGAACACTACCCCACATTTCATTCGTTGCATAAAGCCAAACAACAAGCAGCTCCCTGGACTCTATGAAAAAGATCTTGTACTGGATCAGCTTAGATGCTGTGGGATTCTAGAGGTTGTCAGAATTTCAAGATCTGGGTATCCCAAGCGAATTACCCATCAGGAATTCGCCAGAAGGTATAAGTGGGAGACCTTTAACTTAATATGCTATTTCTGTTCTTAGAAAATTTCTGACATATGCTCTTCTGGCTTTAGGTACGGATTCCTTCTTCAGGAGAATCATACGAACCAAGATCCATTGAGTTTGTCAGTTGCCATATTACAACAATTTGGTATCCTGCCCGAAATGTATCAAGTTGGTTTGACCAAATTATTTTTCCGTGCAGGACAGGTAAACTGTATGCTGTTAAATTTTTACTTTTATTCTCCAATTTGTCATTCCCTGACATGGAGAAATGATATCTTAAAGTGCCACATAAAGAGTCTCATTTTTTTGTTTTTTTTTGTTTTGGTGAGCTACAGATTGGTGTATTGGAGGACATAAGGAAACAAGTCCTTCAAGGCACTCTAGAGGTGCAAAAGTGCTTTCGTGGTCATCGGGCTCGTCGTTACTTCCATGAGCTCAAGCAAGGAGTAACTACTCTGCAATCATGTAATTAATATGCCCATTGAATCATGTTATTTAGAATCTCTTGATATGATTCTTATGTGCTGGTTATATACGCTTCATGATTTCTCACATTAATCCTTTCCTCTATAGAAGTTTGGTATTATGTGATGTACATGTGTCAGATCACATTTTGTCGAGAGAGATTTGAATTACTTTTTTTTGCAAGTTCCAAGTACATGGTATGCTTTTGCATGGATGTTTGCAAAACAATTCAGTTCTGGTTGATGTTTTTCTTGCAGTCATTCGCGGTGAAATTGCCAGAAAAGAGTATGGTGCATTGGTAAATAGACAGTCTGAGCAGCAGCTTACTGCAGTTGTGCAGATACAATCGGGTTAGTATTTCACGCAATTCAATTGGGTTCCGCTTATTAGATAATGTAGACATCCTCTTTAATGGTTCTGTTTGATACAGTGATCCGAGGCTGGTTGGCTCGAAGGCATTTTGTGCACTTGCAGAGTTCTGGGACATTGCTCGTTGATAAAAATAAAAGAGGGAGGAGGCTTTCGGAAGTGATGGTACTCTATAGTTCTAGTTTCTGTTATTTTCTTAGCACAATATACATACTTATGTGTCAAAATTTTTCCAAAGTAATGTGCCATTGCTTGAACTTTTCTCCACTAATCTGATAACTGAAGTATTAAATGATCCTGAAACTTTGTTGGTATGAAATGTCTGCTTGCATATACGCACTTGCAAACCCAACTTCCTCGTGTCTTGAACGTGATGTCTAATTTCTTAACACTAAATTTTGTGGATGTTGGTTATTAGGGATTGGCTCGAGAAAATTTGCCTTCTGTCGTGGAAGAGCTTCAGAGGCGAGTTGTATTGGCAGAAACGAACCTGAGTAAAAAGGAAAAAGAAAATGCTGTGTTGAGAGAGCAAGTGCAAGAGTTTGAGGCACGTTGGTTAGAGTATGAAGGCAAAATGAAGTCGATGGAGGATATGTGGCAAAAGCAGATGGTTTCGTTGCAGGTCAGTCCTTGTAATTAGTGTAGGAGAATAGACTTCTTTAATAGTTGATGGTTTGGACTTGTCTGGTGATGTCATTCGTCAACTTGTATCCCCGCTTATTACTTGTGGACTTGAATTTAAGATGTTGAAACTTGTGTTTTAATATTGCTTTTGCTTTTTGGATGCAGATGAGTCTGGCCGCAGCAAAGAAAAGTCTTGGTGCCGACCAAGCAGCTATTCAACCTGCAAGGCTTGAGGGTTTAACATCACCTCGTTACTATGATTCCGAGGACACAATGTCTGGAGGAACTCGAACTCCTGGTGGTAACACCCCAGTGAAATTTGGTAATAATGGTTTAGATGTTGGAACCGGTGGGCGAGAAACTAATTCCGGATTGAATTCAGTGGGTCACTTGGTGAAGGAGTTTGAACATAGGAAACAAACTTTCGATGATGATGTCAAAGCGATTGTAGAAGTGAAGTCAGGAGAAAGCTCTTACGAGGAACTTCGGAGACTAAAACTTATGTTTGAGACCTGGAAAAAGGATTACAAGACCCGTTTAAGAGAAGCTAAGGCAAAAGCAAAACTAAATAAGCTTGGGCATGCAGATGGAGAGAAAAAAACCCGAAAATGGTGGGGAAAAAAGAGCAAGAAATATTAGCTTTAGATTTGCCTTTTCTGGCTGTGTACGATTTGTAGGTGGGAGTTGCTTTTTTGGCAACCGGAATTGGTGTAGGATAAATTAGGATGCAGGGAAGCGATTGAGTGTGTATAATCGGCTTAGGACTGAAAGGAAGTTACAACTTGCTTGGCTATCAACTCAGATGTAGATTTCCTCCAATAGCTTCCGTCTGCAGTACAGTAGGTTTTAAGCATAAGTCTTGTATATAGTCTGTTGTGTAATAGTAGCTCATAGCCCATGTTAGGCTGTAGTTAGTAGTAAATACTAGTGAGTATACGGCGGAAATACATGTTTTCCCCAGTTGCAACTTTGTAAGAGGGAGCTTTGTTGTAAAGTAATGATTTTTGCTCTCAATGCCCATTGTCTTCCAAGTAAATCTGAATCTTCCAATCTTTGAGAAATATGTGAAGGTATAAATGCTTTCTTCTAAATCGAACACGAATGGTATTCCCTATGTTCCAATAATTGCCAGCGAAAAGTGCTCTTGATTTCTTTCGATAATCGATAGAGGGATTCTGTAGCAACATGGCTAGTGGATTTCTTGTGTTTGTTCTTGATGTTTGGAGAACATTAGCTAGCTAGCCTTCAGCTTCTTAGCATTAACCCCAAAAAGAAAAAACAACAAACAAAATTTAATTAGCTAGCTTGATAGAGGAAGGACAAAATCATTACTGAAGCAGTGATATACTTGTTAATGGATACAAGAGCACCAGAACTTATAACAATTGGAGTCAAATGTAAACTAAACTGTTTTGCATTCACAAATTTTCATTTCACAATAAGCACTAAAAAAAAATTTACGATCCAGGAACAAATTTGGTGGCATAGACCCAGGCATTGTTAGCAACTGGGTTGTCAAGGTGATCCAACAGATTCTCAAGAGGACCTTTCCCAGTGACAATGGCTTGGACAAAGAATCCAAACATGGAGAACATGGCTAGCCTGCCATTCTTGATTTCCTTAACCTTAAGCTCAGCAAAAGTAGTTGGATCATCAGCAAGTCCCAGAGGGTCAAAGTATTGGCCACCTGGGTAGAGGTTGTTTCCCTCACCAACACCATCAAGTCCATTAATTCTGAACCCTTCAACAAGTCCCATCAGAACCACTTGGAATCCCAGAACTGCCAGAATGCTCTGAGCGTGAACCAGGTTCGGGTTGCCCAAGTAATCAAGTCCGCCTTCGGAGAAGATCTGGGCTCCTGCCTTGAACCACACTGGCTCCTTGAAGTCTACTTTAACCCATTTCTCAAGCACTTCTGGGGTGATGCATCCTAGTGCCCCAAGCATAGCCCATCTTCCATGGATAACCTGAACATTTATTTTTCCAGAACTTGGCTCATTATAAGGTATTTAAGAAAAGACTAACATTTTGTTAAATGAAAAGTAGAGTATTAGCATGGTGAATTAAACACCTCAAGGGCTCTGTTCTTGGCAAAAGCCTCAGGATCAGCTGATAAACCAGCGGTGTCCCAACCATAATCACCGGGGAACTCTCCGGTTAAGTAAGAAGGGGTCTGAGCTGAGAAGGGACCCAAGTACTTGACACGGTCTGGTCCGTACCATAGCTCATTACCCTGTTCATTACCAAAGTGATAAAACATAAAAATCAGATCTTTGCATAACTTGATCAAGTGAAACAGAGGAAACCAGAAAGAGAAGGATGTACCATGGTGTATTTGCCATTGCCCATGGAGACAAATTCTCTAAGTGGGTTGGCATTTTTGGGTTGTCCCAAAAATGGGGTGGCTCTGACCACAGTGCTGGTACTAGCTGCAGCTGCCATTGACATGGATGATAGTATTTTCTCTTCAACCTTGAGCTGACTGAACTAGCAGGCTTCTTGTTATGCTTTCTGTTCTAAACTGTTGGTGACAAAGGGTGCTACTTTAATGTGGGATAGATGGCTTGATGTTTGTGGGGAAATAAAAGATGGGTGGTCATGATTTGCGTGGATGAAAATTGTGGTGGCTGATTTTGAGAGGTAGAACATCTACCAATCAGGAGGCTTCAAAAGATTTTAAGTATCTCCATCTTATTATCTCTCTATCCACAAGTTTCTTCCTTTCCAGGTGGATTTTTTTTTCCCCATTTTTCTATGGTTATTACTTTGAGTTGACAACTATTATTGCAGAAGAAACAAGAATATGCCACAACCCCCCATCCCATCCATCCTTCATCCAAGATTTCCAATTGCCACTTTTGCAGTAGTTTGATCAAATTCTCTCAACATAAATAAAAATATCTTGGTGCAAACAAATCAGAGATTATAAATGAGAATCTCCTGTCACTGTAAATACTCATCGTCCACTTTATTATACTGTCCTAGTTTAACAAAGAAAAAGAGAGCAACGGAGTACAAAATCGAAATGATAAGAATGCTTGATGATATGGTAACTTCTAAAAGAACACTTAAAAAGGAAACCTTACCAGCATCAATATTCGCAAGTATTGATCTCCAAAAATGTCTGTTTCTAACAGGTGGAAACCATGAATTTGTAAAGTTCATGAGCCGGACCGATTCTTCTGCAAATGAATTCTTGCCAATATGGCAGCCACATATTTCGCTTAGTAGACATTGCATTCCTGCAGCATGGGATGGGAGAAATCAATGTACTTTTCCCAGAGATGTTTGTATTTTTGCTTCCCAATCTTCAGCCATGGCTTTGAATTTCCATTAAAATGCAAAACAGCTCCTTTCTCTACTAAATGAGGATCTACATTTGTGTATCCAAATCCTAAAACATGCCAATTTGGATCCAAAGGTTCAGTCAGTCCATAGAAAGTCAAGAGCCCCGGTGGCAAAGTACCCAGCTTCCATAATGTCCTGTCAATGTTTTTCTCCTGCCAGTAATGATAAATCCCTGTGACATTTCTTTTTCTCCATTCTACTAAATCAAATACATTCATTCCAAATGCCCAGCCACATGCATCAGGATCAAAATGCATGCGAATTAATGGATGCGAGAAATTCAAGTACTTATGATACCTGTGGAACCTTTCCATACAAGTTTCAACAGCTCCAATTACATTTCCATTCAAATCAGTTGTAAACAATGCAGAGAGATCCTTGTGAACCACAACATCATCATCCAGAAACACGACTTTCTCGAGTGTTGGAAAAACTTCCGGAATGTAGAACCTGAGGTGATTAAGCATGGAGAGATATTTTGGATTGCGGTATTTTATGGGGGTCTTGCCATCATCTTTGCTTCCAGAGAAATAATAGCTTTGAGTCTCTGAATCTTGGAGCTGCTTAAGAACTGGAACATAAGAAGCATTGAGCCATTTGAAGTCTTCAAATTTCTGGACATCAACTGTCACACCATGGAAATCATTCATCCTAAACCATGCGCTCATAGGTGCATAATTTACTTCATCAGAGACAATGTGGAAGACTAAGAGATTAGGATTCTCTGAACTCAAAGCTGTTGAATTGATCACAACCGAGGTTGCAAGAATGTTGTCAGAGAAAATACAGAAGTGAAAGAGATTGTTATCCACTAGTTTTCTGGCCACCTTAGACTCCACAATGGATTGCTCCTTCCTGAATTTTGGATTCTTGAACCATTCAAGGGTCAGTCTAACACCGAGACAGTAAAAATTCCTTGGATCGCCTCAGCGGCAATCTGTCCATACTTAGAACTCTTCTCATTAATTGATCTGGTTTCCAGTTCCAGATTATCAATCTTGTCTTTCAGTTTTACAATTGTAGTCGCGGCATCATATTCGAGTTGCTGTGCTTCATTCAGCAAAAATGCCATATTCTGAATTGCAGCTTTCGACTCTGCCAATGTTGATTGAGAACCATCATGGTCCCTTATGGCTGCATCAGAGAGGATGACTTGCAAATGGCTAATCTGAGAAGTCAGATCCATTGCAAACCGAACATCACTTCTTTCATTTGCAATTTCAATCAAACCTTTAGCAATAGAAATCTGATCATTCATTTGCCTTGCTAGAGAATAAGGGCTCAACATTTCTTCAGTGACATTAAGGCTTTCTAGTAACTTCTTTTCGCTGTTAGTTCTCTGAATCATATCATAAGCAAGCTCAACATTAGCAATCCACCTACTTCACACTGACAGTTAGTACTATACTAGTCCTTTTACACTAGCATAAACTAACCTAAGAAACACCCAATCAGATCAACTGACTTTAAACTTCCAATTCGGTTACATACATAATACTCCCTCTGTCCCAAAATTATTGTCCAGTTTGAGATTTCGCTTTTAGTATAATTTTAACTAGAAATAAAAAACAATAATTATGGGACAGAGAGAGTACATTCTTTTGAATAGTATAAGAATCAAACACATAAATAAACCATTTATATTTGCTATCAATACGTTAGATATGTAGATTGAAGTAAAGAAAGGCACAATAAGCGAGATCATTTTTTAACACTGGAAACATAAACCATAAAGACTATATTGTGACTAATATCAATGCATCTCCAAGTGAAAGGCAGCCCCTAGCTGAGTGATCATTGCATGCATTAATTCATTAACATCAAAAAGAAAATGATGAAATAATAATAAAAAGAAAATCAAAAAAAAAATTACACCATAAAAGGGGAAAACAATATGTTGCTTCATGATTTACGAATCCAAGAGGCTCACAAAAATTGTGAAAAGAAAAAGAAAAAAACCTGGTGATTAGTCATTAAGTACAAAACATGCATGCATATGATGCGTGAGTGACAAATATAACTCAGGAAAATGTCCAAATACCTCAAGAATTGAAGGTTTGAAAGATGGATAGGGGTGTTTGGGTGAAAGAAACCAGAGGAAAAGAATCAAGAAAAGGGTTAGGATGGTTAAACAGCATAATGTTAGAGTTGGGTAGTGTTTTCTTCGAGTGAGCAATCTGGTTCTTGATCCAAATGATCTCCGTCTCTTCATCTCAACCACTCTGCTATGATAATAAAAAAATCCTGTTTGTGTTTATCATATACTAGGTGTTAGACCCGTCCGATGGACGGGGAAGGCATATACATTTAGACATTTTTACATAAATTTTGTATTTTTGTAAAATATGTAATGACTTCAGTTTTAAACATGATTACCTATGGATTTACAAAAATTTGTTTTTTTTAAATGACATTTTAAATTCACTGGTGATAAGGTTTATACAGATCTCTCTAAAATTTGTTAGGATTTGGTACTCTCTCTAATCAATCTCTGTGTTAGGATTTGGTTCATGAAAATAAGGGTTTGGTTTTTATTATTTTGTTTTTGTAAAAAAAAATTATTTTAGTTGCTTTTTTTTTGGTTTTATTATTTTGTTTTATGCATTTTTAAGTCTAAGAAATTAAGAAAATGCCACATAGGATTAAATCCTATGTGGCATGTACTTCATGCCTTTAGTTTTCTCTCTCTGATTTTTGCCTTAGTATAGTATATATAGGAGATAGATAGATAGATATGAAAAAAGAAGAAACTCCACTTTTGGTCCCCAAATTTTTACCCCTCACACAGACTAAATCACCACAAAATTCTTGGTGACTTGCATATTTTAGTCATCCAAAAAAATTATTCAACACTTTTGGCTTCTCATTACACAATAAAGAAAAAAAAAATCATAAAATAGTTAATTGATATAAAATTATACCAAACGTGCTAGTACATTTTTGGACGAAAATTAAATTTCACCCCAATTTCTGTTACATAACAAATAAAAACACTACAGAAGTTTGAAAGGGCTTACATACTTTAATTAAATTACGGTATCATCTACTACTGTTTATGTTTATTTTAATTTAAACAATTACTGAAAATATAATTAAGAAAAGTTAAATGTGTAGTAAATAATTGCAAAAATGGGGCAAGGGTGAATCGAACACGCGACCTTCCAGAGCTTCAGTCTGGCGCTCCGTTTGACCTTTGACTTCTCAAGATTCAAGAGTCCCTCACAACCCAAAACTGAACCGGTCCCCAGCAGTACAATTACAAAGTATAAAACACATTCAGATGACCGTAAAACGTCCGGACCTTTGAATTCTCTATTTTCCGACGATGATTCGTGAACCTGTTTTTCAATGAACAAATGAAATCGAATATGGAAACGAGAAAATTTGCCCTGAGTAAGAAGAAGGTTGCCCAAGTTGGTGCTAATGCTGGAGCAGGAAGCGACAAAACTGGAATCCAAGTACTGCGAAGAAGCAGCAGCGGCGGGAAAGACTCGCATTGGGACTTTCTTGTAAGTTTTATTTTTTAAATTAAATTTATCGTCCCGTTCTTTCGTGCGAATTTGAAAGGTTGCTTCTGGAATTTCGATGCAATACGTTTTGAATTTGATATTGCTGGGGTTTGTTCTCTAATTCGATGTTATTTGTCCAATTAGGGTTTTGTTGTTAATCTTTGCAATAGGATACACGCAGAACACTTTCTTATCTTCCTATTTGATTTCTTTGTATATTAAGGTTGTATTCTGCACTTTTTGATTCTGCTGCTTAAGCTGATTATCAGATACTCTTTGTTGCAGTATCATTTCTTCAGTCCTTCCTCTGTGATTATAAGATTCAACTCACATATTTTTCTTGTCTTTCTGATTTTGCATCCCGTCATGTTAGCCCTAGGAATAAAACCAAAATTAATCTAAGTACAATCACTGTGGATATAGGGTGTTTTGTACTTACATGGTCTTTTTCAAAGCGCAGGATGATATTGAGGCACCCATGTGGGTAGATCTCGCTGAAGAATGTCAGTTTGCTTACCAAGATAGGTGAGCATGTTCTTGTTTCATTATAGATTTTTTACTTGAATCTTCATTCAAGATATGTGTGAGGATTATGTTCTGTTCTGACTTCTGTATATGAAACCATGTTACAGGGATGATGAATGGTTCAACATAAGCCATCCGTAAGCAACCTCCCTTTGTTTGATATGCTTTTGGTTTCACTTTCATCTTAGCATAATGTTCTAGTGTTTCTGATGCTTCTAGGTTTCATCACTGTTCTGCCCAGCAGTTGATCTCTGCATTTGCTTCGGCTAGTGTGGGCTGCACAAAGTTGGACCTAACTGTACAGGAACTGTGTTCTCCAAAACTCCCTTGTTCTGTGTCAAGATCGAGAGGCAAAGATTATCAAAGCAGGAAATGGGGCCAGAGAAAGGAGAAGTTAATTTTTGATCAGCAGCATCCGGCCAATAATTTGAAAAAGATACCTTTATCTGGAATTTCTGTTACTGAGAGGGTGTCGAGTAACAGAACATGCAGTGGAAAGTCAGTCGGTTTTGGTGGTTCGCAATCAGATTCAAGTGAGAAAAGTAGCTTAACTGAAATAGCTAAACATGATTATTCTGAGGTTTCTTTAGGTCTTCAAAAACTTCGTTTGGGATCTACATGCTCTGAAATGGCACAAAGCAATTCATCTAGCATTATCTTGTCTGAAAGTAGTGAAATTCAACACCAGAAGTCCTTGGATAGTCGAGTACCTGTGCAGACTAGTAGTAGATTTCTCTCAGAGCTCAAGATTAGTTTGAGGAAAAGTTGTGTTACCAGGCAGGCATCAAGAGTTCAGGTGTCAGAGAGAAGGCAGTCAGACGGTCGAAAGTCATCTTCCTCTAAATCCAGCGTGGGTTCCTCCCTAACTCATGGTTTTGATGGCAAGGATCTAATAAATAGAGATAATAAAGACATGACCCCAGGCAGTAGATATGTTCCACGAGATACCATGACTTCCAGTAACAAAGTCAAAATAGCGAAGCCTTCATCAACTACTAATGCTAAATTGAAGACAGGAAGGTCTGCATTGCCATCTTTCAAAGAGCGAGGCATCCAGGGAAAGGTATAATTTTTCTGAAACTTACTTGGCAAAGTGTTATCTGATATAAGCTTATCCTTCTTTTTTTAATGATTAATTTTCCCCGAGACATCTGAATTTAAATGATTGATGATTCCTGTGTATTTGAAGTTTAGAGATCTTGTTTAGTTTGATCTTTGGACTCAAGGAAGTAGGTTGAAGCTGGTCACACTAACATTTTGATTTTCTTTCGGTCATTCTAAATGGATTTTTTCTGACAGGTTCAGCAGCAGTCAGCTCGCTCAAACGTTTTGGCACCTCATTCTATCAATAACCTTTCTTCTGCAGCTGCAAATTTAAAGTGCAAAGGAAAAGCTGTTGGTGCCTCTGCTCGTCAAATTTCAGTTGGTGGTAAGGAGAACCTGCCAAGAGGAAAAGTGCCAAACGCCAAATTTAAAATAACCAATGATGTTATGCAAGTTCAGAAAGTAACTGGAAGGAAATTGCCGGAGAAGATTGGCAAAACTACCAGAGATGTGCAAGTTCAGCTAGTAATTGAAAGGAAATTGCCAGAGAAGAATGGCAAAACTACCGGAGATGTGCAAGTTCTTAAAGCTATTGGAAGGAAATTGCCGGAAAAGAGTGGCAAAACTAGACTGGATAGTGAAAAGGTATGGACTACACTTCTAAAATTATTTCCCTGACTCTTGTTTTATTATTATCCCGTTTTGGGTACGTAAGAAATCATGATCCTGGAACACTCAGTCATAACTCCTTCCCCCTCATTACCCAATGCAATTCTCTTCCTTGTCTCTATCGGTACTTGTGCTTTGAAGTTTTGCTACAAACAAGAATCAACCGAGTTCTGGGTTATAATCTTATTTATGTGTGGGGATTGGCTGACGTTTAAGTGGCGATCTGCATTCCTTATTAAATAATGCTTGGTTAAATGAGTGGACTTTTATAGGTTGCATTCTAAACCGTGTTTATCCGAGTTCTGCTTCTGACAAATCCTAAGTAATTAGTATTCTTTGGGCTTCAGGTATGCATGTGGATGTTCTGAAAGGCATTGAGACATGAGGATATCTAACGCCATATATTTTTGTTGTGTTTTCTTGAATCCTCCTGTAACAACAGGTAAGACTCTGTGGTAAAGGTGGAGGGAAGCCGGGAACTCTGGTTCAGAAGGCTTGCCACTTTAGGTAGGAGAGCAGCGTTGTAGAGTGTACATAGTCTGACCTTATAACCTTTTTCAGAATTGCTCCATATCCAATTCGACTATCGTCCTCCGATATCTCTTCAAAGTTTTGTAAGAGGCCGTGCTGAGTATCCAGCTTGTAACCCTACTGGGAGCACATAACTCTCCCTCTCTCCTCAATTTCAAAATTAATTCATTCTGAATGAGTTATCATTGTCTTGTTCATGGTTCTGTAATCTTTCTCTCATTTGCGTATTTTCACATGACAAGTTCATTTGGCAGAAGACTGAAATTGCTAGAAAGGGGGGAGATATGTTTGTTGTATTGTACACCCTATTTAGATTTTTGCTGCAGCAGAAGAAACAACATAAACCCTAAAGGGTGCACGTGAAATCAAATCAAGAAATAAAAAGTCGTGGGGTTATGGAAAGCGCGAAATTTCGGAGCATCATAAAAAAATTGTCGTGATGTTTGGTTACTTGGATCGTCTACTACTTACTAATAACAGCAAACTGGAGATGGTTCCAAAATAATGTCATGTGCAACGGTTGCTATGCAGCGATGTCCCCACCCTTTTCAGTTCATGGCAGCAACAACACAATAGCTGTTTCAACGTTGTTTCTGATCAAAACAATCCATATAATTTGGTCCCCTGGCTATGCTGCTCCCCCTACTCCCTCATAACCTCTGAATTTTCTATATGCTACAAGCTAGCCATTGTTTTGATCGGAAACAATCCATATAATTTGATAGAAACAATGAATTCATATGGTAGAAATGTTCGTTTTTTAATGTGATGTACATCAAAATACACACACATTACGGGAACAAGTGAAAATATCACCTGATTTATACAAATGGGAATGATGATCACCTGATTCATCCTTTAGAAAATAGTCAATTTAGCTGTTAGAAAAAGAAACTGAATGTTAGGCACATTATTAGTTAAGAATACGGCTTGAATGTTGTTTTCATCAGCAAACTAACAAGAAGGAAAATAATTGAGGAAGCAACAGCAACAACACTGACAACAACAAACAACCCAAAATTCTTTTTTTAGAAAAATAATTAAAAGAAATTTCCAAAGAACAATATTAAGAGAACTTTAAAAAGAAGGCAATTAGCAATCAACAGTTATAGACTTATAGTTGAGTGGAAACGACTCATATGTTCTTCACCAAATGTCAGGTGTTCGAATTCTCACCTTAACAATTTGAGTAACGACGTTAAATTTTTGGACTAATAATTTTCGTCCATCAAGATATCCATAACTCATATCCCCATAGTCACACGCTGAGTACAACATGCTATATGAAAGAAAGAAAACAAAAGGACTCTGTACTGAGAGAGTCGTGACTAGTGAGAGTCGTAAGTGAAGTATCGAAAAAGGACACTTCCGCTCCCTAAAAATGGCCATATTATCGTCGTTTCGTATAGTCCTCGTGTAATAATGTCAGCCTCTGTAAAGTAATGCAACAATTCTTTTGTATCGTACATATACTCTCCCTTAATAATTTAGAAAGGCGTGGATTTTTTTTATTTTTTTTTCTTTCAGTTCATGATAGAGTACTGTGTATTATTGATTAACAAAACAACAAAAATGACGAAAGTGCGCCGAACCTGTGTTGTTCAAACGTATTTGGGGGCAAAACTGAATGAGAGAGATTGAGACTCCAAAAATTCTTTGATCAATGATCGATCGTGTTTTATAATAGTACTCCTTCCGTCCTACAAAAATAATCCACTTTCAAAATATATAACTTTTTTAATTTAGTCAACTCAATCAATGTACAAGTCATTTTAGTCTAAAATTTTCCTATTCTACCCCTGTTACATGCGGCCAAACAGTACCAAGCCTAAATTTGAAACCTAAAATCTTTTTCTCACCGGGGAACAAATCACCACCGCAGCTATTACCCAATTCAGCCAAAAAGAAAAATAAAAATAAAAATTGCACAATCAACCAATCAGCATCTTTCCATTTTCATCATCAATAAAGCTGAATGATTACACCTTGGATTGAAGAAAAATCCCATGGCTATGGGACGAGGATGATGTTTAACCTTGAGGAAAAAAAGCCACCCTGTTGCGACGAAATTTATATATAAGATTGGATCTTGAAATCAACGATAAAACATGTTAAAGGAAGTGGAGGCGGCGGCGGTAATGGGGAAGCTGCCGATCGGGAGTTATGTGGAATTGGTGGTGGGTGAGTGGAGTTAATTTTTTGGGTGAAAGTGGTTGGACTGATGGTAATAAAGTTACAAGGTAAAAGTTTTAAAGGATGTTATAATCATTTTACTTCTTTTTTATTTTGATTTTTTGAAATTAGATTATTTTTTTGGGATAAGATTATTTATTAAACTGGAATGAGACTGAGGGAGTACTTAATAAATATGGAGAATATCCTATAAATATTCTTATCTTCATGTATATCTCATCTTGCCTACCTTTCATTTTTGCTATGTATATATACCTATCTAGCTCCCTCCATATTCGAAGTTCTCTAATCATCTCGAGCTATATATGTATATATGTATATCAGTGGATATTTTTCCTAAAAACTCTAGAGCTCTCTTGTCTACTTATGCTCCAAAAGCCAAAACTACTTATTTCATTTATTTGGGAAAAAAACAAATACAAACTTCATAATTATCTAATTAATAAATTCTAATAAATCAAAAGAACCCAATATATATATATATATATATATATATATATATATCCTACTATATTAGAAACAAAAACCTCCCTTTCAAACACCTTATATGATTGCCACGTAGCATGTAAAAAGTACTAAATTGCCCTTTTGTCTAACCACAACTAAATTACTAAATTTTCCTTTGCACTTTACATGACACGTTTTTTTTATTCTATTTTTTCTTTATGTTTCATTTAACTAGAGTGGTTTTTTAAATTGAATTGATCAATTAGGTTTTTGTTACAAAGTGTCAACTTTGTTTTAAGCGTATACGCTTCGAATGAATCTTATTACAAAACTATTAAAAATCTCCAAAACTAAGTATTGATTTGGCACGACCAATGGAGAACATCAATAAATCATCTTACTAATATTTAAATTTATTAGGATGTTTTTTTATATTTTATCTAACATTTACTTCAACACATTTAATCGATTAAGGCTATTTATATTTAATAAGTAACACTTATAAAACATACATGGCGAAATACAATTTCTTTTTTTTTTGTGTGAAATATAAATATTTCTATGATCACACTTATAAAACATTTCTAATTCCTTCAAACATTTCTAAAATATATCGCTACAAATACAAAATTTTATTTTTTTTCAAATATAAATATTTCTAAGATCTACAGATAGACTGAGCCAGGGTCGCGCATTGCGCGACCAGACATCACTAGTCTTACTATATTAGAAACAAAAACCACATTTTGGAGAAAGCACCACCATTTGCCATGTGGCATTTCCACATCATATTTTTAAAATAAATTTTTATTTACACATCTCCTAGACTTAAAAGGCAAATGCAGTCCAAAATCCACCTTCACCTCCTATTTTCGCCAAAAAAAAAAAACCACGTGTTCATAAAAAATCCAAATCCTCATCCACATCTCCACGACAATCGACTCCCTAATCAATCCATTCTCCACAATAAAAAAATAAATAAATTTCTCATCAATCATCAATTGAGAATAAGTGGTGAAATATACTCCTTTCCTATTAGCATGTTAAATTTTTTCATTGGTGATGATCAACTACATCCTAATCTGATAAAATTTTGAGTTCAAAAAATATTCTCTTTACCTCACTATATAAAACAAAGGAAAAAAAAATTCTCATTGATCTTGCTTCGGCCATTATGGTGGTGCCATTACAGGTATTAAAATTTAAATAATTTTATTTCAGCAGATCATTTGTTTGGCTTTTATTATTTTTTATTTTTCCCGTTCAAGAATAGTGTTATTACTATTATTTTTATGCGTTCATCCGTTACAGCTACCGTATTCGCAGTTAGGTAATATGATGTGATTTCTTATATGGTTAGTTAGCCTAGAATTTTTGTATGATTTTAGTTCTGTTTGTATTGAATTGATTAATTGGGTTTTTGTTACAAAGTGTGGTTTTTTAAATTTGTTTTTTATGTTTCATTCAATTAGACTGGTTTTCTTTTTTTAATTATGGAGTCTCAGGTTTTTTTTCGTATATGGTCAGTTATGAAGTGTGTTTTTTCTTTGTTTAATTGCTTTTGATTTTGTTTCATACTCCCAGTTGACCAATTATTATTATTTTATTTTATTTACAAATGAAATGCTTTTTTTTTTGTGTTCGGTCTTCAAGAATATACTTTTTTTTGGATTTGGTTTTTGGACTTTTTTTAGTTCCTTATCATATAAATAGTTCAGGTCGCTTCTTCTAACTAATTTATGGGGAAGCTTTTTATGAATTTGAGGTGGAGAGGGAAGGAATGATTTTTCTACGTTTATTTGTGTTTTTATACATCATTTTTACCTACAGAAAAAAATAAATTTCTGAATTTTTAATGGGCTATCTTTTACTCTTTTTTTTAATTTGTCATAGTGAGGTGAGTTGTTTTCTTGCTATAACTTGAAACCTATATAAATTTACATTATTTTTATTCTCATATTTGTGATCAATCAGTTTCAACAATTAACCAGTTTCAAAATCATATTTTTTGATATTTTACTACCTATAAACTTTTGGAAGAAATAGTTTCAACAATTAAGCGTATACCCTTTGGAGGAAGCTTACTACAAAGCCATTATAAATCTCCAAAACTAAGTATTGATTTGGCACAACCAATGGAGAACATCAATAAATTATCTTACTAATATTTAAACTTATGAGGATGCTTTTATATTTTGTCTTGCATTTACTTCAAGACATATATTTGATCAAGTTTATTTATATTTAAGAAGTAACACTTATAAAATATTTTTAAAATCTTCAAACATTTCTAAAACGTACCAAGCCAAATACAATTTTTTTTTATGCCAAATACGAACATTTCTGTGATCACACTTATAAAACATTTCTAAATTCTTCAAACATTTCTAAAATATATCGAACCAAATACAAAATAGATTTTTTTTCAGATATAAATATTTCTAAAATCTACAGATATATTGGGCCAGGGTCGCGCATTGCGCGACCAGACATCACTAGTATATATATATATAAACAAGGGAGGGAAAAAAAGACGCGGGATCGTATTTTATCCTTTTTACGCTTTGCCTTAACTGATAAAAGAAGGAAATATTGAGGTTAAGGATTCAATATGAGAGGGAAGTCACTACTTTGCAGATCCAGATGTAACACTCCCTTCGTCCCAACTCCCAAAATAACATGGACAAATAATTAGGACGTGTGCATAGATTCTCTCATCCGCATAAATTTAGAAATGCCTTATAATCATCCATTTTCAAAATGTATGTAGAATGGTTTAAAAATGATTGATGTGGAAGCTGTTTATGTTAATTTTGTTCACATAAGAGCGGGACGACTTCATCATTCCTATGCTCCTTCGGCTCAAAATGATTATCTTATATAAAATAATAATCTAAATCAAATACTCCATCCGTCCCATAATTATTGTCCACTTTGCCCAAAAAATTTTGTCCCAAAATTATTGTCTAATTTGACTTTTTATGGATCAAGTTACACATTTGTTCTTAGTAAAAAACATTATTCATAAAATCTTAATGGTTAAACAATTACTTATGTAGGGGTATATCCGGTTGTTTAAGGTAAAATATAGTTAAGTTTGACCAAAAATAAAATCTTTCATTTTAGTAAAATTGGACAATAATTATGGGACGAAGGGAGTAATCATTTCGAAATGGAAAGAATAAGATAAAAACTTATAGGTTGCTATCAATTAATTGGTTTAATCACGCGCGTCATATGATTCATTTGATTAGTAATTGACTGAATTCAATTAGACTGCATCAATCCTTTCAAACCATGGTTTTTTTGTGGCAGATTATTGGTAATACATGTTTGAGTTAGAGTTTCTATTATTTATCAAAATCAATGTAATCACGTGTTACAATTAAACTAATTTTTATTTAGTACTCCCTCCATTTTTTTTATATGTCTTTCTAGAGAATTCATCAAAATCAAGAAGACATTAATTAATGTAGTTAAAATACAAATTTACCCTTATTAATGGTCTATAAAACCCTTCACAATCTAATAGAAATTCATGATTAATATTCATTTCCGATGTAAGGACAATTTTGGTAAAAAGTAGTCAAATGTGCCTCGATTTGTAAATACGACATATATTTAAAAAAATTTACCAAACACTAAAACGATATATATTTCAAAATGGAGGAGTACTAGTTACATGCTAAATAAATGTTAATGTATCATAAACATAAGGGAAAGTTGTGATTCAAGAAGGATATGTTATGATTATTGAGAATGCGAAAAGAATAGAGAGAAAAAAAAGATCAGCCGCATGTGAAACAGTGAGTGTGGTCTAAATTTGTACTATACATTGTACGAAAGGTCACGTATACATCAACCTCAGATAATCGAATCTGAAAACCTTCTCTTCTTTTATTCATCTAGTATTTTTAATTACTTTAATTTTCTTTTTTGATTCAATGACAAAGGCAGCAAACACCTAGTACTGTACATTAAATTGACGCACCTCACATATGAGAAACGTCGAAGTTTCGTTCTCTATTTTGGGTCTAACCATTTGAAGGTGCTCATTATGTAATCTCTGAAACCTATATGGAACTTTCACTGTTAACACCACTAAATAATAATCCGCACTAAAATTAAGATATATTCCCTTGTTATTGTCCAATTTTAATTTTTAGTTGTATTTCAATTTAGAATAAAATATAAAAATTCAAATTAGACCATAATTTGGGGACGGAAAAAGACATATTAAACGAATTGGATGATAAAAATAAAAGGGCAGACTTGTAAGTTGAATAAATAGTTGATACATTTGTCCGCTACCGCTCTCTGTCAACAGAGCTATCTCCACATGTACAAAATTCTTGGTGTCTTCTTCACCTCTCTATTAGCTCTCAAAAATCTGGTTCACCTCTTCAACCACTTACTCCATATATTCATCTGGATTCAACATTCTCCAAATTTTATCATCATAAACACAAAATCTCATCCTCCATTTACAAAACAAAACTAACATAGAAAATTCATTCCCCATATATTATATTAAACCAAATATATTCTTCTATATATATACAACTAGTTACTAGCTAAATTAATTAATGATCGATCTCTTCTGTTAACTAAAATGATGAACATGGGTAGTCATCGAGGGCAAGATTTTTCCAGACACGACTTAAACGGAATGATGCACAGACACGACGAGGACGAGGACGACGACGACGAAGACGAGGAATTCGACGACGAGGAGACGGAGGAATCGGAGGGAGAAAGCGGTGACGGCCACCACCACCACCACCATTGCAAGGGGATGATGACGTCGCTGTTGGGTTCTTCCCGGTGCAAGAAATGGTTCCCGGGCAAAGTACTGGATCCGAGATCCACATGGATCCAGGAATGGAACAGGGTTTTCCTGCTGGTGTGCGCAACCGGGTTATTCGTGGACCCGCTTTTCTTCTACACGCTGTCCGTCAGTGATAACTGCATGTGCCTGTTTGTGGACGGCTGGTTCGCCGTCACCGTCACGGCTCTCCGTTGCATGACCGATGCTTTGCACCTCTGGAATATGTGGTTGCAGTTCAAGATGAACAAACGTCCCATTGCTTTTGCGTCTTTTAATTCTGTCACTTCTAACGGCGGTGATGACGGCGGAAGCGCTACTAGTCCAACCAGTGCTAAAGCTGTGGCCTTGAGATACCTTAAATCCAAGAAGGGTTTCCTTTTCGATCTCTTTGTTATTCTTCCTCTCCCCCAGGTCAGTGGTTTTTCTTTCTTTCTTTTTTTTTTTTTTTTTTTTAATTTTAGTTTGTTTCTTCTTAAAACTGAAAATTGATTGTCATGAATTAATATGAATAATAATGTGGAAATCTAGCATTTTCCTTTCCATAATGTCAAGGGTTTTTATCGATTTTAGAATAGTCGGAAAATTCGATTAATCGGAGAATACTCCTGATCCAAAACCGTGGTTTTCTCCAGAAATTCTAGAGATCGGAAAAATAACCATCGTCGGAACTACATAAGAATTTCGAGGGTCCGCCAACCCTCCGGCCGTCAGAAAATATAAGTGATTTTTCTTTTCTTGTGAAATTTTCTTTCTTTCAAATTATTGAGGCCTCCAGATCTCGAGTTCTAATTCCGCTATCGAAAATAATTAAATAGAAAGTTAGTTCCGTCACTGATTAATGAATCTCTTTTTCCCATCACTATATATTCAGCTGTGAATATCGGCATTTCGACAAAATCAAAATCGGATTATGGTCCGTGAGGCTAAGAACATGAATGGCAGAAGGATTTGATTTTTGTAGTTTAGCGGTAATTCAACATTTGTGAGAAAAATGACAAAGAGGCTTGCATGTCACCGTTCGAATTCAATAGTATGCATGTGAAGTGAAGATTGGCTTCACATATATTTTTCAGTAACTTACATTTCAGTGACGTACACCTTTTTTTGTTTTGGGTTCCTTAATTTACATTATTTTGTGATGAATATGGTAAAAAACATGGTTGTGTGGAACGATGAGAATCTAGCTTTGATTAATAAAGTAACCTCAATTAAGTAAAATTCACTTCAAATTAATCACATGTAGCTAGCTAACATTGTCAATTTACCATATACGACTAAGCATTATATATGGCATATCATGGTTTGCCTAAATTTGTTTTGTTGTTTCACTAGTGTGATGATTAATTTCATTGAAAGAGAAAGGTAGTTCAACAAAAATAATTAATTTAATGAGAAAGGTAGTTCACTATAAAGAATTAATTTAATTAATATCCCATATTTCGTTATCATTGTGTGATTAGTTTGTTATTTAAGGCAATGAGACACCCAAAAAAATGTCAAATCTACGTGCTAATGACTGATTCATGCATCAAATGTGTTGCAACTCTATACTTTTATCACTGATGATAGATAAATTGATGGTAATTATATAGTCGCAAATTAACCCTACTTAGTGAGAATTTGTGGTACGAGATGGTTAAACATGGACATTGTAGTGGAATCGATTAATATGGTCTTTAAAACATCATGTAATTTGTGTAATGGCGTTTGGAAATATATGATTAAATAGAGGTGGTGTAAAAAAAATGATTAAATAGGGGTATAAGTCTCTCATTTGGTGCAAATTTCTGAAATATTTTCACCCATTTGCTTTATAAATTATGATTCCATGGAGTTTAATAAAGCAATCTCATTGATAAAGAAGATGGGCTGCTAATATCAAAATGACACTAGTGCAATATCGGCTCCATTTTGGAAAAGTTAACTTCGAAGATTTAGGTACTGAATTAATCTAATGGTCCTTAACTTGGTGCTTCAGAATCTCTTTCATCCCTCCTCTTTTAAAGAATTTCAAAGTAATTTTGAAACTTTGATTATCGTCCAAATGTCAAAGATTGCAAAGCGGGCCAATGTTTTGTCTGAACCGTATTTTGAATCTTTTGCTCGGCTTGTGAGATTGAGAAGAGGGTGCAATGCGTGTGATTCGTAGTAAAGATTCGAACTTGAATCTTTCGCTCGGATTGTCCTTGAGAGGAACCATAGTTGGAAGTTGGGAGCTGATTTGGAAATTCATAAAATTAATGGACCAAAAACAAATAAAAGACACAGAATTAAGAATAATTAAAGCACATTAACAGTGTAGGTCCATTAAACAAAAACCCCGTTTTTTAATATATATATATATATATATATATATATATAAATCCATCCTAATGAACCCTACTTAAATGTGGGTAAAAGTCCATTTTACTATTCTTGGTGGGAATCGAACCTGGTCGCGTAACCACTAGTCTTTTAAATCCCGTATAAAAGAGGCTGACTATAGTACTCCCTCCGTCCCATAATTATTGTCCACTTTGCCCAAAAAATTTTATTCCAAAATTATTGTCCAATTTGACTTTTTATGGATCAAGTTACACATTTGTCCTTAGTAAAAAAACATTATACATAAAATCTTAGTGGTTAAACAATTACTTATGTAGGGGTATATCCGGTTGTTTAAGGTAAAATATAGTTAAGTTTGACCAAAAATAAAATCTTTCATTTTAGTAAAACTGGATAATAATTATGGGATGGAGTGAGTATTTAACTAGTATTTTGTTTAACCATCGTTGGCCATACACTCATTTTCGATTCCATTGGATTCTCAAGCTTGCAGCTAAGAATGATCGGTTCTTTTGTAACTTTTTACGGCTGAAAATAAAACTTTTATGCCAAAAGTCCCAAAGCCTCAATAAATATTCAATCTGCTGAGAGTTAATTTATGTTACTAAATATTTGTACAAAAGAACATTCATTAAATGAAAAAAACAATCGCATCAACTGAATTTATTATGTATGGCGACATTAAGAATGAAAATTTAATGGAGTGAAGATCATATTGAAAAGGACAAAACTTGAAATAAATGGAAAGGACAGCAGAATATGGACTTATCCCGACTCACTGGCCCTAACTGTAAATTGGTGGGGGAAGAAGCGAATCTTTGTTTGACGAAATGACTTAGGTTATCCCTTTGTTTTTCTTCCGCGCTCTTTTTGTGTGGATGAACCAGAGATAACGACTTGGTAAAATGTAACAATAATTTTAGAATACAAGTTACTTTAATACAAACTTCCTTTGATTTTAATATTTAATTTTCTCGAATTAAAATAATATTGAAAATATGACTATTATTTTGAGACTGTGAAAGTATTTTTTCTTCTTAATGTAAAAATACTCTAATTTTTATAAGGAAAGTTCAACTTTAGAATTTTATTCCAGTTTCCACTAACAGATGAGAGTGTTAACAAACTCTTGAAGTTAATAATTGACCAACCATTTTTCTCTGTCTCGGTTTCTTTTTAAATACGCTCTCCGTCTCGAAATGATCCTCCAGTTTAGATTTTTATTTTTAGTTCAAATTATACTAAAAGTGAAAATTTAAACTTCATAATGATTTGGAGGCAGAGGGAGATTTTGGATCCTAATTTTCATTTCTGAAGCTGTGAAAATGAATGCAGATTGTGTTATGGGTGACCATTCCAGCACTGCTGAAGAAGGGTTCAATCACAATGGCGATGACAGTGTTGTTAATCATGTTCCTCTTGCAATATCTCCCCAAAATCTATCACTCAGTTTGTCTCCTGAGACGAATGCAGAACCTCTCCGGCTACATTTTCGGAACTGTTTGGTGGGGAATTGCCCTCAACTTGATCGCGTATTTCGTCGCGTCCCACGTAAGGAATTGAAGAATAACATTAGTTCGATTTCTTATATGATTCATATTCACGAGATTTCGGGGTGATTGAATAAGAAGTGAATGTGTATATCTATGGGAATTTTGCAGGCAGTGGGAGCTTGTTGGTATTTGCTGGGAATCCAAAGAGCAGCAAAGTGCTTAAAAGAGCGATGCAGGGTAACAAGTGGATGTAACCTTCAAATGCTGGCATGTGAACAGCCCATTTACTATGGCACAACAAGACTAGTGAAAAACCACTTTCGCCTGATTTGGGGTGAGAATAAAGATGCCAGGTCTACTTGCCTGGAAAACTATGACAATTTCTACTATGGAGCTTTTAAATGGACTGTTCAGCTTGTTAGTAATGATAATCGTTTGGAGAAGATTCTTTTCCCCATCTTTTGGGGGCTCATGACTCTCAGGTAATTTGCTACTAATTCACTTGCATCTGGATTTTGGGACATCAAAAGTTAGTATTAAATTTGTTTAAAGTAATTGATTGTGGATTTGTGGTTAGTACGTTTGGAAACCTGGAGAGTACAACAGACTGGTTGGAAGTGGTGTTCATAATCATTGTCCTAACAACTGGGCTCCTTTTGGTTACTATGCTTATTGGAAACATCAAGGTGTGTGTATGCACATCAGAATGTAAAGGTTCATTGCTTATATTCTTTATAATGATAATGAGGAACTGATGAAATCTCTGAATGGAAATTGTGGAAAAAGTAGGTGTTCTTGCACGCAACGACGTCGAAGAAACAGGGGATGCATTTGAGGATGAGGAACATAGAATGGTGGATGAAGAAGAGAAAGTTGCCTTCAAACTTCAGACAGAGAGTGAGGAACTACGAAAGGCAAAAATGGGCAGCGATGCGTGGAGTGGATGAATGTCAGATGATTAGGAATCTCCCTGAAGGCCTCAGAAGAGACATCAAATATCATCTCTGTTTAGACTTGGTTAGGCAGGTAATCCAATCTTCTACAAGCTCCAAATTTTGTACTTAGAAAAATAGTCCACGGCTGTTGAATTCGTCACAAATTCAGAGGACATTTCTCTATTCTTAGGAGCCGAATTCCTAACGAATCCAACTATGGATCATTCAGGTACCTCTGTTTCAGCACATGGATAACCTGGTCCTAGAGAATATCTGTGACAGGGTGAAGTCCCTCATATTCACAAAGGGAGAAACAGTACGTTCTTAAGCTCTTCAATACACCCATCCATTGCGAGAATTATTCATCAATTTTCCCAATATTTGATCCTATTTTTCCTTTTCAGATAACAAGAGAAGGCGACCCGGTTCAAAGAATGTTGTTCATAGTAAGAGGCCATCTTCAGAGCAGCCAAGTACTCCGGGACGGTGTCAAGAGTTGCTGCATGTTAGGCCCTGGAAACTTCAGCGGTGACGAGCTCCTGTCGTGGTGCCTGAGACGGCCTTTTGTCGAACGCCTGCCTCCATCTTCTTCAACTCTGGTGACTCTCGAAACAACCGAAGCGTTTGGATTGGAAGCTGAGGATGTGAAATACGTAACGCAACATTTTCGATACACATTTGTGAACGAGAAAGTGAGGAGGAGCGCTAGGTACTATTCCCCTGGATGGAGAACTTGGGCCGCCGTGGCGATTCAGTTGGCCTGGAGGAGGTACAAGCACCGTTTAACGCTCACTTCACTGTCTTTTATTAGGCCAAGAAGGCCATTATCCAGGAGTTCTTCACTTGGTGAAGACAGGATCAGGCTTTATACTGCTCTTTTGACTTCACCGAAACCAAATCAGGATGATTTTGAGATATGATGAAGTGATGAAGATCAGGGGAACTGGTTATTTCGAAATTCAGCGTATCCCTTAAAGAATATCTTGTTGGTTCATTTCTCTATATCGAATGTATAGTGCAAAGAAACAATATATATATATATGGCTTATCTCCTACCATTATGATCATATTGTACTTGATATAAAAGTATGTACACCTTACCTAGGAAGGAATGTTTTATAAATTATAAAGCTGATTGACTGGTTGCAGTCTCAGCCATTGATTTCTATGATTAAGGTGTTCTTTTTACAATCCAGTCAAATCATAAGATTCATTTGTACAAAAGGGTCAAATTAGTTTGCCGGGAGAATTTTCTCCTGATGTCCTGCATAATTGGAGAACTGTTGCAAAAGGAAGAATAATGGTTGAATTTCAATTCCGGAGAAATGAGAATCCACTCTATTCCAACTGTTGGCCCCCAGTACAAAAGACCAGGACGATTGAAAAAATAATGAAACTTTTTGGTCCTACATATATATAGCGCCTAATAGTCAAAAATGAAAGAAACTGGAGAAGCATAAATTATAGAATCAGGCGGCTACTGCCTTCACGGCTTCAAAATGGTCTGCCTCAATCTCCGGTGCCGCCGAGCCCCGGAAGAGCAAAATGGCAAGGCTACCAATGTTAAAGTATATGAAGCATCCGTGGCAGTGAGTTACGAACGAACCAAAATCTGTCCCAACGATGCATTGCCATCCAGGTCCGTATGCCCTGTCAAACGCCTGAATCGAGAAATCAATAAACCTGAATCAGCTACATGAACCTAAGATCATTCTTCAAATTTGCCCGAAAACTAACGGTAAAAAGTGTTTTTTTATACCTTCTTAATGAAGCCAGCAATGTCGGTGGCTTCAGTGACATCGAAGAAATCAAGTGCCTTGGCAGCCAAATCAAGTGCATCTTGTTGCATGGTCTTCAGCATATCCGTTTCATCAATTACTGCTTTACCTTCCAGCATTTTTACAACGGCCCTTAATCAAATTTACAACTCAACTATATCACCAAACTGGCCTGAAGAGAAATTAGAGAATGAACAGTACCTGAAGAGAAATTAGAGAATGAACAGTACCTAAATAACACTATCCGGTTACGTTTCTTCCATTTCATGAATTGATTATTTATAGGGAAAAAAGGAGGAAGAAAGGTAGTGGCTTAGACACGTTGATGGGGAGATCCAATTTCCCCAAATTTTGTGGCTAAAACAGATATGAGGTGCTGATTATTATGCTGGGGAATTATTCCAGATTGGATGGCATGACGTTGATTGAATGCAGACGGATTTATAAACCCAAGTGGGGGATCAAAAAAATTTTTTGGAGCAATTTAGCTGAAATTGAAGTTGTCTGTATGCTGATTTGTGAGCCAAAGGTTGAGGGAAGCACACATGGTGGGAGAAAGGAGGTGGCATATTGTGTGAAGTATGAACAAAGCTTGTGTTCATTCGTGCTCTAAAGTCTAAAGTCTGAGCTAGCAACTTACAAAATCAACAAGAAGAGGCTGTGAAATTTTGATACGGAAAATGGATTAATGTGAATTATCAGGATCGGAAAAAAGGATTGGAAATGGATTTCTCTACCCTTTTGTTTCCATTATATATTTAAACACGTGGATTTAATCTTCTTATTATTGGATAACTTGTGGGTTGATGCCATCCGTGGATGCAAGGAAATTGGAACTTGGGAAGAATATTCTGATCCAGGTCAATTTTGAAGAATCCCACAAGAACCGACAACCCATTCTACTAAAACGAAAGTTTAGTAAGACTATTAATTCGGACGGTTCGGTGCGATTTGAGTGAATTCGGTTCAACTTAACTGTTTTTTTTTTCTCTTACAAGAATCGCTCGAAACCAAACCGATTTCTATCCTTCCGAACCGAACCGAGCCGATTAAATAATTGACTGAGCGGCTCGGGGGCCGTTTAAACCGAACAATAAAGATCATAAAATTAGGTCAGTTTTTACAGGATTTCAAATCCTGATTCCTGAACTAAATCTTTCCTGTAAAAGTGTAAATAACTAAATTCAATTGCACTACTGGAAGTTCAACTGAAAGTCCACATTCTGACATTCACATAATCACATTCAACATTTCGATTCAACATCCAAATTCTAATTTCTAAAGTTCAACTGAAACTGAAATTTTAAAGTTCATAGGCCACACACCAAAAGCCCGCAAGTGTTAAGGCGTACACAACATGAATACATGATAACAACGTCAACAAATTTTAAAGTTTCAGAAACTGAGAAAAAAGTATTTCTGTTTTAACATCAATAGAATAACTAAAACATTTGGCACAATTGCTAAAAAGTAAAAAAAAAAAAAAAAAATAGAAATTCAGAACTTCAGTCTTCAGTCTTCACTCCTCACTATTCAGTCTTCAACTTAGCAATGGCAGCATACATCGGCTTCATTGCAGCCTTCAACACTTAACAGTTCAACAGGCAGCAAGCAATCTGGAATTTTACACTCAAGTCAGCAAATTCAGAAGTAAACCAACTCACGCAATCAAGTTTCAGGTTATAATAGCCATGAAAAAAATAAAAACAGTCATGAAAGTCGAAACAAAGTAGAATATACCTATTATTAAATTTCAGTCCAGGTAGTTTGATCACAGCAAACCCTAGTGCACCACAGTTCTCTTTCTCTTTTCAGCAGCTGAAAAAAGAAAAGAAACAAACAATCAGTCAAGTTGAAACTGCTAAGCTGAAACTTTAAAGTGTAAATAAACAACTAAAACTGTAAAAAATTTAATCTTCTTCCATGCAAAAGAGGTCTTCCCAACTCTCTTCAACACCTTCTTTTTCAACTTCCCCCCGAAACCAATCCTAAGTGCAAATCAAGCATTGAACAGTCTTCGGAGTTAAAGAACTCCTAAACGCATCCAACACCCTGCTACTTGTGCTAAAACAAGATTTTGAAGCTACAATTGAGACATGAATGGCAAAAAGATCACGAATTATCAGAGAAAAGATAGGAAACCTAGGGTTGTTCACCTTCCACCAGTTCAACAATTCAAAATTTGGACAATCTGGTTCATCATCCTCGCTCAAATACTTGTCCAATTCTGATTTTTCATTTATGTTTATGTAACCACCAGCTTTTTCATTTTTCTTCTTCACAAACTCACTCCTAAACCTATCTGTAAGCATTTTTGAAGGCTTGATATCAATCGGGAAAGGTCTTTTCCCTTATGAAGTTGCTTGAGAAGAACTGGAGTCAGATTTGGAAGGCGTACTAGAACTAGGTTTAGGGGCATGGATTCTAACATATTCCGCAAACAACTCATAAATGGCATTTTTAACAAATTCATATTTATTTTTTCCATCCACAAACCCATAAAATTTAGAAAATACAACTTCAATGTATTTCAACTTGTTTCTTGGATCAAAAACACATGTCATTAAAACAACAAGATTTATCTTCTCAATAGAACCATCATATTTATCAAACTTCTCCTTCATCCTTTCAGCCATCATTTTTTGACCAAAATCATCACTTTCATTAATGATTTTCCTAAAAAAAAAATCAATGCAATGAATATCAGTGAAGAAAGCATCCGAAGAGACAGATTTTGAACGAGATACCTTCAAGGTTATCTCTAAAAAATGCTGAAGAATACCAACAACCCTCCTAGCTTCTACTCAATCTAATGAAGTAGGCAATCTAGGCATAGAATTTGGCACATCAGGATCAAACCTCAAAGTGTCTTTAAAGTGTTGATTTTCCAGTTTCATATCTTTTGAAAGCTCTTTCATACACTTGAGCAGTTTCTAGCATTAAATATGTACTATTCCACCTTGTACAAACATCCAATACTAGATTCTTAGAGCTACAATACTTCTCAATTTCAACACATTTCTTAAAACTTGCTATTCTTTTAAGAGAATACCTAATATACTTAACTGCAGCCCTGAATCCTATCAACACACTTACCAATATAAGTCAAACCATCTTTAACAACCAGAATCATCACATGAACAACACAACGAACATGCAACCATTTGGCACCCAACACACACTTTTCTTAGTGAGCAAATTGCTCTTATAAATACTCTATGGCAGAATCATTAGAAGAAGCACTATCAACAGTTATTGCAAACACATTTTCACAGGATTAAGCACTTCATTTGGAGCTTCTGCTCTGAAACACTGCCATGTACTAAGAACTTGCTACGACGTGGACTTTCTTCCATTATCCCTTGTACTTTCTGCAACTTGGATGATCCCTCTACTGCTCACCTTTTTTGGAATTGAAGTTTTTCTACTGAAGTCTCGCACCTGGCAGGTCTTATACCACATTTGTTGATACACCAACACTCTTCAGGAGCCATTTGGATAGCCACCCTTATCCTGCAGCTGCCTCGGGAAATAATGGAATTGGTTGCAACCATTTGCGACATGATTTGGTTTGGCCGAAACCAAAAATTCCATGTGGTCATTTCTTGGCTGCCACACAAAGTGTAGTATCTGCAAATTCTAATTTACGGGGTTTCCATGAGGCTCATAAGTTGCCAGAAAGATCATCTCCCATGTTGAATCACAGCTCATTTTTGGGTAGGATTCTACAAGGCTCGAGGGTTTGGTTTGACGCATCAATTTCCAAATGGTATCATTGTGCAGGTCTTGGCGTTTGGTGTGCTGCAGAGGATAGACCTTACCTGCGTGCCCAGGCTCGACGAAAACATGGGATTCAGGACTCTTTTGTGGTTGAGATATTGGGACTGCAAGAGGCTTTATACCTAGCAAAAGAAATGAAATTTCAGAATTTTTCAATCCAAGGAGACTTGAAAAATGCAGTTTTTGCTCTCCACGGTGATTATCCTTGCCCAGTTATTTACTTACATGTCATAGAGGATATTCGCCGAAGACTGGAGGTCCTGCCTTGCCTTGGCGTGTATTGATGTAGTCGGACGGATAACGCGATAGCTCATGAATTAGCTTTTTATGTGAAAACAGTAGCTCTATGTTTGAAATGTGGCTTGAGCCACCCCCTTTTTGTCAATCGCAGTTGGGCGAATTCCAACAATCTTAATAAAATCTTTTTATTCTCAAAAAAAAAAAATCAAAATCTCAATACGTTGATGACCAAATCACTAAACTTATTTAAAAACTTTAAATAATTTGTTACAAAATTAGTCTCTCAAAAAAAATGTAGTATAATTTCAACAGTCCAATTTCGTTTTAGTAGCTCACGAATTAATTATAATATAGAGCACCTAGGTACACCTACCTAGGGTGAAACTCGCGCGACCAAAAAGGGGGGATATCCCGATATTTACAAAACTACCATCAGATTAATTACACATGCCCATCAAAATCCCGGATATGAGCAATTTTTTGATTTTAGAATCTCGAAAACTGTTGTTCGCTCCTAAAATCCGACCATTAACCATATCCATCAACCTCTTCTATTCAATCCAATACGTTTCAAAAAAAAATCAAAAAATATTATAAAATCATTCCTGCAGCGAGACAACAAGAGATTTTGCCGTTGGTGGTACAATCGAAGACGGAATCATATTGTTCTTCAAAAACCCATTATTTGGGTTGTAATATATGCCACTCAAAATGAAAATCAAGGTAATTTATGGTCAAGTTCTTCGGTTTTGAGTGTTTATTCCATGTTTAAAGTCCTAAAAATGTTATTTTTCACTGAAACGTTCATGTAGAAATTCTATGAATTCTACAATGTTCATGTAAAAATGTTGTTTTTCGCCGAATTCCGATCTGGTGGTGGAAAGAAAATTTAGATCTAGAAATTCTACGACCACATCATCCAGTAGCCTAGAAATTCTGGTTGTTCAAAAAATGAAAAGGAATGGAGGTAATACTATTAATCTCTTCAACAATTGATATGTTTTTTTGATTGGGTTATGTAGATATAAGGTATGTCCATTCGATTATAGATTTTTGTTCATCAATTTTTAAGTTTTCTTCATCGTTTTGTTGTTGGTTTTGGAAAAAACTAATAGATCCATGCATTATTCATTAGTTCGCATTTAATATTCATCTTTGAAACTAACAGATTCATCATAATAATTGTGTTATTAGCTGGTTATTCATATTTAGTTTTCTGGTTGGGTTATGTAGATCTGAGGTCTGTACATTTGATTATAAATAGTTGTTCACCAATTTGTTAGATTTACTCATCCATTGGTTGTTGATTTTGGAAGGGTTTTCCAGATCTGTTCATTATTCATCAGTTACCCAGCCATTATTCATCGATAATAAAGGGTTATTCATCATAATAATTGCGTTATGTGATTATTATTTATTTTTTGTTAATTGTTATTCATCTGAGTGGATAAATAAAATATGTATATTTTGGTCATATTCATCCATAATATGTGGTTATTCATCTATTTGTATATTCAACATATTGTTCGAATGACCTATGCATATACATCGATATAGTTATTCATCATTCCTAATGAATTTATGATCTAATACACTATATCTTCTGATTTTAATAAATAAAACATGATAATTCATCATACCTGTCAAGTTATTCATCATTAGTGAAATAGTTATTCATTTAGTATGTAATGGTTATTCATCATACTAACCTGACATGTTATTTTGTTTTAATGGTTATTCATCATTTTGAAGATGATTATTCATCTCCAATAACATTATTATTAATGATTAATAGAGTTTTGATTGAATCTAAAAAATCTCATATATTGTGATGTTCTTTTTTGTTTGATCATTGGTAAAAAAAATACTCGTCAAAATGAACTAGATCGGTCGCGAATCAAATATCTGGTAGAGTTGCTGAAATCAAATAATCAACATAAACATGTCGAGCAACGCGGATCCTTCAAGATCTTATATGTTAAAAATAATTACTAATTTTTCTGTTCAATTTTGACATAATACACTACATAATTAGAATTTTGTTAGCTTAGTTGCTGACATTAACTCATTGTAAAATATACTCTTGTTAGTATTCTTGATCAAAGTTATTAATTCTGTTACGCATTATTCATTCACTAACGATATATTATTCATCTATCAAAGTATAATTATTCATCTGCAAAGACTATATATATTCTTCATTTTAGTATTGTTATTCATCTAGGTTGGGACTATTATTCATCAAGATTTGCATCGTTACTCATCTTTGTGAATATCGTTGCTCATCCATAAATTTACTCATCCATATATACAATTTTACCAAAAATAAAATCCATCATTTAAAAAAAAAATCTCATAAAATAAAATAATATAAAATCTAACAGGATAAGCGTTAAAAAAATAATAGTTTGAAATTAAATGTGTGTTAAAAAAAAGGATAAAATTTAGAGAATTTAATGCATGTGTGGTATCATAAAAGCCGGATTAAAAGCTCCACTTATGTAGGAGAATAGTGTATTACACATGACAATCAGGTACACCTTCCAAAATATACCTAGGTGCTTGTTATTATTTGCCCTCATCAATTCCATATACAACTCCAGCATTTACTCCTAAAATATCATAATCACTAAAATTATTTTAAAATATTAAATAATTTGTCATTTCCTCCGTCTCATAATTATTGTCCAGTTTGGGCTTTCATTTCTAGTCCAAATTGTACTAAAAGTAAAATTTCAAACTGGACAATAATTTTGGGATAGAGAAAGTACAAAATTAGTTTCCAAAAAACATGTATAATTTCAACAGTCCAATCTTGTTTTAGTAGCTCACGAATATGGAATACAACTTCGGCATTTACTCCTAAAAAATCATTATTATCTTGTGCCATGCGTATAATACTCATACTATCCACCATTGTGTGTGTGTTGTGTTTCGTTTCCCTTTGTTAAAGAGTAGTAAAAGATAACCCGACTGGAATTGGAAATTCTTCTTTTTTTGGGCAGCTGGAGATTCGTTGTCTGCATCCTACCAATAAAGAGGTGAGATGGTGATGGTTGTTCGTCTGACATATCCAACCCACCAATACCTCCCAAAATTACGTGCCACCGACTCCTTCCCTTCGTGTCGGTAACTAAACTAATGTTGTTTGTACATCTGTAAAGCCTAATCACTAAAATCATTAAACATTAATCCATCGTCTTTAAACTAAATTCACACTCTGACGGTCCATAAAAAATAAAATTGGTTCAACCAAATCTATCAGCGTTTTAAATCAAATTATTAATATCTTGGTCAGAAAGAAAACCATAATAAATAAACAAGCATTGAACCCATTGCTTGCATTTCCTTCGCCACCTTTACCTCTTCACCATCCTTTCTATATATCATCATCTTCCTTGCAATTTTTAAGGTCTCTTTGATTTTCTTCCCTTTTTTCACCACCCCCAAAACCCACGAAAAAAAAATTGTGGTAAGAAGATCGGGGTATTCGTCTTCCTTTCTTTTCCTTCAACCTTAAAAGCATCGTCCACCGGACGGCGGCGACGGTTATGGCGCCCCGTCTCTTTTCGTGCTTCGGCCGACGCGGCTCCGCCTCGTCATCTTCACACGAGGAGATCGCCACCGCGGATATCTCCGCAGAGGAGCAGAGGAGGGGTGGCCCGGTGGTGGTGGAGCTGTTCTCGTCCCAGGGTTGCGCCACCTCATCGGAGGCGGAGCTGCTCTTCTCCCGGCTGGGGAGAGGTGACTTTAACCTGGAGGTGCCGGTGATACTGTTGGCGTATCACGTTGATTATTGGGATTACAAAGGCTGGAAGGACCGTTTTGCGTCGAGTTTATGGACTGTTCGGCAAAAGGCCTACGTTGAGGCCCTAAACTGTGATACTATGTTCACGCCCCAAATCGTGGTTCAGGGCCGGGCCCAATGTGTTGGAAATGAACAAGATGCGCTGTTATCCTCCATCGCGTCTGCATCAAGGATCCCTGCTCCCACCTTCCAGGTTAGAATTTTAGACATGATATTAGATTTCCTTTGTTTTGTTTGGTTTTTTCTTTTTGTTGATATTGAATTTTCCTTTTATTGGTGAGTGTTTTTTTTATTATTATTTTTGCTTGGATGTGGATTTGATACTCAAGTTAAAACTTTTAGAAGCAATTTTGGCTGAACTTATAACACCCCAAGTAATTAGAAGTACATTTAGGCTGTGGCGCTGTGCTGATAATGTTGTGGTTATCATTTCGTTTAAAGAATGTGACTTACATAAATGTAAATGAAAAACCTAGTAATGTATGATAAACTTTGATCCAAAACACAAGCACTTTAGTTTAGACACACAGTCTAATCTTATCCTTTACATTTTTTATTCACATAAGGTCACTAGATTCATTCATTTTCAAATGCCAAATGCAACTTCTGGTTCTAAACAAATTCGCCTAGTAATTTCCAACTCAGATTACACCATAGATTTTGGGGTCTCTCTTTGGGGACAAAACAATGAAAAGATTTTACACCTATATTTTCACAAAGTTGGTAAAGGTAAACAACCATCACCAGGTCAACAACATAATTCACAACACATTTGAAGTTTTGCTAATAATATAACCCGGAAAAAAAAATTAAAAAAATTACCAATGATCATTCCAGTACAGGGGAAGTAACAGTTTACATATGGGAAACACTTAGGTTGGTTTTCATTAGTGTTTTCAATCTGACATTATGACTTGCCAGTTATGACTAATCATGTCTGAGGTTATTCCAAATCATAACCAGAAGGAAAGTGTTCCATATTGAGCCAATTGTGATTTGTGTCAGTATTTACTAGCACTTGGGAGCCTTTTTTGTTCTTAGAAACTGAGAGTTTGGATCATAATGAATTGAACAGGCCACATTCCAGATGCCCACACCAGAGTCATTGCAAGTCTCCATTACCGGAGCTCTAAGAAGTAAAGTGGATCATCAAGGTGTGAACATCATGGTTGCTCTGTATGAAAGCGGTTTGGTAACTGATTGCCAAAATGGAGAAAATAAAGGCCGTGTCATTGCCAATGACTATGTTGTTCGGAAACTTGAGAAGCTTTGCTTTGTTAAAGATATATCCGCGAAGAAGACCATTTCTGGAACTGTTAACTTCTCTCTCTGGGAGGGCTTCAACGGCAGTAAATGTGGAGTTGTAGTTTTCGCACAAAGTGCAAACCATCAGATTTTTGGTTCGCAGAAGTTTCAGTTGCCAGAAAATCTTTGAGGATTGTGATTTAAATCCACAGATGTGAACTGTAAGATTTTTGAAAAAGCTTGCAGTGATCAAAGACTTCCGCCTTTTCTTGGAGCTGTAAACTCTTGAATGAGAGCAATTGAGCTTGTATGGTTTTGAGACCAATGAAGGTCGAAGTTTTCCTGCTATTATTTTGTACAGATTCGTATTTAGGGTTAGCATAATGGCTTGTTTTTCGTTTGCATCTTCTCGACTGCTGGATTTTGTGTTCCATTAAGACCTCCATCTGTAGGTTTCCATTTAACACCATTGCAGGGTTGGCGAAGTTTTGTCCTTTTTCTATTCTTCCCCAATTTGATCATCCTGAGCTATGCCGCATTAGGGCACGAGTCCTTGCAAACTAAGAGCCATGATATAACTTAGCAGGTCTTGTTAACCGACCTCCAAAGATAACATCTACCATATTTAATCATAGAAGGGAAAGAACTTCAACTGGTTTTGAAGCAGTTGCTATAATACTTGTCATCACGCCAAACGAAACAGCACGAACCTACTCATCATTATACATGACAATTTATCCAATATGTTGGACAACCATAATGTCAAAATAATAGTGTGTTAATGATGTAAAGATGTTATCAGATTGGAGCCCTCTTTGGGCACCATATTTGGCCACCAAAACCAGTAAGCTTAGAAGGCTGACCGATAACACAATAATACACGAGAGCGAGCTTCTTACTATCACCAATTTTACATAAGGAAATAGGACTACTGGGATGAAGGAGCGACTGGTCATAAACGCCCAGGCACATGAATCATTGTGCAATTAATCACTAACTCAATCTTTCAATGTAAAAGTTTCCATCTCTGAGAGTTGACACATTTGAAAAAGAAAGATGCAAAATATCTACAAATCCAAAATGCCCATCATCTCTACCACTTCACCTTTACCTTAAGAAAATTGTCTTATTCTTCTCTACACAACACTTTGGACCTGCTACTTCATCCCTGTCCTATATCCCACAGAAGCAAACCCAAATCTAGAAAGAGGGTGGGGTGACTGTTTATGTTTTCAATTCAACCTAAAGAAAATCCTCCCTGGATATTGTTTAGCGCCTTACACTGAATCTACAGCCTCAACCTGCTGCCGAGCAAGATATTTCTCCCTTCGTTCTTTCTGCGAAACAAAAGAAGATAACTTAACTACCACTGGAATAGACACACAGGATGATAACTGAAAGTATCAAGATCCCCAGTATGTCAACAAAATGAATCCCATGTACTTACCCACTCATCTATAACAAGACCTTCCCCAACAACTCGGGGGCCTGCATCAGTTGCAGGTTTCTTCCGTGCCTCAATTGCAGCTTCAGCTTCGGCCAACTGACGTTTGAGTTTTTCCAATGCCTTGATGTCAACCAAATATAGTAAGTTAGGTAACCAACAGTCTAAGCCCTTAAAATTGCATAAAATCGGTGGCAAGAGTTACTTACAGGAGTAGAGCGCTCTGGATCCAAAAATACAACACGCAGGACACGCTCAACAGTCACTTGATCCTTTTTTTCATCAAACTGCAAAGAAAGGAATTTTTTCAGCCAAGAGAAGAAAAACTAGAAGCCTTGCTATCTCGGCACCCATGTCATTAAGAGGGTATCAAAAGGTGCCAATGGCAGAACAGGATCAAGATCACCTAATTAATGCGTCTTGATGGGAATACTGCGTGCAATTAGGGAATATTGCATGTTTATTTCAACCAATTAGTACATCTCTTCTCTATCATGCATGAAATGAACTTTGGCTTCATTGTTCACGTGAAGTTGGGTTCTTATGTTCCTATGCATGTCCATGTAGACCCCATGTTGGGTGGACATCATCATCCGTCAAGCTATAACCACTTGATTACTTTTCGGGCATATGTATAAAGGAAATGAAAAGAAAGAGTTGCCTCAAGGGGAATTTAGGAGTCCATATCGGCATGACAGAAGTCAAATCCACAAAAACTACAGTTCAGCTGAAATAGGGTACAACCTCAAATGTTAACAGTTCCTTCCAGGACCCACTAATATTACAGAAATTAATGTCACACAGGACCTGTACCTAAAAATCTCAAAACAGAACAACCCCCCCGCCATAAGATAAACAGGCATTCTCGTTCCAGTACGCTAACTTCACTAATACAGAAGACCACGTAACTAAAACTAGTTGATTACTAAATTTAGATGAAAGTAGAAATAACAAGATTTTAGATTCCAAATAAACCATTACGCAGCTGTATGACAACCATGCATGAGTTATGTTAAAAAAGATATCCGAGAATGTTCCCAGAAAAAGTTTGTTGAGTACAATTCTTTCAGAAATAGGTAAATCACTTTGAATTTAGCATAGATTTACATCACTTGCATCACAAAGTGTAAGAATCTCACGTGGAAACATTTTCCATAATCAATTTGAGTGACTGATTCTAAATGTAATTAACTCACTGATGCAGGCAGCAGTTTTTGAGGAAAAGCAGTATAAATGTTTCCAAGCAACTGTTCTTACAGGATGGAATTAAACTAAATGCATCAATGTACTATATTACTAGGCTTCAGATCGGAGTTGCTTTAACTTTTGATAACTCACCAGCTCAGGAACATAGTCTGTTCCTTCTTTAACCTTGAGACTCATGATTTTGAACTTGACTTTGCTTTTCTGCTCTGTTGGCGGTTTTTCGTTGTTTTCAGGATGCTCCACAAACTTGAAGACTGGAAACAAATTCAATTTCAAATGATTAGGGCATAATTTCCATTTTTCAGTAAAAAAGTTTTTTGACACATGTTCATATACGAGTCAAGCACAAAAAGGAAAAGCCAACTAATGTTCAAAGTACGGAAACGACTATCTAAATAATTACCGGTAGCAATTATGCTTTCCCCAGGAGCAAGGATACCACCAGGAGGTCTCATATAACAACTCTTTGGTGCAGTAGTTTGAAACTGAAAATGCGACAACATTGAGCCAGAAAAAGATTCAGAATTCCCATAAAAGAATTCATCAGGAAAAAATGGAAATAATCTATCATGACATTAAAAGAAGATGCCTTTTTGAATAACAGTAACGACAATCATCCCAAAAAACAAAAGCCATGGACGCCTGCTTTAGCACATCCCCCAGAAAAGGAAAAAAAGTAAAGTAATGATGACTACAAAAGAGATACCTTAAAAGCCACATGCGACTTGCTTGAGTTCTTAATCCTAACAGCACTCTTCACCTGTTTCCCCGGCTCATCTACAATTTCCATGAACCACATCAAGAATTATGAATCAGTAATCACAATTATTTGTTCAATACTCAAAACATTTGCAACTAATAACTGTTATAATCACCTCGGCACAATTGGATTTCATTTTACTCCATAATCTCACCAAAAAATATAAAAATAACAAACAAGAAGGAAGATATTGAAGCAAAAGCGTAGAAGAAAGAGCAGAACACACATGGAAAGTAGAGATTATTGGTCGGATCAAGTCGGAGGCGACGGCGAGCTGGAAACAAGGATCTAGCAACGGAAGAAACAGAAGTAGAAGAGGAGGAGGAGCTGGAGTTGGATCCGACGCCGTTTTGGAAGCTGTGCTGCTGGCTATTAGTTTGAAGAATTTGAGTAGAAGAGGTAGATGAGGAGGTAGTTCCAGATTGCCAGAACGGGCATAGCCTCCATAACTTGCCTTCGGAGTGATGCGACCGGCGGCTACCGTGGTCAGCTATAGCCATATCGGAATACTCACACAATTCCGCCTCTCGTCGGCCAGCACCGCCGCTGTTTTCAAGCTATAAAATAGTCGTAGCGGTGGTGATAACGTCAGCTCCGGTGCTGAAACAAAGTCAAAACGACTGCGTTGACAGTAATGTTGAGGGAAATGGAGAGGGAAAAAAAAAGTCAGGGAAAGTAGTTGAAATTTTTTTGTAATGTGTTGGTCAGGTATTTATATATGGTTGTCGGAGTTGGGAAAGAGGTTTTTTTGAGTTTCATTTTCACAGTTTCTAGTTTTCTATACGTTGACGGAAAGGAGAATGAAATTTATTACTAATTTTACCGGTGCGTACGTGCTCAAAAGTTACAGCTGTGACAGCGACAGCCCTGAGTCAATGACTCGGAAGTTTTTTTAATTCGACTTTTCATAGTCTAAATAGTAAATACACATTTTTAGACTATGATTAGTAGTTTAATCTCATTCTTTTCAAAATTTGACCAGTATCGTTTCTTTCTTTTTCTTATTTTTGTTTTCTACTCTTGTCTTTGCACCTAGATCTTATTAATCGAAATAGAAAAATGTCTTTTTTTTTTACGTTCTATATTTTAATCTGTTAATCCCTCTGTCCCAAAATTATTGTCCAGTTTGAATTTTTATTTCTAATTTAAATTTTATTAAAAGTTAAAATCTCAAACTGGACAATAATTTTGGGACTGAAGGAGTACTATTTTCTTTTAACATTTGGAGAAAACTATGAAATTTTAGAATGCAATCAATTGATCGGGGGTAATAGAATTATTGAAAGTTAATGAGAATGTGTTATGGTTGTCCTTTTTCAATGCTTTGCTTCACGATATTAGTCCACATTGGGAGAAGCCGCTAAACAATAAACGATTTGAACATGAAAATTGATGCCAATTTCATTTTATAAATAATTTGTTTTTAAAAAAGTGATTGGAATTGGACTGCATGCACTTTCATTATCGTCCTTTGACTTTCAAAATCGGAGGATTAGTCGTAGACTCATAGTAATAGTCATCTTAAGAGGATGGCAGAATATGCTTCAATTATTATAATATTAATGTTTTGTGCATAAAAGGTACTCCCTCCGTTCCATAATTATTATCCAGTTTGTATTTTCATTTCTAGTTAAAATTATACTAAAAGTGAAATCTTAAACTGGACAATAATTTTGAAACAGAGAGAGTATATCAATATATAATCACGAGCTTAACCCTGATTATGCCAAGAAATTAAAGGGTTCATACATTCATATGAGTGAGGTGATCGAAATATAAACGAGTTCTTGTGATTTTAGGGTTTTCTCGTATGGAGCGAGGTTTTTCTTATTGAATTATAGTTTCTTCATATATAGTAATTGGGATGCATTGTCAATTCATGCTTATCGTTGATTAGTTGTACATTAAATTGAAAACAAAATCTAAGTTGAAGATGGTAATTAACCTCTTCAAAATGTATCACTTAATGCTTCTTGAAGTTTTGTACGTACTATCTAGCCATGTCACTCTAAGCTTAGAGATAATCATATAAAATACTCTTTCTGTCCCAGAAAAATAGTCCAGTTTAATAAAAAAGTTTGTCTTAAAAAAAATAGTCCAATTTCACAAAAGTCAAAATTAATTGAATTGAAATAACTTAAATATCCAAAAGAGTAGTAGAAAAGAAAACAATGTCCACTTACTTTGTTTTTCATTTTCTTTTTAGTTTTTTCTCATTTTTTCAAATTATTATATCTTTCAATACATGAATAATTAAAAAATATGTTATATATCAAATTAATCTACGTAACGAGATCTTTCCATCAAAAGCCATTGTCAATATTTTTTTTGAGATAAAATTTTTTATCAAATTTAAGTTGTAAAATAAATGCATATGTAGTTAACTTTTATAAAAATAACTAAAAGGGGATTAGTGGAAGTTAGGGGCATAAAATGATTTGTACATTTGGTGTGTTGATCAAATTAAAAAAATTGTACATTTTCAAACTGGACTATTTTTCTGGGACGGAGTAAGTACTATTCTCTCTGATTTGAAAATATCGTCCAACCTAAATTTTTATTTATAATATGATTTGTAAATAAAATATTCAAATCAAACAATTATTTTAAGACTTAGAAAATATGCATGACAATTACAATATAACCTCATCTGCTGCACGTACAGTTGGATTTAAATTTTAATCTCATGAGCTGCATGGTTCCAAATTGCAATACCCCCACGAGAAAGACTATAATTTATATTCATGTTTTGGAAAAGCAGATGGCATGAGGAACGGGCCAATTTCCATAATATGAGCATACAAAAGTGAATAGATGGAATACTAAAATTGAAAGTTATAAATAATTGAATGAAAACTAGTTTAACTGCGGTATGTATATTTATAATTATTTAATGATTTATATACCGAAACAATAAATGATTTCAAGTTTCAACTAGTACTAAGGAAGAAACAACTTCCACCAAACTTATCAACTTGAACAGTTGCAAATTACTACTACAGAAGATCAATTGTACACATAAAAATACGTACAGTAAAACAGAAAAGACAGCGAATTAATGGAGTAATCCAACTCTCCTACCCAACTAGTTATCAATAATGTCGCTGTTTCATCATAATCATCGTCATCAAAGGAATAATTGCGGAATCAGTAAATCTGGTAGCGGATTTAACTGTATTTATCAGCCTCAGTCGGTGTAATTAGGGAGACTTGAAGTAGTTGAGACGGGTTTGTTCGGAAAAGGCAAGTGTGCAAGGAAAGCATAAATTGTGAATGTTCATTTTCAATTTTTTACCATTGTTGGCTACGTAGGTTGGGTTCTAGTTTCGTTGGGTGGTAGTAGTAGGAATTAATTAGGCAATTAAATTTCGCGCAGCTTTTAATCATTTCCCGAAATCCAGAAAGTAATTACGCCTACAATTCCCACTTCCCAGTTCCCAGGTTGCCTCAAGTTGTTGGGCCTCTTGGTGCAAAAAGTTACACATGAATCATCTTAAATTTGAAACGTATCAGATTCCTTATTGAGGCCCAAAATGACCCACTTTACATGAATATTGGGTTCCCGCCCTCCGCATTGAATGTAAAATGTGTGATTCTGGGTTACATCGTGACAAAATGTATATACAGTATAGGGATTCAAAGGCTTTTGACCCAACAAATTAACTTCTTAGCCAGATTTGGATTGTTTCAATTCACCACGAAAAGCAGGAGTCCATTTTGGAAACCCAGCTAGAAATTGAAAGAACAAAGAGAAATAGCTTTACTCTCCTATAAATATTCCAGGGAATGCTTGATTGCAAAGTGACATCAGATTGTTTAGTGCATCAGGTTGGGATGCATATTGCCTCCGACCAAAATTTTAGAGCAAAAATGTTCTTCTTTCATCGGATGTTCCCGAAGGGACTACCGGAGAAGGACGAGCAAATGTATTTAGATTTGGCAGGATTCAATTCTTCCACAGAGAAAAGCTTGACATCGTTTAATATATTGCTCCATCTATTCAGAAATGTTTAGAGTTTGGATTTTTGCTTTAGTAAATTCAAACTGAATAATCAAATTATACTAAAATAAAAATTCAAATTGGATAATCATTATTCATTGACACATAGTACTAGAAACGAAGAAAAAAAAATTACCTATTAGTTGAGGTCGACAAATTAAATGTGCATGAGGGCTTCAATCAAAGAAACCATGAAGCATGCAGAAAAATATTTGGTGGGTTACAGCTTACAACATATTACATAACATTTATATTTTCTCCCTCGTACGAAATAACAGGGAAGAAAAAAGAAGAAAAACAAAAACACCGTTTGACTACCAGGGATCGAAGACCTCTGATATGTCACTGCTAGGCTTGTTACAATGTCTCATAATCAATGTAACTAATCTTATATGCAAATGTAAACTTTTTTGTTAAGACTTAACCTCCTTTTCTTTCTTTTTTTTTTTATTGGATGGCCCCAGTAAAAATCGAACCTTCGACCTTTTAGTAATAACTATCCCCCTCCTAATCCTCTAACCATCTCACCCAACCATCCCACCCAGACTTAACCTCCTTCAATACTGTTGTGTAAATGAATATTCGATTGATAGATTGTTGATTCTGGTGAACTAGTTTGTATTGAATTTTAACATTTTCTTGGTAGTTCTCCTCGGTGTATGCATATAATTCTCGCAGCAAGCACCCGCTGTTTCCATTAACCTTAAAGCGACTGAGAAATTGAAATCACTATAAAAGAGCCAACATGAACATTGCCAGCCATTATAGTCCTCATAATCGACTAGTCACGCAGCTTGTAGGAAGGTTATGCAAAAATTGCTGGATTTAATGAAAATCATATTGATATATCCTCATTAAAAACTATGGATTTGGAGTATAAAAGCTTCATGTTTACAAAGCAAAGAACCCTTAAAATCTAACAGTACTAGGACCCCAGCTACTCAAATTCATGACACTCTTCGCAGATGTTTCTCTTCTTCTCACCATCTGGGCTGCTTCTTCTATGTCCTTCTTGCTGTCCCTTAACACTGGGATCGATCTACCCGGCGCTTGATTACGATCATCGATTCCGGCCACTGCTAATCCGAGACTTGCAGTCAAACAGAACAAATGTCTTGCCGCGATCGCGCTCATATTTTCTGTATAGCAAAATGAATGTTTGTTGAGATGATTATGAAACGATATATGGAAGAAATGCAACTAAGAAGTGATAGGCGATTATTATTGTTGGTGTTGAAGAGTGAGAGAGTGATTAAGCTTATATTTATATAGTGCACAAAAATACCGAGTGGTTACATTTTATTTAATTAAACTAAAAGAAGTATAAAGTTTAGGAAGCATCGTTTGGTTTTTGATTATTAAAACTAGAAACAAAAACTCGGTCTCGGTTTAGGGGACGTCGTTTCTCCCCCAACGGTATAGGTTAGTGATGGTCCTAATCATCCTGATTAGAATCTTTTGTTTACTTCTCCCAAACAGTGACTTCCACCTGCTACTCTG